CCATTCCGTGTCTCCACCCTCTGCATGGAGACACTGAACTTTCGTCATAGCGATGCATTGATTCAGTGTATGGTGTTTTTAACACTATGGGGTCAGGAATACATGTTTGTGTTCCTTTAAATCTCAGTAGTTACATAATTATTCTTTTTCTGGCATATGGTAGCAGTACATGTGGGTTTTGCTCCTTTCCTGTGGACAAGCATCTAACAAGATTAATTAAGTTAACAAACCCCTCCCCCTTGCCCTATATAAGGGCTATCTGGCAAAACCTACCCCAGTTTCCTTTCTTGTCCCGAGAGGGAAGGACATAGCATCTAGATGGTGAGACACACAGGCTGCTGGTCTGGGGGATCCAGTCCGAGAGCTGCCCGGGTGGTAGGCTGAGAAACCATGCTTCCGACCGGTAGGTTACGGAGCAAGTGGAGATGTGATTTCTTTTATGCCGAGAAGGGTTCCGGCAATACTTCCAGGAGGCGGAGTTTATCCGGTGCACAGCGCTGGAACGAACGCCCGGGTGGTGCTGCGTTCCACCTAAGCTTCCGGTTGCGCTAGTACGCATGCGCAAACCGAAAGCTTTATTTAAAAAAAACACACAAAAAAACGCCAAAATCTAAGCTGTGCAGGTACCCACTGACAGCAGGGATGCTTGTCAGAAGAGGTACTCCGTGTCACCAACCCCCACACGGCTCAGAGGTATTTTAAGGTAAGATTAACTAATCTTTACTTTAAATTTATCTCTGTAAAGTTTATACAAGTAAGTTACAAGGAAAAAATGAAGACTACGAGGAAAGAAGAAGAGTGGTAATAAAAACGAGAGAATTTCGGCATTTTAACCCTATGGACATAAGGCTTATATCTCCTGCAGAGGCACAATATGTATTCACTATATGCTCTATGTATGAGTTACTGTGAGCAGTATATGTACCCACTATATGCTCTATGACAAGTGACTGTGAGCAGTATATGTACCTTCTATATGCTATGACGAGTTGCTGTGAGGACTCAGCTTAGATATATATATCCACTATATGCTCTATGTATGAGTTACTGTGAGCTATGACGAGTTGCTATGAGCAGTATGTGTATCTGCTATATGCTCTGATGAATTGCTGTGAGGTCTCAGTTTCTATATATTTATCCACTATATGCTCCATGTATGAGTTACTAGGAGGGCTCAGCCTCAGTATGAGTATACACTAAATGCTCTATGTAGGAGTTATTATGAGGACAGCCTCTGTATATGTATCTTCTATATGCTCTAGGACGAGTTGATGTGAGCTTTGTATGAGTTACTATGAGGACTAAACCTCAGTATAGGCTCTATAGATGAGTTAATGTGAGAACTCAGCCATCAGTATATGTATCCACTAGAGGCTCTATGTATGAGTTATTATGAGGTCTCTGCCTCTCTATATGTATCTACTATATGCTCTACGACGCGTTGATGTAGGGAATCAGATTCAGTATATGCATCCACTTTTATGCGCTAGGTTTAGTTACTATATAGACTCAGCCTCAGTCTATATACCCACTACATGCTCTATGTATGAGTTTTTTAAGAGGACACAACCTCTGTAGATGTATCCACTATATACTCTAGGTTGAGTTTATGTGAGATCTCAGCTTCAGTATATGTTCCCACCATAGGCGCTATGTATGAGTTACTATGTGGACTCAGCCTCAGTATATGTACCCACTATAGTCTCTATGTAGGAGTTATTAGAAGGACACAGCCTCTTACTATGTAGCCACTTTATGTTATATGATATATGCTCCATCTATGTGTTTCTATGAGGGTTCGGTTTCAGTATATGTGATTTTTATATACTTGATGTTGGAGTTAGGAGGACACAGCACAGTATAATGCTCAATGTAATAGTTACTATAAGGACACAACCTTGGTAATTGTATCCTCTATATGCTCTATGTATGAGTTTCTGTGTATAGGTATTCTCTAGATGCTCTAGGGATGTGTTCTAGGAGGTTACTACCTCAGTATTTATATCCTCTATTTGCTCTATACATTACTATGAGGTCGCCACCTCTATATATGTATCCACATGTTGGGTTATTTCTAGGAATCCTATCAGACAGCTTTACTTGCGGGAGCTGCGGTAACCAGAGCTATATTTTTTATTTTTATTTTCTTCTCTCCTGGTTGCCCCATGCAATACTGAACATGATTCCTAGAGATCAGGATTAACCTATGCTACATTACTGCCTAAATTGGCGATTGTCAAAGAATGAATCATTTGTTTTCTCTTTAGGTCTATGTTTGGTAACTTTATGGTTGCAATCATAGATGACTGATACCTCACCTAAAATTTAGATCATTTGGGATCAGAACAGAGGTAGACATGTCTGACGCCATCAATTCTACCAGACATCCAGGGATCTTTATTCCTTTTCAAAGAGTTCCTTAGTCTCGTGTTTCAGGTTGTTGGTTTTCTTTTTCCAACCATAGAGTAAGGGAGTTGGTAGAAGCAGATCCGGATTTAAAAGATATTGTTCCATCAGAGCTTAGTCCTTTAGTGGACTCTAAATGGGAGATTCTATCAGCCTAGTCGGGAAAGGTAGAGGCTCTAGCTGAGTGTTTTTTTATTTTTCCCATCGTGTAAAAACTCTACTTTCTTGGTGTAAGTCCTCAGAGTTCCTTTCAGGAGGACTGTTTCTTGCGTCTGGAGTTCACTACAGATGCTGTCGAAACAGTTTGGTGAGCTTATCTAGTTTCCATCATACTTCAAGGTTTAGGTTAAGGGAAAATCCGCAGTTTCGGGGATTTCAGCCATGCTTTCCGCCGTCACCCCTCCAGTCAGTGGATGCAGCGGAAGGCCATATAGATTCAAATGGACTCGTGTACAATGGGTTTATATACGTCAACCAGCAAGGGGGAATCAGAGTAGGCGCTTTTTATCGCCTGTAGAAGGTTATCTTGCTGTGGTGCAAAAATATGTAGTAGATATTTCGGCAGTTTTCTTTTCAGAGGGATTGACAATTACATAGCTGTCAAGCTCGGCAGGGGTAATAGGAATCAAAGAGTTTGGTCCTGAGGTCCATGTGTTGTTTTATGTTCTGGAGAGGAACTTTGATTTTCCAGACTTGACCCTTAGGGGAAGCATTACAGAAGCCAGGTTCCCCAAGTTTCCTCCCTGTTCAGAGCAGGTCCCTTCGATGAATAGAGATACTCTCATTGTAATGTAATGTCAGGCTGGCATACGTCTTTCTTCCGCTGACACTATTTCCAAGGATTCTTTGGAAATTAGGGCAGTCGGAACTTCATCCTGGTTCTTATTCTACTCTAGGCCAAACAAGGTTCTTGGTCCCGACGTTCAAGAAGATGGCCTCCACACAGTGGGAACTTCCAATCTCGTACAATCTCATAATAAACAGGAATCTAAGCCAGGGTTCTGTAGAAGTTCAGCTTTACGGCCTGGCTACTGCGGTGTTAAACTAGACTTCCTGCTTTTTCGGTCTACTTTCATGTAAAGGTCAAGTTTCTTTTTTTGATGGTGGGAACACCATTGCCTGTGTGTTCATTCGTCTCTAAGACCCATGTTTCAAATTTTTGTGAAATTTTTTTCTCCAGACTTGGGTCTTTCTGCTTTGAAGTTCAAGCCTCAGTCCTAATACTCACTGAGAAAGATTTTGCATCCGTTTGTTAATCTATAGCAGTGGTAGTCAACCTTTTTCCACTTACCGCCCACTAATGCATCTTTCTTGTTGGAAAAATTTCCTTACCGCCCACCAGTTTTCACGCAAGCGCAGAATATTTTTTAGAGAGGGTGTTTTAAAAATAAATAAATGTACGTACATTTATCTTTTTATTTCTACTTTATGCACGTTTATAATGTTTTTAACTTTATAAAGTTTAATGAGGAAGCAATAAAGTAAATTGAAATTACCTTTACTAGTGATTAATGAGATCCTTGAGGTTGATGCTGCGAGACTAAATATTTGATATCTGGTTCGATTTTCGTAAGGAACAAACGAAGGTCTCCTCTTTCGGTGATGATCAGAAGACTTCTTTGTTTGCTCATAAAATGATTTCTCGTCTGTGCGTCAGCTCCCCTCCTCTCCCTCCTCAATTCCCCTCCCCACCTTTTTTCCCCTTTTTTCTATTTTTTTAACCTTACTTATAGCAATGCCCAGTAGGAAGGCTGAGCTAGGTAGCCCACTTACTATTATTAATCAACAATTCTCTCCTTTTCTTTCCTTCTCCTTTTTTACAAGTACTCCTATTCTAGAAGTACTCTGCACCTTCTTTCTTCTATTCTACAAGTACTCTGCTCACAGACAAACACATACATTTACAGACACACACACTCACAGACAAACACTCACACATACACACACTCACATAGAAACACATACACACAAATATACACACACACACACACATATACTTATGGAGACACCAGAGAGAGAACAAATACAGGGCCCTTTTCTCATGCTAGAGCTCTTCAGTAGAGCTCTGCACATGGGCTACCCTGGAAGAGGATTGAACCAACATGCTTTGAGAGGAGGCGTGCTTATCATTGGTGATTACAAAACACCACCTCTCTGACCCCGCCCTCATTGTCTGGGCTACTGTGATTCAAAAATGCCCGGGCTGAATTATTTTTTTCCCACTCCGGGCCTGGCCACGTACCCCTCAGAACCACAAGGTAGAGCCAGATGCTATTAAATCACTTATGCAACACAATGTGCTATTTTGAATTCGGCTGTGGACTGCTCTTAAAACCCTGAAGGTTGAACATCATTTAAAATCAGTTTGATGGGCCATGTGTTATTTTTAGGATAGGATACATGAGAATCTTTAGAGTTTTTCAGACAACCTGTGACTGCAAGTAGAAAAAAGTAATCTGAGAAAGAAATATACCAAAAATTACAGCAACACAGTACATTAAACCTGAACAACACACAGGGAACTAATTTAACTGCTACAGCTTCAGTCCTACTGGACATCAAATTATTACCATACCAGGACAGCACATCCATTCCTTGCTTTCCAAAGTGGTGATGGTGGATGTCACACACAAAGGACACAAGATGTTAGGACAAATTTATTCCATTTATGGACGAAAAGAGGACAGGGCAGGGGAAACTTGGTAATAGGTCAGTGCAGGAGTTTAGTGTCAGTGCATACAAGGTTAGAGTCCAAATGGTTTTGTTGACAATTAAAATTTAAATGAACGGGCAGTTCAAAGAGCAAGGGGGATTTATAAGAGAACTAACGGGAAGATTATAGATTACAGTAGGAATGGGACAATGGGTGAACGCACGGGAGGGTAGTCTCGGAACTCCTTTAAGTAGCTGCGATGTTTTCCTTTGGCCCAAATTGTCATTTGGATGAATCCAACCAAGGTGAATAGAGCAACTGGAATAAGAAAAGAGTCATATCATATTATGTTACATTACTAGGTGGTTGTGTGTTCCATGAAAAACACTAGAATTGGTATTGTAACACAGCCAATAAACCAGATATACTGCATGTAATTATACAAGACATTATTCACCAATTTCCCACATAATATTTGATCAAAGCATAATACTGCAATAGTTTCAACGCCCCAATTATTACTTATAGATTGTAAGCTCACAAATCTTACCCATCACTTTGTATAACAATACTGTAATTGATGGATCATTATTGGTCTGTGTATATTGTACGACTGTATTCCATCCACAGAGGAGTAATGCAGAATATGTTGGCAATACATACTAACAATACCAGTTAGTGTCACGTTAGATATGTTAAGGCACTAAAATTGAAGCCAAGTTCTATTTGTCTCTGGGCACAATGTACTTTAGCACACATTACACTGCTGGCTATTATGCCATTTTATTTTAGGGATGCCAAAAAAAATTTTGATCAAAAAAGTTGTGTGTTTTCTATCTCTTCTACCTTTGATTCTGATGCGATTAACAGGATAATAAACTTAAATGTTTAAAAACTATTTTTTTCCCACTTTATGAAGTTTATTTACTAAATACTGTATTACAGCGGATGGAAACCCGCATTTCAAACTTTTACAGCAATCCAGTAACTAAAGTGCAGTTGAAATTATTTTCCAAATCCATACCTTGCCTACATATTGCAGTTCAGGTTTCCCATTACTCCAATTCATTTTCTAGGAAATACACCACTATGTGACAATCCGTGTAAAACAAAACCATGGTTTCATCACCCCACCAAAATGTAGTTAAGGATACTACTTCCACGTGGACCAAAAATAAGGATGTTTCCATGTAGACTTGTGCATAAATTCCGTTCGTCCGTAAATATGTTGAGTTGCCCGAAACAAAAACCCTTTTTTTTTTTTTTTTATATTTTCACTAGACAAGCTGTTTTCACTTTTTTTTTTTTTTAAAGTAACAATTTACATTTATTTTCCCAAACAAAGTTATTTGAATAAGAATTGAAAGAGTTTTGTTTTGGAATAAATCGACAAACAGAACCATATACAGTGTAATGGGACGGTGTAACAGTTTCTCTCTGACAATATCACTTTTTTCCATAGTTGTGTGAATGCTGTATGCAGTATCTGAATGTTTACATAATGATATTTGTGTGTATCTACACATCAGGGCAATTGCATTCAATGTTCTAGATTTCATTAATGGGGTTCTGATTTCCTCCCCACCTTTTGGAGGAGTGATAACTTATTTACTATTTTTACCTTACTTTTTCTGAATGAAAGGTCTGAATATGGTGTATCAGTAGATTAAATAATCGGTTCATGTTTTCAAACCCTAGATGGCAGGGGTGGTCCCTTAAATGCAAGACAGAGCCAGAACACATGTCCTGGTCTGCCTGAGATTAGTGGGAGTTGCACACTCAGGCAGCAGCTAATATTCGTTAAAACAAACAAACAAACAAACAAACAAAAAAAAAAAACACATCATTCTCTGTCCCCAGCTCCTCTGCCGGCATAGCCCGATGGGGAGAGAAACTGCAATAAGTATATATTGGGGATCTAAAGACAAACTTAAACCAATACCCACATGGGCTTTACTAATTTAATTATTCATTTAACATTGCCAAATTTGGATAAGATAACACGTTCCTAAATTACTCTCCCTCTTATACTCTCTGATCCGTGCAGATGTATATTAATGACTTTGTTACATTGGATATTGATTGGTAGTTTACATGAATTGCACTATAATACCTTTGCGTTAAAATATTGCTAAATGGGGTCATTGAGAAATACTTGCAATGCCCATTATATCTGTGGATATATACATTAAATAGCGATGGAATTGTGTTCAGATGTCTGCTACTTGAATAAGCAGAAAATTTGAAGACATCTCTGTGCATTACTTTCTATAGTTCAGATATGATCTAATCTCCAGGAATTCTAGAAATACTACATGTGAGTTTAACTGGGCTCCACTCCAATGACTCCTCTCAAAGTAACTGGACATAAAAGGTGCCAGGTCACAAGTGATTAGAATGCATATTTATATGTATTACAAAAAGAAAACACACACCTCTGCAAATATTTATTGTGCAGATTTAATCACGGCTGTTATCCACGTACAGTGACCAACACTTCAAGTTACAGTCAATGTGTGGTCTCCCGTGGAAACCAACAGGAGAAGCACTGGACATGTGTACATGAAGTGCTTCCCAATTAAGGAATGGAAGCGCTTCTCATATGTTCATGTCTGTTTGGAACCTGCATAATTCACAATTTTTTCTTCCCCACCAATACTATGGACAGAGAATACTATATACAGAATAGAATATTTTGACTTCTATTGTGCTAGACAATCATGGATTCATCTACGCATCATTATGCTAAAGTGAATTTCTTTTCCACCCCAGGTTAAAAATCTTGCCACAATCTTTTTCTTAGCAATATATATAACACATTACATAATTAAAAACAAAATATAGCTTTGTTAGAATTTAATTTTTCACCTTTCCAATATTGTCAACAAAACACCATTAAGTGATGCCTTTCTATTTTATTATCAGTATCTCTTTTATTGTGGTTTATGGTGATTGTACAAATGCTATCCCATTTTTTTTAATCCCTCTAACACGTGGTTTTTCTGTCTTAGTAACCAAAATAACGTCAGCAGGGGGCGCACGACTGAAGGCACTATAACAATTTCAATAAAATAAGGTTGTTAAAGTTCCTACAGTATCCTTTTAACTTTCTGGGAAGCTTGTGAAGCTAGCTATACAGACTGTGATATGCAGAATATACTCTTATTTCTATCAATATTATGGTTATGTTTCCGTGCTATTCTGCTGCGAGTTGGAGGTTTCGGTTTCACCATTTAAAAACACTAAGTATTCCAAAAAAAAGTTTGAAAAGCAAACTAAATGAAACCCCCCACCTCTCCCCCCCAAAACCCCCCCCCACAGATTAATTCTTTCTAGTGACACGGAAAAGGCTTGTGGATTATGTAATCACATACCTATCATGGTCCACACATTTTAAACTAAAGTAGTAAAATGTAACTTATAATTTGTACAATAAACAATACACAAAATCCAGCGCACTCTCCTATCTACTAAACAGCAACTTCAATGTTGACAGATTATAGTCTTTTAAGTTTTCTAAAGGTTTTAAAAAAAAAAACCAAAAAAAACCTAACCTAGGCAAAAAAATAATGGGGATTTAGTTACATTATATGATCATACATTGCATAAGCCTGCCACAGCTAGATATATAAATAAATATAAATAATTTGGCAGTCTAGCCAACTCCTTGGTTTTGCACCCCTCCCTGTTGCAGGTGCCTCATCTCAGGTCCCTATTTAGCCTTGTACTGCAGAGAGCCCCAGATCGATTTTTTTCCCCAAGTAAGTGGGTTATTCATATAAGAGTAGACAGACTGTGAGAGTAGGACCTGCCAAAGATAGGGTACATTGACTTTGTGGCAGGCTTATGCAATGTATGATCATATAAATGTAACTAAATCCCCATTATTTTTTGCCTAGATTAGGTGTTATAATTTGTACAAGTTGAATTGCTAAAATACGTATAGATTTTTCACTAGATATGCCCCACCCTTACCTGACAATCAGGTAGAGATTATACTGCAGATAGAGATGTTGGGGAGTTAGAGGAGACACTTACCAGGAACACACTGGGTCATGATAGAAAATCCAATCCAAGAGCCAACCTGAAACAGAGGACAACGTGTAAATCTCAAAATGTAACCCTTAACGAATACCCATTAAACCTCCAAAGACATTACCTCATATGTGTAGTTAGGACAAGAAACAAGCAGAAACAGCCAGGTAAACGGGTTACGCGTTGGGAAAGGAATCTTGCGTGTTTTAGATCCTGGCAGGTTGCGGGGGGGAAAAAGAAAGTAGACAGCATGAGTAAGTTATTCTATAAAAGGTGAAATTTGTCAAAAAGACAAAATTTCCCAGGGGGACAGACACACTCACCTGCTGGTCGCAGGTTCCTTAGCGCGATGTGTATAGAAAAGTTACCCAGCTGACAAAACTGAAAGAAAAATAAAAGTTATAGATCATAGAAACGGTTCTAATTGTACAAATATTGCACTCTTGAATTTTATCTGGACATTTCCTCAAAGACAATTTATGATAGATGGTCATTGTCACGAACGCACCCTACTTCAAGAGTGTGCGTGATGTAGTTGTGGTGGTGAAAGGGTTAAAGTTCACTATTTGTCTGCACTGAACCGGAAAGAATGATAAAAGTCCACCTTAATACCACCCACACAACCATAATGATATAAATATTACTATTTTAACGCTGCCACCACCAAGACAATTTATAAAATGGGGTGCCTTGGTCCCCCAGGTAACCTAATAAAACCCACCAAATACAACTTGCACAATACCTATGCAATTGCAAAACACTCAGTCTCTTCAGGTAACGTGATTCTTTACCAGACAAAGGCAGAACTTAATAAAGGAATATTTATTATGAGCAAAAAAAAAAAAAAAGTCACAGAGCATACAAAGAAAAAAAATAAATAATAGATGATAAACAAGTTATTTACACCAACAGATAAAAACAAAGGGATAAAGTAGCAGAAGTCCTAATCACTTACTCAGGTTTTCAAAATAAAAATTTCTGCCCAGGGGATCTGGCGACTTACTCAAAAATCAGATTTTGGCCCCAAGCAAGTACAATACACACTTCAGAATCATTAGATATATACCCTGTGGATTATTAAGCCTCGCCCAGAGGTGGAGATAAGGCGTACCTATAAGTGACCCCCCCTTGTGTTCCAGACCAACATCAATCCAAGTGGAAACATTTGGTTCTATCTCCTCTTATGTACTAGCCACAGAAATTATAATTGCATATATTAATTTGTTACCATTTTTCTTACTTGTGACCCAATATAGCAGACATTACAATCCCTTCCCCTATGGTTAAGTTACACAAATCATGTTTTGGCTTGATTAGAAGACTGTGCTTGTCCCATTCTAAATATAATAAAATTTGGCTTAATTATTAAACTGTGGGTAAGTATTAAAGTTTCTTTTGGATATGATACTGGAACACAAGACTTCTCACACCTTGCAGAGCCTCTGATTATTAAAAGAATAAATCCATATGGTAAAACATTTGACCCCTTTCACATCCCTATGCAATTTACATTACCCCTTCTGTCATCCGACCTGTGCCAATTCATATATGCACTACATAAAATGGCAATATTCTATAGTGCAACAATGATTTATGCATCCTTGGTGTGACAGTCATCACTCAATGTACTACATGTGGGTGGTCACAGTAAGCTGGCATAGTTTCATGTGAACTGCAGCTACAAGGTCTCTTGTTCCAAATGGGTGTCAATACTTGTTTTAATGATGCAGAAATCCACACATGTTCCATCTTTGAGGTACAGAATTTTCCTAGTGTTGACATATCTTACCAAGAAAATAATGACGGCCATCCTCACTTGCTTCTCGCCAAACACTACCAGAGAGAGAGAGAGAAATCTTTATTAACTCTATAGTAATCAATAAACTCCACTCTCAGCATGCAAGGCATTTAACAAACGGTAGCTGCGTGTCCCCTGGAACCTTCAAGGTTTTCAGGTTTGCTGCTTCTTGTCAGGATTTCAAGGGGACAACCCTCTAAGACATGGGGATTGTTACATGTAGTTCAAACCCTAAAATAGGAAATCTAGTCTATTTCAGAAAAAGGATCATAGGTTTTCAGTTGAACAATTCACTTTTATGGGCACAACTTCCCTTTCCTATCCATGCAGAAGATCCAAGACCAAGGAAAACTGCGTATAGTGTGTGCCGATTCTAGCTTGCTGTAAATGTGAGATGCCCAGGTTATCTGTATTAGAAGCCATATGGGTAGGAACTTTAAGACGTTCACTACTGCACATATTACTGATCATAAAGGTTTCAGATTAAGATTGAGGGACAGCAGATATCCTTGGAGTTGTTCTGAGGTGGTTTTGTATTTCATGTCACGTAGCTCCTTTTTCAGCATTTATTTCCATTTACCTCTCTCCACTCTTCAGTATCACTGTGTACTGCACTCTTCATGCACAAAACTATGATTGCGAAATTATATATGCATGTATATATACACACACACACACACAAACAGGAAATCTAAAAATATACAGACTCACCTGGAGGAGTATAGAGAGGATGGTTAATGTAATAAGCCATCCAAGCAGCAAATCCCCAGTAATACATGCAGTTCTGGGAGGAAATAAAAAAATAAATCTTGAGCAGCATATACAGTTCTATTATTTAACAATACAGCCAGTCTCAGCATCTGAGAATACCACCCCATAGATTTTCATTGATTTTGACATTTCTTTGATATTCCAACTTAAATTGAAGATGTAGATCTAATGTAATTGTCAAAATGTGGCAAAATGCAGAGTTTCTGCAGCAGAAGGTCATGACAACAAAACTTGAAACAGACCTCTTCTTGCACAATGCAAAATAGAGGCCTGTGATGCTTTATTGCAAGATTATCCATTGGAGATTGTCGTTTTGCTCCCTAGACCCAGTTTAGAACAGAAGCGAAGATGGGTCATGGCAGATGATGTTGTGAGGAGTAGAATAAGTATGGTGGCATTAAGAGACAACTTCATATATTCTCCTTTAAAAAGGACACTATAGTCACCTGAACAACTTTAGCTTAATGAAGCAGTTTTGGTTTATATAACATGCCCCTGCAGCCTCACTGCTCAATCCTCTGCCATTTAGGAGTTAAATCCCTTTGTTTATGAACCCTAGTCACACCTCCCTGCATGTGACTTGCACAGCCTTCCATAAACACTTCCTGTAAAGAGAGCCTTATTTAGGCTTTCTTGCAAGTTCTGTTTAATTAAGATTTTCTTATCCCCTGCCATGTTAATAGCTTCCTAGACCCTGCAAGAGCCTCCTGTATGTGATTAAAGTTCAATTTAGAGATTGAGATACAATTATTTAAGGTAAATTACATCTGTTTGAAAGTGAAACCAGTTTTTTTTTCCATGCAGGCTCTGTCAATCATAAGCAGGGTAGGTGTGGCTAGGGCTGCATAAACAGAAACAAAGTGATTTAACTCCTAAATGACAGTGAATTGAGCAGTGAAATTGCAGGGGAATTATCTATACACTAAAACTGCTTTATTTAACTAAAGTAATTTAGACTATAGTGTTCCTTTAAAATATACTGATCACCGTGGTCTCCTCCATATAAGCAGACATGTCACCTGGTGGGACTTTGCAAAAAAATGCTAACACCCCACACAGCATCATTATGCAGCATTAAAGCATTATCTATTTTATTGCAAAAACGTGCAGCAACCATCCATCAGGATTTTAATACCCTGCCCTTATTAGATATTCTCAAACCATCATAATCACCTATGCTGTTTACAAAAGTTATGGTGAAAGAAAGTCCCCTTGTCAACGTACTCTGTTATTTATAGCTGCAGTGATTTATTATCATAGCTATAAACCGAACCTCTTAGCTCATGGATAGATATTTATGCCATCTGCATACTATACCAGTCCTTACTGACTTTTAAAGGCTATTTCACACCTTTGTTTTGGGAAAAACAAAACAAGAACACACACACACAAACATTTTGTCTTTCTGGTGCTAATGAAAGTACTATAGTACTATAACTAAAATATCTTATCCTGATAGAACACATCCATTTGTTTCTCAACATTATAATTCAGAAACTCCACAAATCCGAACTTTATTTTTTTGTTCAATTTGTTTTTATTAACAGGTTTTTATAGATTACAATATTGGAATAAAATAGAAACTTAACAGTTATATTATGGGGTAACAAGAAGGGGAAAAAGATTTAAATTAAAGGGGGGGGGGGGCGGGGGAAAGGTGGATTCCATCCTTATGTTTCAAAATTAGAAATGACAGGTGTTTAAAGTCAAGATGTGCAACACAGAGTACACTGAAGTACTTAAAAAAAAAAAAATGCAATAGTTACTTTATAAAAATGGTATTGCAGGGTGTGTGAGATTAATTATATCCAGTATTTTTTCTTTATATCTGATTTTTGATCCCCAGTGTAAACAAATTTCTATTGGAGGATTTCATAGTAAATGCAAACACAGTGCACTTACCTTAAATATGTTCCTTAGCGGCATTGTACCATGAGAGAAGCGATGAACAAATAGGGTTTCCAGGATACGTTTAACGTAGTGAAACGAGTGACATATACAGGCCAGGCTGCAATATATTAAGATATGAAATATTACATGTTCATCGCGGTCACATTCAAGGAAACACTAACTAAATATCCCAAGATGGAGACACTGAATATATAGTAAAATAGTTATGTGAAGCTTACAGGTGTCCAAGGGTGAAAGGTTTGTATATAGTTATGCAATGTATAACTTCTGCACTAAAGGGGATTAGTATTGATTCATGGACTGGGCAGTGTGTGTCCAGAGGTATAATATTCAAATAAACTGGATCACGGGTACACTGAATGACTAAAGTCAAATGTGCTAAATTAAAGAAATATTCCTCTTTATGTTTTTTTTTTTTTTAAATGAAAACACAACTTATTCCTAAAATGCAGCAAATAGCAGATAGAGTTCACACACGCACAGGACAGAGACTAAGAATACTCACTGTACTACAGAATGCCGGCTTGTGATGAAGTCATATTTGGGTCCATAAATAAAAGGGACGCGGAAATAGAAGAGTAAGTATATAATAAGTGGTCCTGCATATTCCGTCAGGAATACCTGCAAAAACAAAACATGGCAAATATTACCATACAGGGTAAAATAACGACATTTTAACAGAACCTAAAAGATGAAAGTGGGGGTTATCCATAGTGGATGTTTACATAATGAATCGCATGGAAAGCACATTCTGCTCAGGACACATGTAAATAGATTGTACTAGCGTGATATTGCGTTAGATCAAGATATTTAACATCTATCATATAAGCTGGATTAATAGGGTAAAAAATTGGATTGCAGCTAGAGAAATGTCCGGTTATTGTAATAAAACATGCACACGTTTCTGGCTGCTTTAGCTCACAACAGATCTGCTGTGAATCTTTGTGTACCAGTCTATCCTGAAGAGTTTCCAGCGCCTTGATTTGTTCCTAAAGCCATCCAAGTACCATGTTACTGCTATAGCAAACACTGAACAGCATTCTCAGAATCCAAACTTGTCATTTTGTTTTCTATCTGGCTTTGTGCTTAAAGGACCACTATAGTGCCAGGAAAACATACTCGTTTTCCTGGCACTATAGTGCCCTGAGGGTGCCCCCACCCTCAGGGCCCCCCTCCCGCCTGGCTCTGGAAGGGGGAAAGGGGTTTAAACTTACCTTTTTCCAGCGCTGGGCGGAGAGCTCTCCTCCTTCTCTCCTCCTCCGTTCCGCCCCGTCAGCTGAATCTTTATGTGACGCAAGAGCTTCTTGTGGCGCATTCAGCCGGTCATAGGAAAGCATTTACAATGCTTTCTATGGGCCTTCGTCTTTCTCACTGTGAAAATCGGTGGGAAACGCATAGCGCCTGATGGCTTGATCAATAGGACAGCCACTAGAGGCTTTAAGGAAAGGCTTAACCCATTAATAATTAACATAGCAGTTTCTCTGAAACTGCTATGTTTAAAAAATGGGGTTAACCCTAGCTGGACCACAGCACCCAAACCACTTCATTAAGCTGAAGTGGTCTGGGTGCTAATCACTTAACCCCTTAAGGACTGGACTGTTTTTGCGATGTTGTACATCTCATTTACTGTTCCCATACAAATTATATATTGTTTTTTTCAGGACAAAAGGGGCTTTCTTTACATACCATTATTTATATAATCTCATGTATTTTAATTTAAAAAAAATAAAAAAATATGATGAAAATTGAAAAAAATACATGTTTTTTGACTTTTACTTGAAAAATCTTTTACTCATCTACAAAAGCGAATTAAAAAAACTGCTAAATAGATTCAAAATTTTGTCCTGAGTTTAAAAATACCCCGTGTTTACATGCTTTTTTGCTTTTTTTTGCATGTTATAGGCTATAGGTACAAGTAGAATATTGCGGTTTCAAAACATAAATTTTTTAAATTTATCAATAGTGAGATTGTAACACTATTATCTGTCATAAATCTCTGAATAACACCCCACATGTACATATTTTTTTTAAAGTAGACAACCCAGGGTATTCAATATGGGTTATGTCCAGTCTTTTTTAGTAGCCATTTAGTCGAAAACACTGGCCAATGTAAGCATTCATATTTGTTTGTGTGTGAAAAAAGTAAAAAAACTAAATTGAACGCTAATTTTGGCCAGTGTTTGTGACCAAGTGGTTACTAAAAAAGACTGGACATACCCCATTTGCAATACCTTGGGTTGTCTTCTTTTGCAAATGGTATGCCATCATGGGGGTAATTCTCATTCCTGGGCTACCATACGCTCTCAAAGGCAACGTAACCAACCTGGCCATTTTCAATGTAAAAATATTTGACCCATGTATTTGACCTTGTAACTTTCAAAAATGCTATAAAACCTGTACATGGCGGGTACTGTTTTACTCGGGAGACATCGCTGAACACATATTAGTGTTTAAAAACTGGAAAACGTATCACAACAATTATATCAGTAAAAGTGCTGTTTGTGTGTGAAAAATGCAAAAAAAGTAACTTTCACTGACAATATCATCGCTGTGATATGTTTTACTGTTTTGAATCACTAATATTTGTGTTCAGCGAAGTCTCCCGAGTAAAACAGTAAATTCCTATGTACAGGTTTTAGGGTGTCGTAGAACGTTACAGGGTAAAATACGTGCTAGCAAATTAAATTCTCTGGAATTTCGGCCCGGTTGGCAGGCAGGTCCCTCAAATTGCAATCAATAAAATTACTGAATTATGTAAAAATATTACATAAATACGCACGTAGAATTTAAATATATATGCATATTTATATATTTGAAGTCTACGTGTATATTTATATAATTATTTATGTAATTTTGTATATGAACATATGTATATTTCGTATTATTTTTATTTATTTATATATACATAGATATATATACAAATTCATTCTAAGTGTATTTTGATATAAATATATATATATTAATTTTAAAATACAGTTAGAATAAAATTTCATATAGCTATATAATTTTTTTAAAATTTTTTATTATTATTTAAAAAAATTTTTATTTAATTTAAATTACTTATTATTTATATTTTATAATAATATATATATACAATATATATAGTTATTATATATATTATATATATACGTGTGTAATTTAATTATAAGTGTATTTTTATATTAATATAAGTACATATTAATATAAAAATACACTTAGTATGACATTATATATATGATATATAGACATATATTATATAGATATAATATATGTCTATATATCATATATACACATATATAATTATTATTATTTTTTTTATTAACACTAACTTTATTTTTTTTCTGATTTTACACTAGCAGGGAGACTGCCTGTCAGCACAGACAGTCCCCCTGCAGGCAGACACATGGACACCTATTGTGACCATGTGATCGCTGTGTTAAGCGATCACATGGCCACAGGGGTCCTAAATCAGTGTGGGGAGACTGTCTGGGCTGCAGGCAGTCTCCCCACAACCGGAGCTACGCTGATCGCCGCCGGGGGAACGACGGCGATCAGGTAAGTAACGGAAACCGTTAGGACGGTTCAGGACCGTCATCGGTCCTCAATGGGAAAATCCCATCCTCGGTCGGGAAGGGGTTAATGGAGCTTCAATGTGTCACTGTATTTTACTCCGTCTAAGTCATGAATGCAAATATATCAACAAGGCTCATGGAAAATGACTCAATGGACATGTTCCAGGTATATCCTACAGCTGCTCCATTGGAGATAATTGCGGTGATTAACACATTTCTCAGTCTGCTCAAGCTTTCTTTATGATCTTGTTCATTGATTAATCCCCCTCTACACATCTGATCACTTGTCAAATAAACAGATTAGAGCAATTATGTATTTTACAAGAATCCTTTAACCCCCTTAAGGATCAAACTTCTGGAATAAAAGGGAATCATAACATGCCACACGTCATGTGTCCTTAAGGGGTTAAGCAGAAATGTAGAATTTGTTAAATACATATGGTCTATGAACATTAAAGAGTGCAGTAAATAGAACATACAAAAATGCAATCTATTTACCATTGCTAAACTGTGAACTGTCTGAAAGTAGACAGGCAATTTCATTTGCATTGAAAGTAGTGGACTAAAATCCATCATAAATGATTTTTTCTTTTAAATGACTATTTTGACCTTAAATGTGATATTCATTATGAATACCCAGCAGGTATGTTTATTGAATAACTGTAATTCTTTTGATCCAGTTCTTCAGCCATGAAGGTTTCTAGATAAATCGTGATCTAATATTACATGGTAATAGTTTGTAAGACCATGCTGTTTAATAACATGCGCTTTCTATGTGGTCATGGTACAAGCAGACTATGGGTGCAGTCCCTGCAATTTTTGTAAAATCGCTTCAGCTGCCAACAAAAGTACAAAGATGTGATCCTGTCTTAATCTGGCAGCACTTGGGGAAATGGCACTACAGAGCCAAATCCCACTATATTTTGGCCCCATAACGAGGAAGTAGAATTTACAAGTATAAAATGGCGCAGACAATAAAATAAATATAAAAAAAAAAAAAAAAAAAAAAAAAAAAAAAAAAAAAAAAAAAAAAAAAAAAAAAAAAAATCTATACAATACTAAGTAGCAGCACCTTATTAGTGTATTTAGCTTTAAAAAAAAATAAAAAATAAAAAAAAAAAATAGAGAAAATATCAAACCAAAAAAATAAAGTGAGCTGTGCCTTTAAGAATTGTGCCAATAATTTATCATGCAATAACCACAATATTGCAAATGAAAATTGTGCGCCACAAAAACCCCAAAACATGCAATACAATAACCTCAATATTGCAAAAAATAATTGCTAAAATACTGTGCAAATATTACATAAAAAAGTGCGAGAGAGAGAGAGAGAGATATCTCGTTTTCCTTTTCATGTTGAACTTTACAAAATTTGCAAGTATAATATTTTAATACTTTCACAGTGTATTGGCACAAGAAGCACAATTCTTAAAGGCACAGCGCACTTTATTTTTTGGTTTAAAGTAGAATTTACTGTCAACAGTGGGAAGGTGTCATTGGGTTCTGCAGAAATCAGGTTTTGTTTCAGTCAAAACAGCTTGAAGTATCTTTTTTTTCCTCTCTCTAATACTATGATTTATTCACGTAACCCATTTTTGCAGAATTATGTTCTCTTATTGTGAAGGATCTTTGCGTTTTCGGTTCTTGATTTTCTGCAATTTAGGTGATATTTATGGGATTCTCCATCCATTTTTATTAGTGAGCTATATCGCTATCTCTCGATATATTTTGTGTACTCACAGTCACCCAGCTGATCTGTGCACCCAGGTCTCGGAAGTAGAGAGTTGCGGTTGTCCCCACGGGCAGATTTTGTAGAACATCCTCATCCTTCAATGATCGACCCTCTGTGACATACAGGGAGAGGTTAGATACAAAGATCACTCAACACAAGGTCCAATAATTAACTGGTCACAAACAGACCATACCCAGTGTACATCACAGAAACATTAATATAAATAAGGGGTACACACAGACACTGGGCTAGGACTTAATTTAGTATTGAGGCTACTAAAAGCAAAAAAAAAAAAATCCAATGTATGCTTTCCAAAAAAAAAAAAAAAAAAAAAACACACACATACACCTCATTTCCCACAGGTCGAAATAAGGCTATTTGTTGGTGCAGCAGAAAATGAGACTTACTAAACCAAATTAAAAACAACTTGCAAGGTCCCATTTCAGATATCCTATATCTGCTTGTACATTCTAAAAACATTAAATTTAATAGCCCATTTCTGCACTGCATGTCGGTGGGGTCAAGATGATTGGGTGTCAACTGAATCAAGGCTAGCATTTGGAGTGGGCCGTTGATGTTGGCCATTAGGGCTACTTATCTACAACTCTGACTAATCTCTGCTCCGCTAAAATGGCCCCACAATTTACGGCACCCAGACACCACATGATCTGTCAGGCTTTGGAATATCAGACAGCTTGTACACTTTATATGGGGCCAGAATAGAATGTATTACATTTTTATAGCTCTAATGGTATTTTAACAAGGTATTGTATGACAAATAAAAATTTAAAAACTTAAATATTGTAAGTAACTAACTTTAATATGCATTTCTTTTATATTATTGATGTGTGGGGATCCTGCTTTAATATTGACAAAATTTTAAATACATAAAACCTGCTGTTTCTAATAACGAGTGATGACATTTATACAGTAAGTTTGTCACATGTCCCTTTAAAGTAAACAGATACACACTAAACATTACCTTGTTAAATACTCGCTGATACTTTTTAAACACAATTGGTAAACAGACATTGACTGCTTAGCCTTCTTAAAAACCAATATCCATTATGCTACTACTTACTGGGATCGAGACGCAGGGACTGTCTGGCAGGGTACCACTGGGGGTCTAGAACAAGATTTAAAATAAATATTAAATGTAAATTACATATTCTCTTTTGGTATTTGATTAAATTAACACTTGAATGTTAGAAATACAGATTTGTGTTCCTAACGTTAGATGTTTTGCAATTTAGATTATTGAATCATCACCACGCCTCCATACCCCTCCCTGCCTAAAATTAAGACATCGTATTACTTACCATTCTTAGGAATTGGGGAGACTAGTGCATGGTAATTGATGGATCAATGCATTTCTGTGGGGAGAGATCGGCGTCTTCATGCTGAGCGCAAACACGCCAAAACGTCAGTCCTGCAAAGCTTGTGGGAATGCACCGGAAAACATGTATCAATTCCAGCTACTAGAGGTGTTCCTGGCTAGCAATGCAATCACAGCTTTTTCTCAGAAAAGGCTGTGTTTGTATTTCAGAGGCTGCCAGGGCACACTTATTGTACCAGAATCACTACATTAAAGGGACACTATAGTCACCCAGACCACGTCAGCTCAATGAAGTGAAGTGGTCTGGGTGCCAGGTCCCCCAGGTTTTAACCATTCATATGTAAACATTGCAGTTTCAGAGAAACTGCTATGTTTACATTGCAGGGTTAATCCAGCCTCTAGTGGCTGTCTTCCTGACAGCCGCTAGAGGTGCTTCTGCAACGCTGGATGCGAAAATCGCGTTCAGCGTGCAGAACGTCCATAAGAAAAGCATTGAGAAATGCTTTCCTAAGGACTGTTTGAATGTGTGCGCATCGCTTGCTCCACTCGGGAGCTCACGTCGTTAGGGGGAGGAGAGGTAACCAGCGCCGAGGGAGCCCAGCGCTGGTTAAAGGTAAGTGGCTGAAGGGGTTTTAACCCCTTCAGCTCAGCGGGAGGGGGACCGTGAGGGTGGGGGGAACTAAGGGACATATAGTGTCAGGAAAACAAGTAAGGATAGAAGTCAAAATATCCCATTTGAACAATTCTTCCAACTCTGCTAATTTATCTTATATTTTGCATTGGTCTTGAGATTATTTTTTATTTGTCACTTCATTATTAAAACCATCCATAGAAACAGGTTAGTTCCCATCATGAATACCTACGGAATTTTGTGAACATATTCTTAATGTCTGTAATGGTTGCATTGGGCTCCACCTAAAAAAATACAAAAGAAAACAAAAATATCTATGTTCAAAAAGTACCAAAAACCCATCATTCTACTACACCACTGTTAAGAAGTTAGCAGAGCTCCCATTTAAGCGTCATGAGCAGAGAATAAAAAGAGAAACATGATCTCAGGATAACTTTTCCCATGATGCTCAGCCAGATCACAAACGTAAGTCCTCACTGGTACAAAGCTTCATCTTAATGGGAGACTATTAGCTACATCTCACTGAAGGGGCTCTAGTGTCTGGAGTTCCCTGGTGCCATCTTTCAATTCAGTGTTGAACAATTTTTAATGCTAAATTAGTCCCCATCAGCCCATCACCAACGGGGCTCTTTTGACAAATGAGAAAGCATTAAATGGAGAGCTGACCACTTTAGGTCTATCACTGCTGCCTGTTGCTGGAATTCATTGGTTAAGGAAGTGTGCAATGTCAGACCTAACCATATCTCTAGTAAGGCTGGGCTCTGAGTGGCCTGGGGTCCTAATTCATTGTAAAACAGTTTGTTGAATGGTTTAACACTAAAGAGTGGAAAAGTGCCACCGCTTCAAGCACAATAACCAATTCAATGAGATGAAATGGTTACACCCCCTACTTAAAGGGAAACTATAGTCGCCAGAATAACTACAGCTTAATGTAGTTGTTCGGGTGTCTATACCATCGTATAGACCGGCCTAGGCAGCGTTTACACTGCAGCCTAGGAACACCTCTAGTGGCCAGTCCCCAGACTGCCACTAGAGGTGCTTCCTGTGTCAGTACGTTCAGCGCCTCCACGCTCTGAAGAGACATAACTTTCCTCACAGAGATATACTGATTCAATGCATTTCTATGAAGAGATGCTGATTGGTCAGGGTGGCATTTGGCTGCACCCCTGTCCCACCTCCTTTGCTGAGATCATCAGAATTGAAGATCTCAGTCAATCCAATGCTTTACCATGGGAAAGAATTGTGATTGGCTAAGATCAACTTCTGATCATGTCAGCCAAGAAGGCAGATCAGGGGCTGAGCCAGCACCAGCAGACTAGAATAAAAGTTAAGAGGATACTATATTTAGGTGGAAGGGCGGCTGGATAGTGATATTAACACTATAGGGTCAGGAATGCATGGTTGTGTTCCTGACCCTATAGAGTCTCTTTAAAACAGAGTCCCAGTTGCATAGTGCGGTCATTTTAACTGCCATTATAAGGAGGGGGGACAAAGTGAAAAATGTTTTTAGCTTTTAAGAGAATTTATACAACTGAAGAGTAAGTTTCACAGTTGTTAAATTAAATTATTAGATAATATTGGAATATATTTATTTCCATTTAGATTTGAAACCTGTCAATTCACTGCTTAGTGAGTAACCAATTGTCATATTCAGGAAAGTGTAAATTGTTCGGAATTCAAAATGAATTACAATAGAATTTCTAATGGTAGGCAAAAACAGCCAACTGAAAAAAGAGATCTACTAGCAGCATTGATTCCAATGTGGCGGTTCTGTTCTAAAACATGAGAACACCTCTGAATTCCCACTTCAGAGAATGAACCTGTTGGTAACTGGGTGGGTTAACAGCACATAAAGCCAATTTGGTGTCACAGTATGGATTCCTCTAACACCTAGGATGAGCAATTTCACACCTTCCATCTTTTGGACTACAACTCCCATCAGCCTAAGCTGCAGAGTAAAGTATGTTGAGAGTTGAAGTCTCTCAACAGCTGAAGAGTTCCTTTTCATCTCTTAACCCCCTGTGGCTCCTTTCCAGGCCCCTCCCTTCACTTAAACAGGGGTCTTATTTAGTGGCCTCCGCCCCAGAATTCTCTAATCCAATATATGTTCTTACCTTGTCCAGGAAACACAGCTTCTCCCGAGTCTTGGCATCCAGGATCTCCACCTCAAAATAAACAGTAGCACGTTTAGCTTTTTTAGCAGGTTTTGGGGCTGAACGCTTGGTGCCTTGCTCTGTTGACGCTTTGGCAGGCTGGCGCAATTCCGTGAGCACAGAGTTCATATCCATGGCTGCAGAATTAATTTCTATGGGTTCTTGTATAAAATCAGATTATCTCCAACGCCTTCAAATGGTTCAAGGTTCCCCTCAAATACACACACACACAAACACACACAGAGGGCTATGTCTGCAAAGGACTGTCTTAAAGCTGTTTTTCTCTTCAGCACTTTTACTGTATAAGTTTTCTTATTGACTTGTTTTCCGGAGACCTACTGCAATATCAGCATTCTTCCTGTCTGCTCAACCTCACTCTGTCAACACTGTGTCCTCCTAAGAACCTGTCTCTATGACAAGTGAATTACATTCCTTGCAGTCTGACAGTACAGGATGTCACTCTTTGCCCCTACTTCTGCCCCCTACTACCTTTATCTTTGCACTCTCTCAGAAAGCCAGTGTCTCTATATCGGAGTCACTTTCTGAAGTTTATGATGCAATCACTCACTATACAAACTGTCTTGTGTGAAACTGGTCTCTCTCAGCACTCTAATCTCAATCTTTCCCTACGGTCTATAGCCAGCCACTCTGTCCCTGTCCGATTTACTCTGTTCCCCCCAAGTCTCTAACTTCCCCCCCTCTTTCTCGGTGTCCCTTGCTCCCCAGATGTAATATGAAGAAGGACACTATATTTATCACTCACTAGTCTCTTTCACATCTGTCAGTTCGTACTTCCCGAGACTCCCACCCACCAAGAAATGAGACCCAACACACAGACCTGAGACTCCACACCAGGCATTTTGTATCTGCTGAGCCTAGCAAACATGCCACACACGGAGACCCCAACTCGGTGAAACCCACCCAAGTGAGTCTTAAATCTGCAAAATGACTGTAAAGACCCCCGACAGCCCATTCTTCCAACCTTCCCACCTGCTGCTAGCCGAGAGGTATATACATTACAGGTATCCTCTTCTACTGTTCCCCATTTAGAAGACCTGCGCTCATGCCTTAGTTCCCTGCCTGGGGCTACTCTCCCCTCCCAAATAAAGGTACTGCATTTCTTCTCAATCCCCTTATCCCTCTCCTTATCCTGGCTGCACCCGGGATGTCTCTCTACACCTCCCAAGCTGTCTCTTGGTATTCATGGATATCAGCAAATATCTGGGCTCAGTCCCAACACTAAAAATAGACGGCACCTCCACTGCTACAGCCCAGGCAAGCTTCCATAGGGAGAGCAGAAGTACGCACATATTGCTTGAGACATCCACACACACTGACAGACCAAGAGAACACTTAAGTTTGGGATGCAGCTCTGAAGAAGTATGCATAGAAGTGTTGGGATCTGCAGTGCAATGGATCATTAACCTCTTCCAGTTATTAACTCTGCAGGTGACGGTTCCATTAAACCCTGCGCTGTGGCACTTTGCTCCTTTCGGAGCAAATCGTAATTGGGCAAATTATATCAGAGCAAATCCCAAAGTGAATTACTACTCAGCAGAGGGTGGCTTCAGTAATTTTCAGGGGAGCACCGCCTCCCTGTGACAGCTGTGGGAGCTCAGATTATGGATACTCTGCAAACAGGCAGAAGCAATAAACTTTTTAGCGTAGCGATGTGCTGGTGAAGCACAAAGGGAGCCGACTTATTAGCTTGCTTCAAGTCTGGAAATATTATTTTACGCTTTAGCACTTTGCAGTAGCAGTGCTGATAAATTAATGATCTACGTGTCTGCTTCAGAACAGGGCTCTCTGCTGGACTGGAAGTGTTAACTGATCAATGCTCTGCATATTGCAAGGGAATTTGTAAATTGAGCCATGCTTTGTTGATTGTGGAAGGGAAGCATTCATTTTGGCCCCAAGCTGCAGGTCTGATTACATAAGGATTATGTAAAAACGCTTTATTTGTAAGGAACTTGGATGAATGAGCGATTGATAGGGGAATTGGAAAACACACTGTTGATTTATAAGGTAAGGGTTAAATGGAAAGATATTGGGTTAATTGGTGATTTATTTTTTAAGCTGGAAAGGGTTCAACCTTTTGGAAAGGTTAATTATGGACAGCATTTTACAAGTTCCTGTCTGGACAGGTGATAAGTCCCACAGTGAAAGACTCAAACCCCAAATTACGAGCGATAAATGTGCATGTGATGCCTTGGTAGGCGTGTGGTAACTGCCCAGAACTGCCAATAACTCCAAATGCCTTGCACACCACAAATTCAACAGGGTGTTAACAACGTTGCGCAACAACCTGCTACTGGATGAGACAACATTTACAACGGCAGAGAAAAAGAAAGACGACAAGAAGCCGCCGCACAGAGGGACGGAATCCTGATCAAAAAGTAAGTATTGATTGCTTGCTTACAATGATGGCCTGAGGCACTCTTTTTCAGCGACAGGTTGGGCGTACTACTTTTAATCACTGCCAGTATCCCAGTCAATGAACTTTAGAAAAAGGGCAGTACAAAGCTTTTATTAAATGATAGGAAGAACTAAATTGCAAACCAAAAATATTTAACAGTCGCTGTACTATAGAAATTGACACTGCAATAAAATCTGCCTAATGCCTTTTTTTTAACATTCGATATTAAAACGTTTAATATTTAACGTTAAAATTAACGCTCCAATTTTAGAGAAATTGGCTAGGGAAGAGGTAAAGCTAAACAATTAGTTTCTGCATCCATTAAATCTCTCACCCATAGCTTGAATCAGGAGCTATTGCTTGCACCGGACTGTCAGATCAGTGTTTTTCTGGACATATATCACTTACATGTATTGATGGGCAGAGCATGAAAAGTGCTTCACTGCAGAAGGTAATATTTAGATGCCAAAGTTAGCTCATCTTTTCATTAAGTGAAGATAAATCCATATATATTGCAGAGGAGCACCATTCATATACAGGCCACTACAGTTGGGGGAGGGAAATTAAAAAAATAAATAAAAATACATATACAGGGAACTTCTATGGACCTAGCAGCCATAACCAGGAACTTCTTTACACTGAACTACCGTACTCTAATGTATGCATTCAAGTAGCGGTCATGCCAGGGCTTTAATTCTGCGCACTCTATTAGCTCAACAACTACAAGCCCACTTATTTCCCAATTCTACTTCCATGAACACAGCCAGATATTCCTTTTACTAATTATTTACTAATGTATCCAAAAAGTGAATATTATCCTGAAGTAGCCAAACAAAGAACATAGACTTGCAGTTTCTAAACTTTCGAAATTAACTTTGAATTCCTGAAAATTATTAGCAAATAACACTTGGGTCTAATTATGAAATCTGAGGTGTAGTGAATTGAAATGATTTCCAAAGTTGTGACTGTAGAGGAATTGGAGAATTATTCCAGATCAGCTATTTTTACCTAAATTTGGACATTCACTACAATCCAGACTTCAGTGAAAAATGTTACCTGTTCATGAATAACCATGATATTGTCGTTTACTATTCAGCAGTTTGGGATATTTCCTTGGAGAAAAGGCGTTTGGGCTTGCGTGGACTATAAAAAACAGTTAAAATGATTACTCAAAATGAATTTCAAATGTAAGGTCAAAATAGCCAAAGTAAAAAAATACTGTAAGTCAACTATTCTTTCAGTTCGACTAATCTGGCTTTAGGTCTGAAATTCTCCTTGAATTCTCACTTGAGTGAATAAGTCTGATGGTATAAAACTACACCTTTTATAATTTGCACTAAAATAACTTGTTCCAATGCAAACTGGGAGTGCAGTTATTTAAAGATGTAACAGTTTCAGTTCTGCACCACTTACAAAATAATGCTTACAGTAAACACTGGTTAAAAGTAGTTTGTTTAAACCTTCAAATAACTTGAGTTCACAGTAAAGAACATACATTTCATCTATACAGCATGCTAGCAAGTGTAGATTTTAATGTAATGCTCTTTAAATATTTGGTCCCCATCAATCATTTCTCTGCCTAGAGGTCTACACAAAGGATTAAGGGACAGAAAAAAAAAAAAAGTTCCCCTGTTACCCATCAGAGTGTTACTGCCCCAGCACGCACTTCTTCTAAGTGCATGTAGAGGTACCTTATAGTTGGTGCATTAAAGGATCACTATAGTGTCAGAAAAACAAAGCAGTTTTCCTGACACTATAGTGCCCTGAGGGTGCCCCCACCCTCAGGGTCCCCCTCCCCTGGCGCCGGGCTCCCTCGGCGCTGGTGACCTCTCCTCCCCGTCCGACAGCACTTGAGCGGAATGTGCATGCGCGGCAAGTGCCGCGCGCGCATTCAAAGTGTCCATAGGAAAGCATTTCTCAATGCTTTCCAATGGACGCTCTACGCAGATGCGCTTCTAGTGGCTGTCCGGAAGACAGCCACTAGAGGCTGGATTAACCCCAAATGTAAAAATAGCAGTTTCTCTGAAACTGCTATGTTTGCATCTGAAAGGTTAAAACCTGAGGGACCTGGCACCCAGACCACTTCATTGAGCTGAAGTGGTCTGGGTGACTATAGTGTCCCTTTTAACTAAAGGACAGACACATCGGATATATAGGGTTAAGTGAGCGATAAAATTAGGGTTAGGTAATTGCTAACAAATAGGAGTAAGAATAATGTTTGTTTTTCCCCTAGTGACATTAAAGGACCACTATAGTGCCAGGAAAACACTCGTTTTCCTGGCACTATAGTGCCCTGAGGGTGCCCCCACCCTCAGGGACCCCCTCCCGCCCGGCTCTGGAAAGGGGAAAGGGTTAAAAACTTACCTTTTTCCAGCGCTGGGCGGGGAGCTCTCTGCCTCCTCTCCTCCTCCTGGGCTGAATGCGCACGCGCGGCAAGAGCTGCGCGCGCATTCAGCCCGTCGCATAGGAAAGCATTTACAATGCTTTCCTATGGACGCTGGCGTGCTCTCACTGTGAAAATCACGGTGAGAAGCACGCAAGCGCCTCTAGTGGCTGTCAATGAGACAGCCACTAGAGGAAATAGGGGAAGGCTTAACCCATTCATAAACATAGCAGTTTCTCTGAAACTGCTATGTTTATAAAAAAAAATGGGTTAACCCTAGAAGGACCTGGCACCCAGACCACTTCATTAAGCTGAAGTGGTCCTTTAATCTCTAAAAATTACCCCTAAATCTAACATTAAACCTAAATGTCGTGTGTCCCAGTGTTTTAGTGAGCCCCAACTAGAAGTGTGAAACTAGTTGAAACACTGCACCTACCACTTCAAATAACTGAAGTGGTCATGGTAGTTGGAGTAACCCTTTAACATTTTGTCAACATAGAGTACCCACTACTTTTGTCTTTATCTTCTCTCGTTTACGATGAAATTACAACAAAACTATAATATAGTCAAATGGAAGATTTTACATTTAAGGACTTCTACAAAAAAAAAAGTTGCTATATCATCATTTTAGAGACTTATTACAGTGTTTTGTGATAAATTTAACATGGCTGGGTTATTCACTTAACTCAGATTTGTAGCAAATTTAAATGCATGATAAAATAAGCAAGCTATGGTGTAATGGAGAATCTGTAATTGTTGCCTTTATGGTTGCATTTCATACTACAACTTTTCTTGTTCTGCAATCTTTTCTCTCTCAGAATACAGATAACTAATGCACTACAAAATGAGCAACACAAGAAGAGGAGGAGGAGGAGAAAAAAAAAAAAAAAAAAAAAGCAGTGCATCCCTTATCTTGAGACTTGGGACTGTGACAGTATTTGTTTCAAGGTTATATTCACTGAAACATGGCTATTCTGGCCTCAGTTTAACCATTTAGACTTAATTTGCTAACATTCATAACATAGGTTACTTAATAGACCAGTGTGTGTTTCTATATTATAATCCACCAATACAGGTATTTCCTTAAAGGTACACTACAAGCACCACTACCATTACAGAGTGCTGTAGTGGCTATCTTGCCAGAACTGCCCTCCAAATGTAAGTAATCACCTCCTTCAAGCGCTCTAGAATGAGCTAAGCAAAGTGGTGTTGGGCTCAGACAGCCAACGTAAGCTCTGTGCTGGCGTTTTTAGCTCTCATTAAAGTGAACAGCATTCATCAAGCTCCAGCTAAGTTGGCAAATGGTGCCAGGGCATGGTTATGGTGCTTGGAGGATTCCATTACAGTTTTATGGCTGCTTCCCTAAAACTAAGGTCAACTGATTTCCATGACACACAGACAGTCAACAGGTGTCCAAACATATGTTGGAATGAATAGAGCCATGTGTTTGTGATATTTCTGAAAATGGTTGCCCTGCAGTATGTATAATGCATATTCTGCAGGATTCTTAGTTACCTAGTTACTTACATGTTATGAATTATACATACTACAGGGCAAGCCCTCACATGGGCCGCCCATCAATATGTATACTTCATAAGTGCCCCTGAAAACATGATGGCTATGGTAACCCTACTTAGAGATGAACCCTGCTAGAAATATATATACAAGATCCAATTAGCATCTTTGCAATAGGGCTGTTGGTTTCAACAAATTTCCTATTTAAGTCTACTAATTCTGACATTTTGTTCTCCTGTAGCTAATACAACACCTCATAGAATGGTGTCAATGGGATTTCAAGTCTGGTTTAAACATACGGTAAGCATTTTGTGTTTGACGTACCCAATACAAGTCTTCGTATGAGACTTCCTAACTGATTGGTTATTTTAATACTTGTAGTTCTACGGTGCAGACCTAAGAATACTGATAACCGTGTTACCAGAGTGTCCACGTTTGTACAAGTCGCATATCACCTCAACCGTCTGGGAAGTCGTACAGGAAAAGTGCTGCCCTGTAGAATCCTGAATTCCAGTGCATCAAGAAGAAGGGAAAAACCTGTATAATTCCAAAAGGAATCCCAAAGGAACTACATTGATGAGGTATGTTATTTCCTCTCTGCAACAAGTAAACCCCATGTACTACATACAGGTAAGCCATTTCCATTTCACCATGCATAGAAGGGAACATGGTGGGCCTGTGTGGTCACTTTAATCAAAACACTATTCTAAGAGGGTCTGGTTCTCTCTATCTACAGAAATACTAATATTATTATTATACAAACACACTATTCTTATTTTATTTTTTTAAATAGATCCAGTCCTTTGCTAATGCTGTCTGTAATACATAGAAGGGGGAGGGTTTGTCAGTCCAGTCACTCTCTGCTCACATGTCACCATCACTCACACTCTGACATTCCCTCTGCCATGCCCTGTCTCTTGCCAATTCCCAGCTGTCACCGCTTCGCCTTATCATGCAGTTTGTCCCTGCGAGGCTCCCGTGCACTTGGAATCCACTCTCGTTCATTTAAGCTTTAAGACTGGCTGGACTAAACCAATTAGCAGCGGCGGGGTTTTCCCCCTTCCCCAGGCACGCGCGGAGCGGGAGCCCCCTTTATTCGCTGTCAGTAATCACGCGGCGAGCGCTCTCCCTTACCTCATGGTGCTTCATGGTTCCGCCGGGCGATGTAACCGCACTAACACTTTGCAGTTACCTGCCTGAGCTTCAGTTGGAGGCGGGGCTAAAGGCTCGGGGCTAGACAGGATAACGCTCAGCCAATCAGAAACGCAACCTTGTCGTTGGGCAAGGCGGAGCTCCGCTGTGACCAACAAATCAGAACGCACGTCTACTGGCGCACGCGGGCGGTGATTAGCGGCGCTACTGTACGATTGACAGCTGGTTAACCAATCAGAAAAGCTTTTACTTTGGAACGAATTCTAGACCAATAAGCTACCAGCTTACAAAATATATTTCTTTATTCATTACAGGTGCACTAATATGTTGCAATTGAACATGAAAAGGGGGCCAGCAAGCAGGAGGCCATTTATAAAGTGGGAAAACAAATGGAGAATGTTCCTGCAGAATCCAAGTTTATGGAGTAATCTGCAGGGACCTGTCCATTTGTTGTTTCCATGGTGATTGCACCTGTACCAGTTTGTAAACAATAATAAATATATTCAGTATGGGCTTTGTGACCAGCTCCTGTACTCCTCCAGCCGAGAGCACACAAAACATCTAACAATAAAACAATACGCACACTGCACCTATAATGGCTACAGTTTTAGCCCCAATAAAGCTGCTATTTTTTGTTATCCCGGAGTGCCTGAACCGTTATTTATTCTGCATTTTTTATAGAAATAGGGATCGTCCCGGGTCCTACACATAGTGTTCATCTCAGGCTTCTGATGATGGTTACTACTGTCACAGGCTTGTTTCCACGTTTGTTGCAATCAGTGGTGTATTTTGGATTTGTGCTGCCCTAGGCACGACTAAATTAGGGCACCCCCAAAATCTAAATTTGACCCCCTCCCCCCCCCAATTCGTGTCAAGGACACTTTTTTGACTGACACACATGCCCTCATTGATACATGCACTGATATACACTCACTGACGGATACACAGTCATTGGTGCACTCATACAGTCTTAAGCACACACTGTTTAACCAACACACACTTTCACTGACAGACACACACTGACACACCCACTTACTGACAGGCACACACTCTCAGATACACATAAAATTACATACACACACTCACAGGCACACCCATTCTCACTGACATACACACACACACACACACACACACACACACTGACAGCTACATTCACTCACTCACTCACAGTAAGGTGGACAGCCCCAGAAAACAAGGCAAGCAAGGAAATTTGCCTGGGAGCTTGGGTGGCATTTTTTGGCCACCCAAGTGGAGCTTGGGTGGCATTTTTTGGCCACCCAACCCCTGAAAGTGCCGCCCTAGGCAAATGCCTTGTTGGCCTTGTGGTTAATACATCCCTGGTTGCAATATATTTATGGCAAAGTGCTAAGTTGCGACTACAAATATCTTTTGCTCGTCAACAAAAATAAAAATGTATTATAGCCTCTAAGCACTACTGTAAATAAATGTAAAAATTGTATGAGTATATGTGTTTTATATAGTTAAATCACTTTAACAATTGTGTGTAGTTTATACAGCCCTAGCCATACTTCCCTGCACATGACTTGCACTGCCGCCCTAAACACTTCCTGTAAAGGAACCTAGATATTCTAGATTCTTTTCTTGCACAGTCTGTTTAATGCATAATTTCTTATCTGCTGCACTATTAATAGGCTTCTGGACCGCACAGCAGCCTCCTCTGTGGGATTAGAGTTCAATTTACATAGCAGGAGATAAAAACAACTAAAGCAAGTTAACATCTGTTTGAAAAATATACAATTTTGTTCATGCAGGCCGTGTCAGTCATAGCCAGAGAGGTGTAGCAAGGGCTAACAAAACAAAGTGATTTAACTACCAAAGGGCAGATAATTCAACAGTGAGACTGCAGGGTCATGATATATACACGAAACATCTTTGTCTAGTAGGCTCGTATTACATATACAAACCTTTAATAAAATGATTGATTCATATTTTATCTATATATCAAATAGATCTAGAAAAGGCCAGAGACTTTCAATGCATATACTTCTCCCACAGTTACTTTCAAAAACCATTAAGCAATGTGACCAAATCGGTGTCAGGGAACATGAGTTCTGTATAGACCGAGAAGACCACGTAAACCTTATGACCTTTGTATAAAATGGAGTCCTATTCACTTTTCAACCTTAAAGGGACACTGTAGTAACTATAACCACTTTGTTTCTTTGAATTGGTTATAGTGCCTGGAGTGTCCTGGCACTGTCCCTCCATTCAGTGTTGCACCACGTTCGTGCAGTATGCCACAAAATAAGAGTCCCTGGCCACCCACAGTCCGGCCCCTTCAGTATGTGTAGCTAAGGCAGAGATTACACACTTCCTTGTTGTCATACCCATTCATACCGTCAGTTGTAGCGCTGACAGGTTAAAAGCAGTCAGCTGACACTCTCAGCCAATCACAGCTGCCCATTGCTGCTCAGGGTAATACTTCCTTATTAGCCAAAGCAGCACAGAGGGGATGGACTGCCGTGGTCTCTTGTTTAGCATTAAAACATTACAACATTAAAAATAGTTTAATGCTGAAAGAAATGATGGCACCAGGGGACTCCATACACTATAACCAGTTTAATGAGATGAAGCAGATACAGTGCCTACGGTGTCCCTTTAAAGATATCTGTGCTTACTTGCCTCATATTTACAACAAGCATTGAAGTAAGCCAAAATTGAGCAATACGTGGTTCATGCAAAACTGCTGAGGTTCTGTGGAAAGTACATCATGACAAAAGAATGACAAATAAAAGGTTGTCTTTATTCATACTAACCTAAGAAGAAGGGAACGTGTCACGTTTAGGCTACCCTAAATCTTATCATGGATAGATATACATTTTGATCGATCGGTTAATGTAATCTATTTTTTTTTTTTCTTCAAGTTTAATTAAGATTGAAAAAGACTGAGCACCATTATAATTTATACACTTTGCATCGGTTTTGTATATACGCAGACTAAATAATTGGTAAAAATCATTGTAGTCCTATGCATTACTCCCACCACCACCGCACACACTCAAAAAAAACTAACAAACTTTGCATGGAGTTTGCCCACACATTGTACAAGTTAAATCATAAATTTAAACAGAGCTATTGGAAAGTGTCTCAGAGTTTGGCATATCATGTCTGAATGGTATACGGGGACGCCTGCATATTGTGGCGAATTAACAATTTTCTAAATTATCTTTCTGTTTGCATGTGATTAATGACCGTGCTTCTACCTTTTAACAGATGAAATACTACGTGAAGACACAACTCCTAGTCTGCAGGTTGTTTCGGAACTTCATCTAAGTAGATGTAGCAGGTATTCTTATTAGTCTGCTAAAAAATGTATATCATGCACTTTCACCTTCTATAGGCCTTTATATCTGGAATGAATGCTTCTATTATCATGGTGAACGCTATTTTTAATTGTAGTACTGAAAATATATCTGTTATTAATGTATTTTAACTAGATTTTACAGTTTACTGTAGTCGTTTTAATATTTTCTATGGTTGACGTGATGGTTACATCTCAAATAATATCTGTTAAACATTTACATTACCTCCCCCTCCAATTTTTGTGTTATGTGTGTGAATAATGAATCATGTTTTTGGATAAAGTGGATGTGCTGGAATCCTTTTCATGTATAACTCAATATTATAATTAAAATCTTAAAGATGAATTTGTGATTTGCTCATTCTACAATATTAACTGGAATAATAATGTCATGCAAAATCAAAATGTTTAAAGTGAATCAACACAGTTAAAAGCAGAAAAAAATACCACACCAAGAGGACATTAAATTAGAGGGGTAAAATTTAAAAAAATATCAGGAAGTATTACATTACTGAGAGGGTAGTGGATGCATGGAATAGCCTTCCAGCTGAAGTGGTACAAGTTTAAGCATGCGTGGGATAAGCATAAGGCAATCCTAGCTATAAGAGACTGGTGCAAGTATTAAGAAAATTGTGCAGACTAGATGGGCCAAATGGCTCTTATCTGACATCACATTTTATGTTTCTATAGTTACAAACTTAAAAATCATATTTTTGGTTTATCACTTTTTTGTGAAGGCAGTGTATTACACTACCCAGATATCATGAACGGAATTTTATGCAAGATATCTTCTAAAAATTAAGTTGTTTGTTTTGTTTTGTTTGTTTTTTAAAGCCGTGTTTTATTTTTCTTGTGAGTGTTTTCATTTTTTTTTTTTTTTTGTTAGAAAGATCATGCAAGTATGAACTGCATGTTAAGTAAAATTACTTTTATGGGATTATAAGATGATAGCAGCCATACTATGGCTAGTGTCTGTTTATTCACAGTCAGGCCCAGTTTGGTGAACTTGGCTGTTTGCAGAGATTTCCTAATGAGCCAGTAGCTCCCACCAAGCGCTAACGACAATGATCAACAACAATCTGCTAATTTAGAGTAAACACTTTAAACATCCTCCATTAAGCCAACTAATACACTTTAAGCATGACCTCAAGGTTTCACTGCAGTTGGCAGCAAGACTTTGGTAAGAATCTTTGGCTCCCTGTAAATTGTGGCAAAGTGCCCTAGTTTGGATCACAGTCTCCCTCCACACACATGAATACAGCCAAATATATCTTCAAAGGATCCACCAAACGCTATTCCATCAAGGATATCATTTTCACACAGTCCTTGGAAACTTGCCTTGTACGTGCTTATAATAGATCACGCAGTTAATATACACATGCGTTTTGAATGACCCCGATTTATTATTTCTTTTTTTTAAATGGACAAAACCAGATTAAGGTTGCCCAGGGCCGTAGGCAGCATGCCAACTTGGGCCTCCTCCTAGAGCCTTGACCAGTGGCGCACAACCCATGGGGCCCCGGTGTGAAAACTGATCCGTGCCCCTCCCTCCCCCCCCACCCCATCGCGCGCGCTTACACTGCGTGGGCTGGGGCCGCAATACATGGCGGCAGGCACCTGGTCGCAGGGCTGCGACCCCTGCGACCGCGGTATGTACACCAGTGCAGATACACATACACTTAAAGGACCACTACAGACACACAGATCACATCAGCTCAATGAAGTGGTCTGGGTGCCAGGTCCCTCTAGTTTTAATCCTGCAGCTGAAAACACTGAGGGTTAATACAGCCTCTAGTGGCTGTCTCATTGACACACACACACTCTCTCTCACGAACAGACGCATACACACTAGCTAACAGACACACACATTTACTAACAGACACACATTAACTTACAAAACACACACTCACTAACAGACGCACAGTAACAGACACACACAGTAACACACTCACTGACACACTCAAACACTAACACACACACACACACGTTTTTAAAAATTTTTTAATCTGGAACTGCATGCTCACTCCCATGATTCCCTGGGGTCCAGTGGTGTTGCTGGGTGGCCGGTGCGCGAGGGAGCACTCTCCCCTGAGTGCTTCCTGTTAAGCTCCCTCGCGCGCCGCGTACTGATGCTGGAGCCGAAAGATGACGTCATATTCCGGCTCCGGCATCAGTGCAGTGCGCGAGGGAGCACTCAGGGGAGAGTGCTCCCTCGTGCGCCCACCAGCCTGCCTGCCCGCCCGGTGATACCAGGGCCAGCCTCGGGGGCATACATACCAGGGCCAGCCACACTGGCATACATACCAGGTCGCAGGGCGGCCGGGCTCCCTGGTGGGCCGGGCCCGGCCGCAACCCCTGCGACCCCGGTATGTACGCCACTGGCCTTGACTTTACTACGTGAGTAGTGTGTGTCTGGTGGCTGAGTGTTGTATGTAGTCTTAGTGTTGTGTGTGTCTGTGGATGTGTATATGAGAGATACCTGTGTGTGGTGGCTGAATTATGTGAAGGAGTATTGTGTTTAGAGGATTTTGTGGCTAGGTGGTTTGTGTGTTTTGTAGTGTCTAAGTGTGTATGTATGGTGAAGTTATTCTTTTGTCCCTCCTCCCCCTCCACCCCCATTGTGCAGCACTGACCCAGGAAACACCTATAGCGGCCATTTGAGTGAGGTGTCCCTAGGCAGTAATGTAAACACTGCCTTTTCTGTAGGTACAGGCTATATTAAGCTGTGTTCTGGTGACCTATAGTGTCCCTTTCAGTAAAGCAACCAGACCATCTTGTTCATACATTTCCCGATATCCCAACTTTCTTGGTGTCCCGAGAGTCTCCCACTATTTCATAGGGCTCCCTGACACTTGCAAATCATATACAATATCCCAGAAATCTCACACACACACACACACACACACACACACACACACACACAAATGTTCGTCAGATTGTCTGTGCATGATTTCCGGGATATTGTATATAATTTGAACAGGGGTCTGGTCGGGTGATGCGCCTCTTTACGAGTGTGACTGGGCCTATACATATGGGGATAATTCCCAATACCTGTAATATCAGCCAGCTAGGAGGAATGACAGCCGATCACTTCCTCCCAGCTTCACAGAACGCCGCATGGGAAGGAGAAGGAGGAAGCTGGAGGTGACGGCACCACAGGCAACATGGAGGCAGAGGAGAGACTGGAGTGAGTTGCTGCATGCTCCCTCCCATGAGTCTCAGCCAGCATCCCCACACCCCAGGCAAGCCAACCTCCTGGACACAAAAGGTATGTTAAAAAGATGATGGCTGCAAATATAAAAATATAACTTGTGTGTGTGCATATGCCAGTGTGTTTATATGTCAGTGTGTGAATGTGTTCAGGTGTATGCATGTGTCAGTGTGTTAATAGTGTGTGTCAATAGTTGCAATATGTTATCAAATAGTTTTGTCATAATAAAATGTCATGTACTTGTTCATACATGTTTGGAGGCTGTATGTGGTGCGTGTTTGTGGGGTGGGGGGGGGGATAGCAATAGCTGTTGAAGCCAGCTTCTTGAAATGAGGTTTTGCATGTTGAGTTGTCTGCATTTCCATCTTCCATTAAACAGTTTATAGGATAAAGGGTTACCCCTACCACCATGACCACTTCTGTTTTTTTGAAGTAGACATAGTGGTAGGAGTCTGGATGTGTTCGGGTTTTCAGTTTTTGCATGATTCTGAAGGCTTGGGAATGGCCAGGCCCACGCGGTTTTTGCCTTGCAGAGGTAGCCCAGTCCATTATGGACCTCACCAGTAACGCAGCTCACATCACCGACATCCTTGTAGGATTCCATTCACCTGCCCCAACTTCAAGAAGAGCAATGAGGGAGGTATGCAGTTCTGATGCGTCAAGGCATTGACTCTTCAAGACCTCTGAATGAATCCTGTGGTATCTGACACCAAGACATTAGCAACAGATTATTTAAGTCCTGCAAGTTGCGAGGTGGGGCCTCCATGGTTTGAATTTCTCATAGAGAAGTCATTGGTTGGACCATTTACCCGACTCAGAGCACATGTGAATTCTCTGAGTAGGAAATGGAGAGGGAGGGCAGGAGAAACTTAAAATATCGGATGGGATATGGAGGTAGGAGGACTACAATTAAGAAGTGTGGGATGGAGGGGGAAATTTCTACGCCTGTGAGCAGTGTGCAGTGTTAGCTAAAAACATACGTTTTTAGACACAAAATTGACATTGGCAGCCCGGAACAGAGTTGAAGAGGGAAGAGCCCTTTCCCTAAACACCAGACAACACTTAGTGAAGGGTAACATACACACACTTTATTGGGACACAGGCATATATTTATAGAGACAATCACATCAGGGGGTCATTAACTAGCTGGGATATAACTCGATTAACCGTGAATGATTTTATTAACTGCACCTTACAAAAGTAACCTCAAAACATAACTTTCCCCAACCGTAGATCTTTATATATATATCCCCAGACAGGGCCAATACTCACAAGCAAAACGTCCAATGTCTCTGTGCGCTTTGATGGTCCTTCAACTTCGCCTTCTTCCTTCCAATTAGTGCTCGACTGGGTAACTGATCGGCAATGAATTTAAATTGCTCTACGTAGCCATCTTGTACTTATGCGATTAAGAGTTCCAAGTGGTTATCGCCTGGTCCCGCTAGAGGCGTTGTGTATTCCCCGGTCCCATAGAAGAGCCCCAGGGATGAAGATTAGAGCTGGAGTGGATGTGATAAGGAAAAGAGCCAGGGAGAGTGGTTATGCTGTTTTAGGGGGAGTTAGTTTTTGAGTCCTGCAGCAGTTGGTAGTGTGAGTGGAGCAGGTTCTGCCACAATGTGTATTTTTAAGAATAACTATGCCCTTTACATTTTGCACTTTGGACTATTTTTATGTTGGTTACAGGCATGTAACACAGAGGACCCACAATCCATTGGGTACTTTAAAGGAGACTTTACACAACAGTGCCCCTCACCTATAGAACACTTATATTTTTTGATTGAGCCAGTTAACAAGGTTGACGTTACAAAGGCAACATATAGCTGTCCTCTCTGTGTTTATTTGCTACTGATTTGTGACTTCTCCCAAGTGTAGCAGTAGCTCTTTTTTTTTGTTTTGTTTTTTTAATTGAAATGCTTTTTGTCTCAATTTTTACATGAAATACTAACAATAAGTCACTTAATTTTTGTGGTGTGATAAAATATAAAGCTATATAACTCAAACTGAGAGAATTACTAACAGCATAATACAAACCATCATGGAACCTACAATAGCATTTGCTGTCAACAAACGGAAAACACACAAACCCGGAGAAAGCAGTGAGTGACAGAACAAATGATTGACATAACAGCATGTCCAGGGTCTATAGGTGAGAGCTGATAGTTTTGTTGGACACAGCGTAATGGTCAGTGGCGTACTAAGGGGGGGTGGAGGGGGCGGTCCGTCCCGGGTGCCACCAGGGTGGGTGGTGCCATGACCCTGGTCTGGGAGCTGGAGGGGGCTGTGTGAGCTGTACGGCAGTTTAACATGGCCCTTACCCGCTGCTGTTAGGAGGTGCAGCAAGATGGAATACCTGCTTCTCCACAGGCTTCAGGGAATACAGTCCTCCTCCAGCCCACTGTCTGTAAGTAAGCGTGTGTGTGTTTTAAAAGGTCTGCCTGTAACTGTGTGTGACTGTGTGTAACTGTCTGCCTGTAACTTTGTGTCTGTGTGTAACTGTATGCCTGTAACTCTCTGTGTGTGTGTGTAACTGTCTGCCTGTAACTTTGTGTGTTTATGTGTGTGTGTGTGTGTGTGTGACTCTCTGCCTGTGACTGTATATGTGACTGTCTGGCTATGATTGTGTGTGTGTAACTGTCTGCCTATAACTGTGTGTGTGACTGCATGTGACTATGTATGTGTGACTGTCTGCCTGTGACTGTTTGATGTTGCCTGTAACCGTGTGTGACTGTCTGCTGCTGTCGTGTGTCAATGTATATGTGACTGTCTGCTGCTGTCGTGTGTGTGTGTGTGTGTGTGTCAATGTATATGTGACTGTCTGTAACTGTGTGCATGACTGTCTGTGACTGCATGTGTGACTGTGTGCGTGTGACTGTCTGCCTGTAAATGTGTGTGTGTGTGTGTGTGTGTGTGTGTGGCTGCAGGGATTTTGTAGAAGGGGGCAAGGGTTTTGTATTGGGACAGGAGTCTTTATAAGTGGGGATAAGCAGGGGATTTGTGAAAGGGGGTTACGTGAGTTTTATAGATGGGGCAGTACAGGACTTTTAGAAGGGGGCAAGGGTTTTGTATTGGGACAGGAGTCTTTATAAGTGGGGATAAGCAGGGGATTTGTGAAAAGGGGTTACGGGAGTTTTATAGATGGGGGCAGTACAGGATTTTTAGAAGGGGGCAGGACAAGGGTTTTGTAAGAAGGGGTGGGGCAGGACAAGGGTTTTGTAGGAGGGGCTGACAGCGGTTTTGCAAAGTTTACAAATTGTAAAAAAAAAAAAAAAAAACTAACATTTTTTTTACAGGTGGGTTTTTTTTGGGGCAAATGCTCTAGGTACGCCTCTGGTAATGGTATACTGCCATATGTGTGAAATCAAGAGCGTACTTACTCTTTATCAGCAACACATACAAACATTACAGTGTTCGCTTAGGGATTGTCCTTCTCACAGACCTGTTTGTATGTTGCATAAATGGCATCTTTGGTATTGCTTGTCTTTCAGTTTTTAATTGCAATTCCTGCAGTTTGGTGGTTTCCAAGGCCTTACCAACATGAAATAGATTGAGTACTCTGACGAAGTTGGCGCAGAGTGAATAAATGCATTGAATTATATTGCTTGTACTTTTGTATTTTATATTTTTTTTGTTTGACTATGGGCTCATGGAACTACTATACACAATTGTGGGATTGTGCCATTTTCATTAAAGATATTGTCTTTTAAATAGTACACACTATGTTGTTTTCTTTCTTTGTATTTAAGCAAATCTGCAAAAGAAGACACAAGGATTTGAGCTTAATAACCCCTAACTGGGAGACACGTCATTCCTTAAATCTTGTGAGTGTAATCTAGGGACACATTTATCTGGTGACAGATGCAATGTTACCCTATGTTTACATTTTTATTTTCTGATATCCGTAGATTCCCTTATGTTGTGTCAGGAAACTGACAGGGATCCAATACGCAGAGTGCGCACAGAAGGAGGTACGTATACCGGACCTTAGAATGGCCGGACTAACGTAAGGACAAAGCAAGAATAGTCAAAAGGTAAGCCGAGGTCAAGGGAGCCGGAGGACAGGTAAGCGAGATACAAGCCGAGTCAAAGGAGAGGAGAGGACAACAGGACAAAAGACAAGCAAGGGTCAAAACCGGAAACACAAGATAAAGAACGCGCTGAGTGACTAGCAAGCTAGAACCACGACAGGGCAATGAGCAGTAGTAAAGGTTTCCTTTAAATACCCTGTTACCTAAATAGAGACCACGCCCCCAAAAGGTCCGGAATAGCGGTTCCCGGCACTTTATGCAAATGCCGACGTCATGACGTCGACGCTAGCCGTCGCGTCATAAAAGGGGGAGGAGCTAGCGCGGCCGGCGCGAAAACGGCCGAAATATGCCGAAATGCTAGGGGAAGGGAGCCCCTAAGCAGAGAGGATGTCCTCCCTGGATACATCACCAACAGGTACCCTGACATGTTGTACTTATCTTAGCAGTGTTTAATTGTTCCTATTAATCATATGGTCAGTATTAACCCTTAGCTCTATGGCTATGTGTGATGTTGACTGAATGATGTGCCTGCATCCATTATAGCTGTCACTGGAGATATATCACCACCATAAATGGATATCTACCTGTTTGGTCTAAGGTATGTTTGGTGGTAGCCACAGAGATGCACCCGTAGACTATGTCAGCAGTTTTAGTTTTTCTTAATTAGGTATAAACAAGCTTCACTAATCCACCTATTCTACTACTACTACTACTACTTTGGAATTCCTATGCAAAACAGACAGATATTAGATTTTGCCAATTCATTTGTTGGTGCACATGCTTGTTGTAGTCGTTCTATCAAATAAAGGTAATATTTCCTATTTAATAACACTATCCTGACTTCTCAGCACTGTATAGATTGTGGAATAATTGACAAATATCAACCATAATTCTACATATAGCTAAAGTAAGAGCTGGGCAACCTGCCCTTAAACTAAAAAAAGTCCCTGGCAAGAAGGCAGGAATTATTTTAGTTTGTGTTGCACCATCCATGGGGCGAAGTGAGACAACGCTCGAAAAGAAAGTAAGAGTATTCAAAGTTGTAATAGGGTGTTTTAAGGTATGTAATCTGCAAAAGAGGGAGAGGACAAAATAACCTACTTAAATATTTTATTTGTTCTTGTGATTGTGCTAATGAGACATTGTCACATGAAAACTTTTGGTCACTGTCCTAAGCAGCTGCTCCATCTACAGTTACTGTTAAGTGCTAATTAGTAGCTACATACATGCTTTATTAGGAGAGATTGAACAAAGGAATGTTGAACGATCCACGTCAAGCAAACCATTCCCAGTGGAGTATATTAAGACACAGAGACTCCTATTGTGCTATTCTTTTTTCCTTTCTTCCATTAGCAGCAAAAAAAAAAAAAATTATGAAAAAGGTTAACCCCCAAATTACCTAATTTTGGGGTAAAATGGGTTGGAAGCCCAGAAAGGGTATTGAATTGTTGCTTACAAATTGCCAGGATAAACTTTTAGACTCTGAGTCCTGTGACTAAGTTGCATGGACTGTTGGAAGCTGCCCAATCTGGCATGCAACATTTGGATTTTGAAGTTGCCAAGAGTTGGCTGCAGAGGATTTTCTATATGTTGGATAATGCCAACACATCGTTGGTCACAGAATGAAGAAAGGACATTCTCTTCAAAATAGAGCCTAAATTGGTCCAAACTGCCTTAAATGAACCTGGTGCTAAGGGTTTGTTATTTAGAGAATCCTTTGTCAAGGATTTGGGAACCTTTGTAAAACCCTTTATGTTCTTGGATAAGGTACAAAGCTCAATAAGGTGTGTGTTTACAGCAGAGGTTTTTGGTGGGGAAGAACGAAGAGCCATCGGTCTGGTCGTGGTTAATGAGGTATCTTTCCAACAATGCAACTTCCTCCAAATTTTAAACCAGCACGGTTTTTCTGGTCTGAGCAGACCAGTCTGGGTTACCTTGTAACCCTGTACCTCCAAAAAGCACAGAGTGACTTAAACACAAGAAGGGACTGTAAAACTTGGAAAAAGGTCCCCCATGAATTTGTCATGCCCCTCCTCCCAAACTCAAATCTACCCCACTATGTCACCATTCTCAGAGAGTCGCCGTGACACACACACACACACACACACACACACACACATTAAAACACTAAATCTGGTACCTCATGTTTCCACCCTATTGCAATTTCGGTTACACTCAGTATAAAGACATACTTAAAGGAGCACTCCAAATACCTAAAGGACTTTAGCTTGTTGTAGCACTTTATCTGTAAAGAGTTCATCCTCTTTAAAAATGTTGCAAAAACTGCAGTTTTCAACATGAATAGGTGCTTTTATACATTGACCCGTCCCCCAAGGCTGTCAATCGGACATCTGGTCCTGTTACTTCCTGTTTGTTCAGCTCAATAGAGCTAAACTCAAGAGGCAGCAATTGCTTAGGGCAACTGCCTTGCAAAGACTTTGCATTGGGAAGTCTGTTATTGGACAGCCACAGATAGTCTGGGCTGGGGAAGAAGTGGAGGGCTTGCAAAGACGACAGACAAGAGATCTTGCCTGAAGCCAATAAAAAAAAGTGTAATTAAATGCATGCCTGTTTTCCATGAAGCTATATCTACTAAATAGTGATTTTAAAAAAAAATATTCCTTTACGGGAAAACTCCAGTGTTATAAATACAGATCTGTATTTATAACAGAGTTCTCCTGGTTTCTTTTTGGTTGTTACGGAATCTCTGGTGCTCCTGTCTGTGAAGACAAAACTTTACTTAAATTAATTAACTGAACAGGTATTGAATTAATATTTTGCAATCCAGACTGGTGGCGCTGGGGAGGGTTAGTTCTATTGTTTTGTTGAGCTCCCCTTTGGCTAGTGTATGGGGAAAGGGCTGTTATCACTATTGCTGTATCCTGTGGCTAGCAGGAGGGAAAACAGAGGAGACACTCTGGCTGAGTACCAAGCTCTGCTACATTTAGTGGCAGGGGTCGGAAACCATTTCCTCCTTCACAGGGTACGGAGGAAGCAGTGCCGAGAACCCGGCGGATGGAGCACCACTACCAACAAATTAAAATGAGTAAGCTAAAGGATGTCCTAGCAGCCCGAGGACAAGCAACCAGTAAGCACTATCACATGTAGCAAACAATCATATTGGCACACAATCGTATTTAGTACTTTGACACACACATACACACCCCATATATACATCTTACAAGTCACACTGTTACAAACAGGGCTGTCTTCAATGCGGGGCAAATGGGGCAGCTGCCTCGTGGGCCCCGCGATTTGCACAGCCCCCATGGAACAGGCTGTGCGGCTGCCCAGAGCCGCCCCGGCCCGCACACTAAGGAGGCCAACCGGGTGGCTCATGCACTAGAGGCCACCCATGTGTCAGCAGGGGCTCAGTCAGGCGCTGTGACGCTTAAACAGCCACCTGGGAGGAAGTGAGTGCCGTGCGTCACTTCCACCCACCGGAGATAAGAGCCGCGCGGGAGGAGGGGAGTTCCAGAAGATAACTCCCAACTGCCTCATCCTGCCACTGGACCCCAGGGAATCCACCCTCCAGAAAAAGGTAAGAACCTGGAGGGTGGCTAAATGTAGCATGTGTGTCAGTATGTCTGTCTGTGTGTCAGTATGCCTGTGTGTATGTCAGTATTATTATTATTATTATTGCCATTTATATAGCGCTAACAGATTCCGTAGCACTTTACAATATTATGAGAGGGGGACTTAACTATAAATAGGACAGTTACAAATAAACTTACGGGAACAATAGGTTGAAGTATGTCTGTCAGTGTGTGTGTCAATGTTAGTATGCCTGTGTTTGTGTGTCAGTATGTATGTCTGTGTGTATGTCAGTGTGTGTCAGTATGTCTGTACTTCTGTCAGTGTATGTGTCTGTGTTTCAGTATTTCTGTTAGTTGTCGGAGTGTGTGTCAGTGTATGTGTCTGTGTGTATGTCAGTCTGTCAGTGTATGTGTCTGTGTGTGTGAGTATGTCTGTATGTATGTGTGTGTAAATATGTCTGTGAGTATATATTTTTGTGTCAGTATGTATCTGTGAATGTGTCAATATGTCTGTGTGTGTATGTGTCAGTATGTCTGTCAGTGTATATGGTTGTGTAAGTATGTTTTGAATCTCTCTACTTTAGTTCCTCCCCCCCCACCCCCCCCCCAGCACTGGGGTGAAAAGTGTGATTAGGTGTAATTAGGGGGGTGGGAAGGGCAGGGCCCAGGGGTCCCAAGAAAATGCTTTGCCCAGGGTCCTGTTCATATTATAGATGGCCCTGGTCTCAACCATACATTTAATAAGCCAAAACTCACCAAATTAGACGTGTTTAATTAGCTAGTATCCATGGACTCTCAGCCATGCATACATATCTAGCACTATAAATCTCTCTCAATTTGCCGCTGTCTCTTATATCTGCATCACGAGCTACACACACATTCTCTGAAGTACATTTTCCCTTTTTCTGTCAGCTGCTGGTTTCTGCGGTATTTGAGTAGAAGGGCTCCTGTTGTTTGCAGCCTTGTTGGCTCTGGTCTCCTGGGCACTCAGAGGAGTTGTGCACAGTGATGGACAGACTTTGTCCGTCTTCCTCGAGCAAGCTACAGGTTGACAGTCAGCGCTGCCTGGCATCTGATTCAACTGGGGGACACGTTAAAGATGCCATGATGTAAAGTTGTTAAAGTAAACCTGTCATGACAGGTGCAATGCATTGAATACACCATCTGTCACAGAGATGCACAATGTGTTCAGTGTAAAATATATAGATACAATCTCACTTTACCTCCATGTCCTCTATGTTCGTGGGTGTTACTTTCCTGACAGTTACCTTTTAAAGAACTTAGTCTCACCCTTTAAAGGACCACTCTAGGCACCCAGACCACTTCAGCTTAATGAAGTGGTCTGGGTGCCAGGTCCTTCTAGGCTTAACCCATTTTTTCATAATTATAGCAGTTTCAGAGAAACTGCTATAATTATGAATGGGTTAAGCCTTCCCCCTAATCCTCTAGTGGCTGTCTCATTGACAGCTACTAGATATGCTTATGCGTTTTCTCACATTATGAGGATGCCATGATAATGGTAGTGGAAAGCATTGTAAATGCTTTCTATAGACGGGTTGAAATGCGCTGCGAGTTCTTGCCGCTGCGCTTATTCACGGGCGAGGATCGGAGGCGATATATAGGAGAGCTCCCCGCCCAGCGCTGGAAAAAGGTAAGTTTTTACCCTTTTCCCCTTCCAGAGCCGGGCGGGAGGGGGTCCCTGAGGGTGGGGGCACCCTCAGGGCACTATAGTGCCAGGAAAACGAGTATGTTTTCCTGGCACTATAGTGGTCCTTTAACCAAAGAAAAACTGACTCTTTTATTTATTTTTAATCATCTAATTTTCTATAGAATACATAAAAAAGTGGTTACAGTACTTTTTTTTTCTTCTATCCCCTATAGCAGGGTTTACAATTTACACTGGAAGTTTCATGTGCCATGGCCCCTACAAGCTTGCAGTGGCTAGTAGTTTTTAAGGCCTGACTAGTAGCTTAGGACTTGAAATTGTAAACCTTGCCCCAGAGAGTACATTGAAATAAACTGAAGGTTGTTGATGATTATTTTGTAGTTATCAGGTTCAGCCTGCAGGTGGTGCATTCTGCATAGCAAACATCATTCTTCATTTGCATCTGCTGCTGTAGAATCTTTTCCAGCATGTTCAATGTGGGGTTACAGGAAATGGCAAAGATCTGTTTCTATTGCTCCAGCCTCCAGCTTCAGGTTTTGGCAAGCCTTGAAGCTGTGATGATGGTAAAACCCCCTCTACTGGTAACAACAAGCAAAGTAACAGAAACTAACATTGCCACCTACAAAGCAATGAAATGAGCATAATTCACTATGTTATCAGATCTGATATCTTACTAAACCTGATAATGACATTACATTGCCATTTAACTGATTAGCATAATTGCATTTCAGCTGGAAACTTTTGCCATAGGGAGAAAAACAAACAAAAAAATAGCCAAAATATTATTTGCTCCTTCAAAAGCAGTAATAAATGCTTCTAATCCAATGGGCTAAGGTCAGGGAAAGTGTGTAGTGGACCTTCAGTAAAGTTTTTTCCAAATTTCTATTTCAAATTGCTAGGAGACAGCTGATGGAAATTCAATAAATCTACAGAGGAAAATGAATTTTAAAAAATGCAAAAGTATAACATGAGATGATACAGAAGTACACATTGTAATTAATGTACTCACAAACATAAAAGTGAGAAAAGACTTGAATATTTCAAGTGATGACTCCCGGGAATCTTAAAGGACCACTATAGTGCCAGGAAAACATACTCATTTTCCTGGCACTATAGTGCCCTGAGGGTGCCCCCACCCTCAGGGTCCCACTCCCGCCGGGCTGGATGGCGAGGAAAGGGTTAAATCTTACCTTTTTTCCAGCGCCGGGCGGGGAGCTCTCCTCTCTGCCTCCTCTCCTCCTCTTCGGCTGAATGCACATGCGCGGCAGGAGCTGCGCGCGCATTCAGCCTGTCTCACAGGAAAGCATTCATAATTCTTTCCTATGGACGCTGGCGTCTTCTCACTGTGATTTTCAATGAGACAGCCACTAGAGGCTTTAGAGGCTGGATTAACCCTATTATAAACATAGCAGTTTCTCTGAAACTGCTATGTTTATAAAAAAAAAAGGGTTAATCCTAGAGGGACCTGGCACCCAGACCACTTCATTAAGCTGAAGTGGTCTGGGTGCCTAGAGTGGACCTTTAAGCCTCATTAGTTGTAAAACCAAAGAATGTCCACTTTAACTTAAAGCTGACAGACCTCATATAAAACATGCAAATAAGATATATTAAATATAAACCATCTAAATTAAGGTTTGTGTTATTATATGTAACTTAACATATCTGTGAAAAACACTCCCAACGGCATGCTCTGTCTTACGCATCTCATCATTAATGGAACTTTGTCAGACTGTCTGCCAATTGATCAGGCAGACTTGTCCCATTCCCAGCTGGACCTATTCCATTACCACAGCACCAGTGATGCGATTTTCGGCACTGGCCCTCCCATATTTACATACACGCAGGTCTGCTTGCAGGGACAAGGTAGTCCCAAGGTAGGAAATATGTAGGAGGCAGTGTCTCTAGACAAATTCAAATTATTATTATTTATATAGCGCCAACAAATTCCACAGTGCTGTACAATGGGTGGACTAACAAACATGTAATTGTAACCAGACAAGTTGGATGCACAGACACAGAGGGATTGAGGGCCCTGTTCAATGGGCTTATATGCAAGAGGGAATGGGGTAAAGTGACAAAAAAATTAAGGATAGTATTAGAGAAGTAATGACAGTTGTAGGAGAGAAATTGGATGGGAACTATTAACAGTTTAATTGAAGTTAGTTTTTAATGATTTTTTGAAGGAGTGGAGACTGGATGAGTGTCTAACGGAGAAGGGAGTTCCACGGGAACAGTGCAGCCGTAGAGAAGTTTTGAAGGCGAGCAGAGGTAGGAGTACGAACAGGAGATAGATGTTTGTCTTCTGTAGAGCGTAGGGGCATAGACGTCACATACTTGTGTATTAGGGAGGATAGATAGGTGGGAGCAGCATTATGTAGAGATTTGAAAGCAGGAACCAGAATTTTAAATTGAGCCCTATATCTTACTGGAAGCCAATGTAGGGACTGACAGAAGGTTGAGGCGTGGGAAGTGCGGGCAGACAGAAAGATAAGCCTTGCCGCCGCATTCATTATAGACTTAACGGCAGGATTTGATGATAGACTGAACATGAGGCGTGAAGAAGAGGTCGGAGTCAAAGAGAACACCTAGGCAGCGAGCCTGCATGGTGGAGCTGATGGTAGCGCCGTTGACTTGGAGGGAGTTGCTACAGAGAAACCTTACTGTGAAAAAACTGCAATTCTGCCACATTCACCCCAATTTCTCAAGTAAGAGCTAAAGTCACACTCCCCGGTTGTCCCCTGTCCTTCACCAGGCACAGCCCCAAAGAGCTCTCTCAATCCAACCCACCTGGTGACCAAGCCTCACAGGGAAAGCCTCAAGTCTCCTAGCAGTCACTCTGGCTGGCTGCATGGAACTCTCCATCGGATCAGAAATCAGCCGTGGCCGGCTAAAACCAGGTGGTGATTCAACACAATGAGTGTGACAAAAGCGCTCTTTTGACCAATGGAGGCAGAGGGCGAGAGACATGTGAGAGTTATTTGTGTCATTTCATATGTATTAAGGTATACTGTAATGCCACCCTGATGCCTGGGGGATATTTAGGTTATCAGTTTCTGATTTGGTTCTTTCCCAAACTCAGAGGTGACAGAGTGGGATTTACATTGTTCAAGCCAAGAAACCCATGTTGGGGTTGTGTATATAAAAGTATGCTATAAAGACAGATCTTTTTCACCCTTCACTAAGTTTCGGCTAGTGTTTGGGTGAGACAACTTTAACAGCTATAATCACTCCAAGTATCCAGCACTCAAAGAGAGTGATCCTTGACAGAGACACTCAAGTTAAGTGCTGAGCTCAGTTATACTGACACTTTTTGAGACTCTCTGCGAAAGATCTCCGATGACACATATCCACTATCTGTCAGTCAAACATGTAAGTAAATGGGAAACTGAACTGGAAAAGATATTAACTAGCATACAATGGCCTAAGATACAAATCAACACATATAAAGCTTCCATTAATTCATCTATGCAAGAAACTATAAACAGTTAACAAGATGATATTGAACGCCACAAGATCTCTAGAGAACTGATGAAGACTAGCCGATTTCCACAACACCGACCTATTGCACATAGCTTGAATTCGTTACCACATGGAAAAACGCAAATGTGCCTCAAACTGTCCACCAAGTGAAATGCTAACATCAAAAACTGGAACAGCGCAACTCTGCGCATGCTTCCTTTAATTATTTCACCACTACCTACCTTTCTGATTATTATATGTGAACAAAAATTCATCGGAAAAGCACAGATGACTACTTTTAGCTGAACTGTTGTTGCTTGTAGCCATGACAAGTGCACTTTAAAGATTTATATATTTTCCCAGAAAGATGGAAATGATGAACATTGAAAGTTGTCCAGTAAAATATGGTTTCCTTGCATTATTTGATGTGCACGGTGTCATTTGAACAGAAAGAAAAGAAAAAATGTCCTGTAGGCTTTACAAAAACACTTTTAAAAAGACCAATTTCAAAAGTATAGAGGCATTTCAGTGATGGGCAGGAAAAAAAAAACATAGGATAGATGGAATGTCTTTAAATTATTACTATAAAAGTACGGATCTAAACATATACCATTTTGAACAAATATTTTAAAAAAGCTAATTAAAACAAATGTGGCTTTGATGTTCTGTAAAGCTTGACGCTGGTGGGAGGGGTAAAAGGGGGTGTACTCTCCCAGAGAACAGACAGGTCAGTTTGGCGTGAATCCATGGCAGGCTGCCGGCCAATTATGTAAGCTGACCCACCAAGGACGAACCATGCAGGAAGCACTAATGTCCTGAGCTTCTATTGTAGCTCTCATTCTAGACTTGTTGACAACATTTCCCTGTTGTCCCCAAAAACGGGACACCTAGAACAAAGTTGGGACAGCGGGAAAGGACCCGAAAATTAGGTCTGTCCTGACGATATTGGGATGGTTGTGAGGCTTGGTAGGGGGTCAGTCAAATAATACCCAATAAAAGGGCATTCAAAATGGGCGGGACTGACCAGAAAATGGTGGGTCATCCACTGAAATGGTGTGTCAGTCGGCATCAAATACAGCAGGCTGACTGCCTGTCTGGCTGACCCCCCAACCTATAGGACTATGCAGGGACTGCTGGAGAAGTGCCTAAACATCTTAGTTCCCAACTCACAGCTCATGCTGTGCTGCCTGGAAACAGTTTCCTGGTAAATAAATCGGGACGTTAAGAGAGGACACCGAAATCAGGACTGCTCCACTGAAAGCAGGACATTTGGGAGGGCCTGCATTTGCTACACATTCTAAGTTTAACATAAATGCCATTATAATTTTGTCTAAGAAAAAAATAACTTGGCAGTTAAATAGGGAATATTCTTTTCAATTAAAATTTTACGTGAAAGGGAAAAAGCAAACACATTCCTGTAATTACTAAATTAAACTGGATTTAATCATGTCAGGATATTCCCAGCTTGTCTATTCTGAGTCAGTATGACGTTGTATTATAAAGAATGTTTGTGTGTTGCTTAGGGAGTCTCTCAAACTACTGTAGTCGTCAGAGCACAGTCATGGAATGGAAATCGCTATTGCCTGCAGCAGTTTCAGGAGGTTTTGCAACGTTGCAGAAGATCCTCAAAGAATCCAGAAGATCCTCAAAGAATCCCTTGAACTTTGGGAACAAAACAAAATAAAAGCACTAACAAAACGTGTAAAGAAGTTGAAATTCAAATGTAATAATCCAGTTCAATAAACACATTCTTGTTGATTAATTAATGATTCTCTGCTTCCAAAAATAGAACATACTTATTCTAGAGGCCAGACCACAAACAGAGATTAAAGGAACACTCTAGGACTGAGAATGCAAATATGCATAATGCTAGAGTGTTACACTAACTAGATAGATTAAACCCCCTTCTCCATGGAAAGTAATAAAAAAAAAAGTCTTACTCATGTCTTCTCGAAGCCATCCCCCAACCCTAACTGAGTTCATCATTACTAATAACCTGAGCCAGTCCAATGCTACCCAGTGGGAAGGCAATGGGGGCTAGTGTGCTAGTGCTGCACTGCACCAATCAACATTTTCTCATAGATGTGCATTGACTCAAGGTAATCTGTATGGAGAGTGTGCAGAGTCTCCATGCAGAGTGTGAAGACACTGAATGTTGGTCCTGCTATCCAGAAAGTCCCTTTAGTGGTTATCTGAGTGATAGCTACTAGCAGCAATGTGAACACTACTAGGCATGCAGGGATAATCTGTTTGCCCAAGAACCTCTACATTAAGATGTAGCGGTTCCAGTGCTTTGAGTGTCCTTTTAATTGGCTTTCATATGATACTGTCAGGGTACCTTATGTGTTGGCACAAGCTATGCCACACACTCATTTTTCCAGCAGTTCTCGCGCCGGCCACAATAGCCTCGCCCCTTTTTATGATGCGGAGTGTGCGTGTCGATGTCATGACGCTAATAACATCACGACCTGCCAAAATGTTCGACCGTTTTGGGGGCATAGCAACAAATTTAAGGAACTCAGTTTATAAGGGGAGTTCAGGACATGTCTCATTGCACTGTTGGGGTTCTGTATACTCCCAATAGCACATTATATTTGTGTATATCTCTTGGTTCTGACTTTGGCTACGTTTGACTAGTCTACCTTCTGTATTCCTTTGACTCGGCTATTGTACTCTCGCTGTTCCTGATTTCTGGCTCCCCTGAACTTGGCTTATTCCTGATTACTCTCTGTCCTTGTGATGTTAGCCTGGCCATGCTAAGGTCCTGTCTACGTTACTATTCTACTACACTCTGAGTGTTGGATCCCCATATATTCCTGATAGATACCCATTATCATAACAATGGGGTTGGTCCGACCAAGTGACAGACCGGAAGGGGATGAACAGAGTAGCCCCTCACACCTGTCACTCTTTGTCAGGTGGTCTCATGGGACCACAGTAGAGTCTCATCATTATCTTCTTCGAATACTTCTTGATACATTAAAGGGTTACTCTAAGCTAACCAACTTTAGCTTAAAGGAACACTATAAGGTCAGAAACACAAACATATATTCCTGATCCTATAGTATTACAATCATCATCTAGCCCCCTAAATATAGTAAACACTTACTTTTGTTCAAGTCTGCAGCTGCTGGCTCTGTCCCTGATCTGCCTGCTTGGCTGACATTATCAGAAGTGTTGTTCTGAGCCAATCAGGATAGGATTGCCTGAGATTGTCAAGGAGGCAGATCAGGGACAGAGCCAGCACAAGTCAAACACAGCCCTGGCCAATCAGCATCTCCTCATAGAGATGTATTGAATCAATGTATATCTATGAGGAATGTGACAGAATACCCATACCATACCAAAAACATCTCCTTCATACTTGCCACTTGTTTTATTCCCCACATTGCCATCAAAAGATTATTGTCACTACCCCTGGCTCACAGCACCTTCCCCTCAAGGCCAATGGACTAAAAGTACTCTTTCCTCAAACTATAACCGGAGTCCAGAAGCCACAAAGACTTCAGTGGGACTTATGCACAACTCTTCTGGAACTCCGCTCCGGCCACGGTTAGCCTAATTCCCGGCTAACTTCCATCCCGGTTTGTCCCCACGTTCCTTGCAACCACGAGGGTGATTTTTGGAGGGAAAGTGCCTCAGACTATGGACTACAATCACTCACTGGGAACCAGGGGGAGCGAACCTTACTTCGTCCACAGGAACTCCCAACATTTGACTGGTTGCGGCCTTAATTGTTATGGAACTCTTTTGGGCATGGACCACGTGTGCAGTCTGTCAAAACTTTACCCTAGTGGCGTTTTGTCATCTCTTATTTGCCCAACATAGGCGCTTGGATCCGGACAATCCGGGGATATATACTGTGTGGGGGTTCCTGTATGTTTTATTATGTTTTTTTGTTGTGTTCTATGTGTATCCGGGAAATAATAAGTTTAACGAGCAGCAACTCAATTATCTCCCAGACACAGAGGCACGAGGGCGGGTCATTGTCCCTGTGAATAGGGATCTCATGCTGGAGGTCCGTGTATAAATGATTGTGCTGAGCTTAATAAAATCAGTTCTTCTCTCAGCAGTAAGTCTCCACTAATGTATGGGGGGAAAAGGCTATAACATTGCTTTACTCTACTGCTATCTTGCGAGCTATAATCACTGACTACTGCGCTGAAGGAGATACTTCGAAGAGGAAAGGACAGCCTTGGCGGTGACACTCCTGTGCCTTACCAAGTGGGCCACCAGAAGGAAAGTTCAGTGCCTCCATGCAGAGGGAGGAACACTGAATGGCAATGCTGCACACTGTGCAGCACTGCCCTAGGAAGCACCTCAAGTAGCCATATAAGGAGTGCCCTGTGGAGGTATCCCTAGGCTGTAATGTAAACACTGCATTTTCTCTGAAATGACAGTGTTTACTGCAAAAAGCCTGAAGGGAATGATTATACTAACCAGAACAAATACAATAAGTTACAGTTGTTCTGGTGACTATAGTGTCCCTTTAATGAAACAGTTTTGGAGTATCTATCAATTCTCAATGCTCAATTATCTGCCATTTAGGAGTTAAATCACTTTTATTTCTGTTTATGTTCCTTTGCCCACACTTCCCCTGGCTGTGACTCACACAGCCTGCATTAAAAGATAGTTTCCTTTTTAATCAGATCAGACAGCACAGTAGATTTACTGTAATATCTGTACACCAAAACTTCTCCATTAAGCGAAAGTTGTTTTGGTGCTTATAGTGTCCCTTTAAAGTTCAATTGACAGAGCAGGAGATAAAAACGTCTAAAGTAAAGACACTGTACTGATTGAATATTAAACCATTTTTTAATGAGTGTGTGAGTCACAGCCAGGGGAGGTGTAGATAGAGCTGAAGAATCAGAAGTTATTTAAAGGACCACTATAGTGCCAGGAAAACATACTCGTTTTCCTGGCACTATAGTTCCCTGAGGGTGCCCCCACCCTCAGGGACCCCCTCCCGCCCGGCTCTGGAAGGGGGAAAACTTACCTTTTTCCAGCGCTGGGCGGAGAGCTCTCCTCCTCCTCTCCGCCCCGCCCCCGGCTGAATGCGCACGCGCAAGCAAGAGCTGCGCGTTCAGCAGTCGGATAGGAAAGCATTTACAATGCTTTCCTATGGTTTCAATGCTCACCCTACCTGAAAGGCTGTCCATGAGAAGCCCTAGAGGATTAGGGGGAAGGCTTAACCCATTTTAATTATAGCAGTTTCTGAAACTGCTATAATTATGAAAAAATGGGTTAACCCTAGAAGGAGCAGGCACCCAGACCACTTCATTAAGCTGAAGTGGTCTGGGTGCCTAGAGTGGTCCTTTAACTACTAAATGGCAGAGACTTGAGCAGTGAGAGTATAGGGGCATGATCTATCCAGTAAAACAGCTTCATTAAGCTAAAGTTAGTTTGGTGCTTAGAGTATCCCTTTAACTAATTCAAATTTACTTGAAAAGTCATCTTGTACACATTAAACAAACCATAGGCGTGCGAAGCCTATAGCATTAGGGTGTGCATGCTAAAGCACAAACACACACGCTTCGTGTTTATGTGTGTGTGTATATATATATATATATATATATATATATATATATATATATATATATATATATATATATATATATATATAATGATCCCGTTATTAACCTGAGAGGCAAACGGCCAATCCCTTTATCAACCTCTCACTAAGAGACTCTGTCCAACAGACAGATCTCTCTCTCAGCCTAAGACAGGTTCAAGACAGAAGACTGTGACACCCACATGAGTAGACAAAGAAAGACAGAAAAAGTCAATATCTTTGTACTCACCATTAGGTATCACAATCCTCCCCCTCAGACAAACCCCCACTTGTTAAGCTGCAAAATTAACACAGGGTCTGGAACCCTTACGCTGCCGTGGACTTATGCACTAACATATTCTGCTTTCCTTGTCTCTGTGTAAATTCACTGCAGGGAACACTCAATGAGCACACCAGTCATTATGGAGGTCAGAAAGTATTCGAAAGTTTTAATGCATGTACATCGTATAAATAAAACACAGTTTTCTTAGAGGTGTATACAACAAAAGGCAAAATCAACCAATCATAGAAGTTTCAGTGCAAAAAATATAATTATTCATAGAACATTACGTATCGCTGTCAGTTAGTCTACTGCGCATGTATACAATGAAAACACACAACAATGACTTACTTTCTACTTGATAACCTCTTTATCTGAGCTATGCTAGGTTAACACCAAAAGCAACATTTTAATGAGAACAAGAAGAAACAGCTACAGAAATAGCTACAGAAATTGCTGACACAAATAATTTAGCTTTTAACCCCTGCAGACGTGGAAGGACTAAACTAGAGTAAAGGTTTTAACCCTTTATTTACTTTTATCTATGACAAGTCCTCTCTTCTGGCACTGCAGGTGAGAGCGTTAGGCAAGGTATATCAAGGTATACTAATTATACCTGTGAGACTTTATTATCTTCACCTCTATTCCCTTGCCATCTTCCACCAACAGAGACATCAAGGAAGGCCTGTCCAGGATAATAAATGTTATTAAATCCATGTCTCATTATGCAATACATCTATAGGTTAACATATATATATATATATGTATTTATAGTTCTGTATATCATGGGGAATATTCACTAAGCATTGCATAGGTAAAACAATTCATTTTCCATCAAGCACTATTTAATTTATAATGATAAGTACACAATGATATGCCCTAAATAATGTGATATAGTACCATAAGTGAGTCACAAAAATTTCACATTTGGTCTATTGTATATAATAGAATAGTGTTACTTAAAGTAAGCATTTAGATCAAACAATTCTATACAGAATTGAAATACCATCTAGTGGCCTATTTGCAGATTACCATTTACAAGCACTTTTTCAATGCAGCTTCCTATAGAGATTGGGAAAGGGAGTAAAACTGCCTATTGTTAAATGTAAAGACTGGATGAAAAAAGTCTGCAGTGGTATGTCGATTACCAAGCAGGTCAGGAATGAAGTGCTCAGTTCGGAACTACTTTAGGTAAGCTCCTACACATTATTACGATTTTATCCTGATTGTGTGACTGGATAACTGTACAGAAGTCTCAGAATAAAAGCTAAATACTACTGACGTGTGGAGCAACTTCTTTAGCAAATCTCTTTATATGGCTGGAACTTTAATGCTTAATTGTCACTCACCAGGATTTTAAATAATCTTTATTTATCAACTATATATAGCAAATATGTTTTGTCCACTCTTAAAATTAGAACAACAATGTCATGACTTGTTATCTTGTGTATGCCAATTAGTAATTATATTGGCCTGTAGTTGTGGGACGGGCTTGGATCCCCTTTAAAAGGGCTGCCAATCCACTCTCACCCTACCGTTGCTGGTCTGGCGAGTCTGAAACGTTTACTTCCGGTTCAGACCGCCATTTTAGATTTCTTACCTGTCTTTTAATCGTAAGTCTTGCCCCACCGTTAAGCAACAGCCGTAAACATTGCTTTCACGGCGGGGCTCCGTTCGTTTGAACCAAGCGTTCAGTTCTTACTGTTATGCATTTTGTGCACTCACGACCGTTCGGCTATTACCCCTATGCATATATGTCTATGTATGCATGTTTCACATCGTTCGGATACACGAACACAACCATTCGTTCACATACTACTATATAATCGTTTAGTTTTTTCGAACGGCACTCAGGAGACGCATTTATTCGTATGTTTCAGCTTTTTCATGCATAGACATAGGCACGAATTTCACCTAGTATTCAATATAACTTTTGCCCCTACTGGTAACAAATGATATTACAGTCATTTAATATTCCACTAAGGGGTTAAAAAATATAGGTGATGTAGTCTGGATGTTATAACTGATATTCCTGACCTTTCCCCTTAGGCCTATACCAAGAATTTCGCATTTTAGCATTCAAAAAATTATGATTACTGACATCTGTGTCAAAAATTGTGTTTGCTTTCTAGGTTCGTTGTAATTTAATTTTATGATTTATGCTTTGGGCCAAATGATACATGTTACTTTAGTTAGCATGTAAATTTACTCTTTTAGGTTCTTGAACTTCGGACGGTAGCTTTTACAAGTACGAGAAAACCGTCATCATCCTTTGTTTAATTACTACCCTCGGCATAGTGTCTGGTAGGTTCTTTTGATCTCTGGCCCACGATCTGGCCAACTAATACCATACGCACAATAGTGATGTCGCGAACCGTTCGCGAACTTCCCGCGAACGACTCGCCACGGTTCGCCACGAACCGTTCGCGGCAAGCTCCGGTCAGCTGACACATCCCGGCCAATCTCCAGCAGACCCTCCCTCCCAGACCCTTCCACCTTCTGGACATAATCCATGTCGAAGCGGGAAGTTCGCGAACGGTTCGCGACATCACTAACGCACAAACGATTATATTTATTTTCATATCCATAGGTCACATCATTATACTATTACAACCGCTATTATGTCTGAATATGACAGCTCATCCTGACTCACATATCAGGTACTACGCAAGAACCCAGTACTTTTCTAGTTTTAGAGTGGTACTGGTCCTAGGTTAAGCAGCCCAACTAGGAATCATTTTTCTGGTCTTAATCCATAGGCTAGTGGTCCCACGAGGCCGACACCCATCCTCATACTCGGAGGTATACGTCCCTCGGGCCAAATCATAGCTAGTCGTCTCGCACGGTCGCATAGATAGGGCCTCACCTGTCACTCCCATTCTATCTTATGCTTTAATTGCCACCGAGAGGCCAACACCCCGCCACAATGTTCAGTGGCCTCATACTTTCCCCTCGGGCTAACGCATAGGTAGTGCCTCTCAGGCCGCTTGGCAACTAGCAATGACTCATCTGTCACTGTCACAAAGTATAATTGTTTCGCTGCTTGGTATCTAGCTAGCCTCACCAGTATCCACCCAAGTCATTACAGGGTGATTGATTAAGCTACTTTATATTTTCAGTTATGTCACAAACTCCTGATATTCCTGAGGAACTTTCGCTACCCAGCACACCCCCTAGGCCTGGTACCCCTGTTCCTGGAACGGATGTTAATAGTCCTTTGTTCCTAACATCATGGACCATCCCACGTCTCACTACAGAACTAAGAAGATGCTGCATCCCTTTCCCAGCTACCGCTAGGAAAGCGGAGTTGTTTAGATTATTAAACACTACTACTACTGACAACTCCGATGCAGGGGAAGGCCCCAGTGGGACTCAGTTGCCAGCTTTTCACGCTATGATGATATCACTTATGTCATCCATCGGCACAATTAGCGATAGGCTGGATAAATTGGAGGCAGGTGGTACTAACCAGACCGCTGCAAATCCAACTGTTACCAGTCACCCACTCGTTGATGTTATGCCCGGTAATACGTATTGAATCAATTAACCCCTCGCACATGGTCCCATCTCACCTTAAAAAGGACATTCTAGAGGGCAAGGATGTCAACCTGGTTTCATTGCTCATTGCCACCCAGGATGTCCTAGAGAACAGGACCTTTGCATTCGGGGATATTTCAGTGGTTCTAAGGGCAAGAGACCCCCGGCTCAACAAGAAATTGTCCATCCCTGAATTTGTGCTGGGTTTTGGAATTTATAGGGATGTCTACTGCTCAGTTTACCCGGAGAAAAGAGCAGAGTTGGATGCAAACATGCACAAGATGGTGGATCTGGGGCACAAATACGGTGGTACCGCTTTTTACATTTACCACCGTTCCTTTTCTGCAAAGGTGGCTGCGGCTCTGACTCAGTTCAATTTAAGCATAAATTGGAGCAAATTGGACACTGAGTTATTCTGCAGACACTTTGCAGGCCCCAGGCCCCCAGCTTGTGCAGTGTGTGCATCTACCGCACATAGCACTAATTTCTGCCCGAACACAGCAGAAATTGAAAAAGGCCAAACTACCTCTAACTTCCAAAGACCTGCTAGAGGCTTAAAAGACAAACTGGGTAGGGATATTGTATTTCTAGGCAAATCCCAGATTTGTAAAAATTTTAATGCGGGTAATTGTGGTTTCAGCTCTTGCAGGTCGATGCATGTATGTTCCCACTGTTTCAGGGCCCATTCTAAGACAATGTGCCCAAATAAAGCTTTTCCCAAACCGTATCACACGTGCGTGAACCTCACATTATTGACCACACTGCTACGACAACACCCATCACGCCATTTTGTTGACTACCTTATCACGGGACTGACTGAGGGATCTCAAACCGGGTTGGTACACTTACCTACCGGTACACTGGAATGCGACAATTTACAATCCACATTAGATGATCCACAGTTGGTACACACACTTATCATGACCAATGTGAAACAAGGGTTTTTGTTGGGCCCATTCTTTTCCCCACCCTTCACATCTTGGAGAACCAACCCAATAGGGGTTGTCACGGGGAAGACTTCACTCAAACCTAGACTGATAATTGATTTATCTGCACCACATTCCTCCACTGTCCCCAGCCTTAATTCACTCATACCTTCCGAATAATTTTCACTACACTACGCCACTATCGATCATGCCATAGGGGCCATTCTTAAAGCTGGCACAGGGGCGTGGCTAAGCAAAACTGACGGGGTAAATGCCTTCAAATTACTACCCATGCACTCTTCCCTATGGCATCTACACAGCATTAAATGGCAGGGGTTGTATTATTTCTTCACCCTTCTCACTTTTGGCTCCAAAAGCAGCCCACAAATTTTTGACACGTTTGCAGAATCTGAATCTGTTGGTTATTACTTAATGTGTGTAAATGTCATTCGGTTATTCACTATCTGGATGATTTCCTCACGATTGAGAACACACTTCCCCCAAGTAGTTTGAAACACGTGTTGGCTCTGTTTGAATCCCTTACCATCCCAGTCTCCCCTCACAAGACTTTGGGTCCAGACACTAGCATGCAATTTTTGGGGATCCAACTAGACATGATACATATACAGGCTAGCCTCCCTCAGGACAAGATTGAGCGTACCCTGGCAAGCATTGAACACTACCTACTACAAGGTTATTGCAACCGGAAGGAACTGCAATCACTGCTGGGGTCGCTCAATTTTGGTACTTAAATCGGTACTTAAACCAATTGCACATGCCAAGACACAATATTTTGGAAATTAAAAAAAAACCAACATAGTGTCCATAATGCCAGACTAAGAAACCCCAGGCATACATAACGGAAATAGTTCAGATGCACATAGCAGGTCATATAATGTGGAGCACAATGCAATACTTACCGACCTGGGACATAAAAACAACAGGGGGGGAAATACGAAGATAGAAAAATAATTTATAGGGTGGGACAATACTCGCCTCCGTGTCTTTCATAAAATCATGACTTTTCATCATGAAATAGCAAAATCATGTAATTTTATGTCAAGACACGGAGGCTCGTATTGCAAGTTTAAAGCTGAGCAATAACCAAAGAGAAAACGTGTGGCGGAGGCCGAAAGTAAAATTCCCTGAAGGTGGATTCTCTGGACCAGTCCGCCATCCTTATCAGGTCTTCCAGGCGCGCTCCCGAAGATGCCATAGATGTGGCTGATGCCCCTCGTGTGGAGTGAGCGCTAAAGATGGATGTATCCACACCCACCAGGGACATTACCCATTTCACCCAACGAGCCAAGGTAGTGCTGGATACCGGGGCGAAGGGTTGACGAATCGAGAGAAAGAGCTGAGGGGACGATGCCGACCGATGGGCCTTCGTCCGAAGTTCATATTCTCTCAAACAGATCACTGGGCATAACATCGGGGTAGGTGGAAAGCTCGGATACGAGACTGAACGTATGGCCATCTTAGTCCGTCTGGAGATGTTAAATGTCACCCCGTCCGGGGTGAAAGACCTAGCATCGTAGTCCAGGGCCCGTACCTCCGAGACCCGTTTGCACGAAATGAGGCAGAACAGGGAAACCAATTTGGCCGACAGCTGTCGCAGAGTGAGGTCCGAATTAGGAGGCCAGGAAGTAAACAGTGACAGAACGCAGGAGACGTCCCATGTAGCCGTGTATCGAGGCCTGGGGGGACGCGACAGGCGTGAACCCCTAAGTAAGCGGCACAGCCGAAGAAATGGCTGATCTATACAGATTAATCGTGCAATATGAATAATGAGGTGAGGTGAGGAACTGGAGTATCGCCGTCACAGGAGCCGCAACGGGATCCAAGTCCCGAGCCAGGCACCAGCCAGTCCAAGCTCTCCAAGTAGTCCCATATGATCGTCTAGTGCCGGGAGCCCATGCATCTGCCAGGAGGCATTGAGTTGCGTCCGAAACGCCTTGGATTTCCCAGGGGCCCCTGAAATCCTCCATGCGAGTAGCCGCAACGATCCGTCCAGTAGGAGGGGGTGTTGTTGGCCCAATGGGTCCAGCAGAAGGTCCCGGTAGGATGGCAGAAGTCTGGGTGCATCTATCGCCAGTTCCAGGAGTTGTGGGAACCATGACTGGGTACCCCAGAATGGGGTCAGCAAGACCAAGTCTGTCATCTGGCGTCATACTTGGAGTAGAACCTGAGGGATCATTGCAAATGGAGGGAAGGCGTAAAGGGGTGAGCCGGACCAGTCTTGCAGGAAGGCATCCACTGCTTCCGCGGCCGGGCCTGGAAGCGAAGAGGTCGATGGCAAAAGGTCCCCAGAGGGACAAGATAGCGGAGAACGCCCCTACATCCAATTTCCAATCGCTGCTGTCTGACAGATAGCGTGAGCTCCAATCTGCATGGGTATTGTGGAGACCAGGGAGGTATTCTGCCTGGACCATCAGATCCCTGGCCAAACAATAGGCCCAGAAGTCCTTAGTCAAGCGGACCAGCATAGTTGAGTGTGTGCCGCCCATGTGATTGACATAGCGAACTGTTGAGATGTTGTCCATGCGCAGTCTGATGCACGCACTGGCGGTCCCATTCACAAAGCTCCAGATCGCGAAGGAGCTGGCCAGGAGTTCAACATGGCATTGATGTGGAGCCGGGATTCGGCCTCTGACCAGCGACCCCAACCGTGGAGACTTGTGTCCGAATCCACCGTGAATTCCGGTTGTGAACCGAAGATGGTCTTGCCATTCCAAGCGGATAGGTTTTGGATCCACCAGATCAGTTTGTCTCGGGTTTCCGAATCCAGGAAAACCAAGGCTGCATATGAAGCCCCTTTGCGAAGATGTGCGATCTTCAGACGTTGGAGGGCACGATAATGGAGAGGGGCTGGAAACACCGCCTGGATTGAGGAGGCCAGTAGGCCAATGAGTCGTGCCAGGTGCTGCAGCGACAGCTGGGGGCGCGGCATAGTTCCTTGCGGATGGAGCGTATTTTGGCTGGAGGGAGGCTGAGAGATTCGGCTTCTGAGTCCACCGTGAACCCGAGGAACTCCATGCGTCGGGAAGGGGATAGGCAGGATTTTTCCCAATTGAGGAGGAAACCCAGGCGAGAGAGTAGATCCATCGTCCACTGTAGGTGTTTCAGGAGGACCCCACGGTCCTGTGCCATGAGGAGGATGTCGTCCAAATCAGTCGTACTCCTCGGCTGCGCAACCAAGCCATGGCAGGGCGCATAAACTTGGTGAAGCACCACGGAGCTGACGAGAGCCCGAAGGGGAGGCATGTGAATCGCAGTTTCGCCTTTCCAGAGGAAGCGTAGTAAGTCCCTGGATGTCTCGGTCACCGGGACCGTTAAGTAAGCATCTTCTAATTGAGGTCTAATTTCGCCATCCAGTCTCCTCGTAGGAGTAAATCCTGCAGGAGATGAATCTTGAAGTGGCGGTAGCGCACTAGGGTGTTCAGGGCCCAAAGGTTGATAACTGGGCGCATCTGGCCGCCTTTCTTTTCCACAAGGAAGATGTTGCTGAGAACACCTGTTCTATCGCTCCCTTCGTGAGGAGGGCCGATAGCTCCTCGTCTATTAAGGCGCGGTTTGCCCTTGAAAGTACAATAGGGTGAGGGGGAGGAATATGACACGGGGTGTCTACCAATTCTATGTGAAACCCCCTCACTATGGACAGAACCCAGGCATCTGAGGTGATGTCTAACCAGGCATGGAAAAAATGACGGCCCTGGTAGAGACCCGCCCCTGAAATACCCTCTTCATAGAGGATTGGGCCTTGTCCAGGGCTGTGAAAGCACCCACGAAGCGCCCCAGATCCTTAATAAAAGATTCTCCAAAATAACAGGCCCTGAGCATCTTTGCCCGCCTCAGTGAGGGCAAGGTTAGCCAATTTTGGCTCAATTTTAAAGAGGATAGCTTTACGCCGCTCTATAGACAGGGAGGCGTTCACACTGCCTGCTATGCAGATCGCCCTCTGCACCCAGCCACTAGTTCTTCCGGGTCAACCTGCCTGTTTTCAGCTCTGGCTAGTTCGGCCAGGTCCAATAATTTAGCCAAAGGACCAAAAATGTCCAGGTGTTTGTCCTGGCAGGAACCCTTGCGCCACAATAAACAAATTAAATAAGTGTAGTCATATAGGAGTATCTTCAACTATATCTTCAACTTCACCAGACAATCGCACAGTCCTGATCCGATTAACAGTTCTTGAGTGTTTCAGGGTATCTCCAGGTCAGGTGCTCAATGTGTAGGACGAGTCCAGGCAATTCCCAAGTCCAGCTGAGAAGCAAACTAAATGTAGAGGGGCCCCATACCTATCCCACAAACCCTTTCAGGGGCTCTTGTGACGGGGCCCAGAGTGTGTGGGCTGGAAGCTGGCCTCCAAGCCTCTCCCATAGTTAGTGGCACTGAAGCTTCTATCGCACCCCCAATTGGTTATCCCTGGATGTCTCTTTACCTGCTCGACATCATAGCAAAAGTGAGCTGTGATTAGGGTTGCCACATTTCTTGGAAAAAATAGCGGCCATGCTAATTTGCATAATTAATTATGCATGTGTGACATCACAAGGAGTGACATAACAGAAAATTATATAAAATCACCAGAAAAACTTACAGTTTGATTCTGCTGTATAGAGGGATTGCTCCTCTCACAGTGCAATGTCCCCATGTCTCCAAGTGTCCCCTGGTGTCTCCCAGTGTCCCCGAGTGTCTACCTTAGTGTCTCAGTGTCCACATGTCTCCCAGTGTCCTCATGTCTCCCTTAGAGTCTCAGCGTCCCCATATCTCTCCCAGTGTCCCCTAGTGTCTCAGTGTCCCTATGTCTCCCTTATTGTCTCAGTGTCCCCTAGTTTTCCCATGTTTCACAGTGTTTTAGTGTAGCTATGTTTCCCCTAGTGTCTCAGTGTCCCCATGTGTCTCCATGTCTTCCCTAGTGTGTCAGTGTCCCCAGTTTCTGAGGATCCCCATGCCTCCCTTAGTGTCTCAGTGTACCCTAGTCTCCCCTAGTGTCTCTGTGTCCCCTAGTCTCCCCATGTATCCTAGTATCTCAGTGTCCCCATGTTTCCCTTAGTGTCTGTGTCTCCATGTCTCACAGTGTTCCCAGGTCTCCCAGGGTCCCCTAGTGTCTCAGTGTCCCTATGTCTCCCCTAATGTCTCAATGTCCCCTAGTTTCCCCATGTCTCCCCTAGTGTCTGTGTCCCCTAGTATCCTCATGTCTCCCTTAGTGTCTCAGTGTCCCTATGTATCCCAGTGTCCCCTTGTGTCTCAGTGTCCCTATGTCTCCCTTAATGTCTCTGTGTCCCCTAGTTTCCCCATGTCTCACCTAGTGTCTGTGTTCCCTAGTATCCCCATGTCTCCCAGTGTTTCAGTGTCCCCATGTCTCCCAGTGTCCCCTAGTATCTCAGTGTCCCCATGTATGTGTCTCCATGTCTCTGTGTCTACCAGGATCGCCATGTCTCTGTGTCCCCCAGTGTTCTCATGTCTATGTGTCTCTCAGGATCCCCTGTGTCCCCATGTCTCTGTATGCCCCCGTGTTACCTGTTACAGACTGCCCTTCAATTTGTCTTCACCCATCCCTCACTTACCTGAGCTGCTGGCTGGACTGTCTGGGCAGAGCTGCTCGCCTGCGGATCAGTGAGTAGAGAGAGGCAGGGATATGCTGACTTCCTATCCCTGTCTCTCTCCACACACGGTCTAATCTAAGTTTATAATGAGAAAAATACCGGCATTTTTATTGCCGGTATTACTACACTACCGGCACCGGCCAGGCGGCCTCAAACACAGACTGTGCCGGTAAAATACCAGCCAGGTGGCAACCCTAGCTGTGATTCGTGGTGAGTGAATCGAGCGACACACGTTCAGAAATTTTCCGGATCATAGCATAGATCCGATCCAGTGAATAGTTAAATAAAGATCTCTCTGTGTGAGAATGGGTCATGGCGATCCCCAAAGTTCATCCAGCTCCAGCTGAAGGGATGATTAAAGGGACACTATAGTCAACCAGACCACTTCAGCTCCATGAAGTGGTCTGGATGCCAGGTTCCTCAGGTTTTAACCCTTCACATGTAAACACAGCAGTTTCAGAGAAACTGCTATGTTTACATTAGGGGTTAATCCAACCTCTAGTGCCTGTCTTCCTGACAGCTGCTAGAGGCGTATCTGCGACGCTGGAGGCGAAATTCGCATCCAACGTGCAGAACCTCCATAGGAAAGCATTGAGAAATGCTTTCCTATAGACAGTTTGAATGGTGGGGGCACCCTCAAGGCACTATAGTGTCAGGAAAACCGCTTTGTTTTCCTGACACTATGGTGATCCTTTAAGCACCTGGGGCTTCCTTATACCTCCTCCCCACATTTGCATTAATAATAATAATAATAATAATATTTTTTTGTGCACTTTCAAGCCCCTCCACAAGTATGATGAATGGAGGCATCCTTTAGATGTATCATGTTATATGTGTGAATGTGGGCTATATGCTGTATTGTGTGCAGGGCCGGCCTTAGGGGTGTGCGAGGTGTGCGGCCGCACAGGGCGCCGTGCGGCCGACACAGCTCACACATGGCCGGCCAGGATAAAAAAAAAAAAATTGCGGCGGGGCTTACCGTGCGGTGGGGCGGGGCTTACTGTGCGATGGGGCGGAGCTAAAAGTGCAGTGTAACTGCTGCAGGGGAAGCAGGAAGGAGTCCCTGCTTCCCCCAACAACCAAAATACAGGAGCTGCACTGCCTGTCTGCCGCCACAAGGAACAGAGGTAACTATGTGTGATTGTCTGTCTGTGTGTGACTGTCTGCCCTTTTTTGTGTGGGTGTGTGACTGTCTGTGTGTTTGACTGTCTGCCTGTGTGTGAGACTATCTGCCTGCCTGTGTGAGTGACTGCCTATGTGTGTGTGTGTGACTGCCTATGTATGACTGAGCAGACTAGATGGGCTGAATGTTTCTTATCTGCCATCACATTCTATGTTTCTATGACTGCCTGTGTGTGTGGCTGTCTGCCTGTGTGGAGCTGTCTGCCTCTGTGTTTGTGTGTGGCTGTCTGCCTGTGTTTGTGTGTGGCTCTCTGCCTGTGTGTTTGTGTGTGGCTGTCTGCCTGTGTGTGGCTCTCTGCCTGCGTGTTTGTGTGTGGCTGTCTGAATGTGTGTGGCTGTCTGCCTGTGTGTTTGTGTGTGGCTGTCTGCCTGTGTGGCTCTCTGCGTGTGTGTTTGTGTGTGGCTGTCTGCCTGTGTGTTTGTGTGTGGCTCTCTGCCTGCGTGCGTGTGTGTGTGACAGGGTGTGTGGGAAGGGGGAGATGGGAAGGGGGGGCACTGTGAAGATTTTTCGCACAGGGCACCCAAAGGCCGGCCCTGATTGTGTGTGAGGTGTGTGTATGAAGATTGTCAGCTGTAATTGTGCGGGCTGCTAGTGAAGCTGTGTGTGTTTGTGGGTTGTTTGAACCATTTCATACCTCCCAAGTGTTCCTAGTTAAGAGGGGCAGTCCTGGTTTTGGGCCCAAATTCCTAATGTCCCTCTACAGTATTCTAGAATCTCCATATAGTTGGTATGTTTTAGCGTATAACAGAACTCCACAACAATAATAAGCGATCACAGATCATGGCAAAAATAAGCATTGAAAGTTCAGTCTGTGTAAATAAGATAATAATAACAAAGTATTTTACCACGAAAGGTACATTCAGATTACTCTGGTTTTCAAGTACGTCCTGGGGATAATATGCATTGTTCTTGTTTTAAATTACATTTTATATGCATAAATTGCTATTGATACGTCACCAAAAATTTGCTAGAACAGACTCACTCCTGGCCACACCCCTAAAATTAGTGTCCCTCTTTGTCCATCTGAAATGTTTGGAGGCATAGTGCCTGTCACTAGAATGACCCTCATCAGTAATCCTGGCTCTGGGTAGGATGGTGCAGGCATCAAATTAAGGAGGGCTCCTTTTCCCAACGTTTGGAATTTTCTTTCACAGGTAAAAGAGGAGAGAAATGACAGTGTTATATCGGTGTTCTAATTCACAAAGCAGTAACCATGGCAATGCACTATGTGAATAAAAACACATTGCTATCTCTAGCTTCCCTACCAGGGCTGCCCCTGAGGTCACGTGCCCTGATGACGTTCTGTCACAGAACGCCGCGACATCAGCGCAGCCTAACAGTTGACTTGAAAGAGGCGGAGTCAAGTCGCTCTTCCTCCACCAATCACTTATGGGTTTTTTATCGCAAGGCCGCCATTGGCCAGCGGCCATCGCAATTTCCGATTGGTCGCGTCGTGCGGCCTCTCTTCTGATTGGTCGGCTTACGGCTCGCCGAGGAGAGCGGCACCTGCGATTGGCCCGAGCGAGGGGGCGTGCCGGTGAAGTTTCCGGAGTGCGGAAGAAAGATCTGGAAGGTTCTGGGAGGCGGAGTCTCGCTGGTACAAGAGCTGTGTGAGGATTACCAGAGGAGACATACCGAGTGACAGAGCGCTGCCACACACAGGTACGGCCACACTGTGCTGGGGGAGGGAGAGAGGGTGTACATTACAGGCCCCTGGGGGCCAGTATGGACAGAGATCCTATTAGAGGGAATCTGATATCAGTGGCTGGCTGGGATGGCTACTCTCTCCCCTGGGTCTCCTGTCTCCATGTTCACCCGGTGCATTCTGGGACATGTAGTTCAGAAATATCCAGGGGACAGGGGGAGCCATTGGTGGTTTCAGTCCCATGGAGAGCAGTGTTAATGGGCTGCTAGCTTGCTGGTGTTCTCCTAGTCCTGGGGCAGCCAACCCTTTTGGCAAAGCAGATGTTTTGGACTACATCTCCCACAATGCTCTTACAAGAGCACTGCTGGCAAAGCATCATGGGAGATGTAGTCCACAACATCTGGAGTGATGAAGGATGCCTAGTCCAATTTCATCATCATCATCATAGTCTTAAATTAGAGGGGCAAAGGATTAAAAATAATATCAGGAAGTATTACTTTACTGAGAGGGTAGTGGATGCATGGAATAGCCTTCCAACTGAAGTGGTAGAGGTAAACACAGTAAAGGAGTTTAAGCATGCGTGGGATAGGCATAAGGCTATCCTAACTATAAGATAAGACTAGGGACTAATGAAAGTATTTAGAACATTGGGCAGACTAGATGGGCCAAATGGTTCTTATCTGCTGTCACATTCTATGTTTCTATCACATTTTTATGTCACATGAGATCAGGCACCTAATATCTACTGTACTGATTGACACTGGACAGTTTTGGTTTGTTTTTTTCTCCTCATATGTGGGGGTTTACAGTTTACCCATGTTGATATGTAAATTGCCCTGTACACATGTGCCTGTTGGCTCTCAGTCAATATAAGTGTGTGATCTAGGAATATAATGCATTGCTACTATATCAATGTGGTAGTCGATAAGACGTTATTGCAAATAATTATTGGCTCAGATATGTGTGGTACACTACTGTCAGCCTTTGTAAACTTCAATATCACTTGTGGCCCTTTTCTGTTATGCTTGGCTGCTGGCAGCAAAACTCAGTGTGTGGAAGGAACATGGGATGTGATTTTACTTGCTTAACCCCTTCCATGACCAATGGCATTCTAGACCCAATGTGATATAAATAAAATAACTATTCTATTGTTAGAAAGAGGTGATGATCTCATATAAACAAAGTTGCTGTAGTAGCAGAGGTTCAAGATGTTATACCTATGCTGATCAGTTGCTGAAAAGATGCTTACTCTCTTATCCCCAGCCCTTGTGTCTTTAATGTATCATAGAAGATTGATCAGTGCCCAATTCTAAAAAAATACAAAGTTCCAAAAAATGGGCAGTCACCATGGTAACCTGTGCAATCAGCAGGTAGATTCCATTGGTGACTCCTCTACTTCATCTTTAAACCACGTTTTAGCACATATATCACTCTGATAACTACCCCCTCACCCTGCATCTCACCCAGTATGTCACAGAAAAAATACCCTGCTCTGTGTGTCCCTTGTTTCATTCTCCTGGTTCTTTAGTTTGGAGCACTGTATCTACAGGTTTTCTATGGAGAACTGTATTTTTTTTTTTTTTAACAAAGATTACAGGTCCTAACATTTAAAGCTACCAGAAATAGGAAGTTGATGGGCATGAAAAGACCACTTTCTAGCTGTGATTAGGTCTTCCTTTTTATCCTATAGGGTCCAGGTTTGGGGGGGTTATGTTACCTTCATGATGGCTCTACTTAATTCTTGGTGCAGATAAACCAAATCCACTAGTGTATTTACCCTCTCCCCTCCACCCATATCTTCAGGATCTTGCATGTTTGGAACAAAAAAACTGACTTAAAGGAAAGCTTCAAGCACCCTAACAACTTCATCCTGTTCTAGTTCTTTTGGTGCCAGGAGTGCCCTGGCCTCCCTCCACTGAGCTAAACACGCCTGGTACAGGGCCGTGCTTATTGGCTGAGTATGCTCTACTGACATCTCAGACAGTAAAGCTGGCCCTGCTTACTTTGCAGGAGAATCTGGAAAGTGGCCACGTGCACTCAGGGGAACCCAGGTAAGCTGTCAGATTGTTCTCAAAGGGTTAAACAAACTGCTCTGGGAGGCTGCCAAGGCACTCCTGAAACAATCATTACTACAGGAGAGGAGATGGTGCTTGGCGTGCTCCTTTTAAAGAATGTTTCCATTTATTCTATTTTGACCTAACCTCTGAAATTCTCTGTACAATTCCCAATAATCCTGCTTGTGTCTTTTGTATCCCTTCATGTTTGTTTAGGAGCGCGGTGCAGAAGCATGATGTTGTGGTGCAAGTGTTTGTTTTTATTTTTTTCATTCGTTCCTGTGTTTGACAAAACACGCAAAGGATCATGCAAAGTATCATGAAAATTTGTTATATGGGAGTATGTCACAGCAGCTTCTGCAAACTATTATTACCTAGTAATTTTTGAAATCTTTTGGATAACTGGGACCTCCAAGGAGCACTCCAAGCAACATCGTACCACCATAGTAGTGGTTAGATTGCGTCCCTTTTAGAGTGATGCACGAGAGTACAGTATTAAGGGATCCTCCATAGATGGGGCCAATTCCCTGCTGCCGTCACTGGTGATGGCTGGGAGATTGACACTTCTACGTGGCGGTTGCTGCTTCCAGTGTCTAGAAGTATCTGGCGTAAGAAGAAATACTGAGAAAATAGTCCCTACTTTATCTCAGTGTATCTTGTGACTCTGTTGGAATTTTAGTAAAACTTCCAACAGTCAATAGATTTTACCTTTTTATGAAATATTCATTTTGTAGAGGGGGTTAGGGGGCTGGCAGTGGTAATGCTATCTTTTTAGTGTTCATTTAAAATTGACTATTCTAAGCACCATAACAACTTTGCATGGTTTCAAATGTCCTGTTCCAAAGGGTACTTGTCTCTCACTACTCACTATCGCTAAAAAAAGAGTGGCTTGTAATTTGTAGTGATTTTGTAAGAAAAAGAAAATCTCTCCAATATAAGACAGTCTGAATTTTGAATTTCAGGCTGCCTATATAACATTTGTCCAACTTGTGTGCACATACAACACTAGCTTATTGCACTGTACAAATGACTTGCAGAAGCTTTATGGCAGCCATCAATTTAGTAAGTAGAAAAACTGAACTCTAATGAGGTAAAAACAATACTTTTGGTTAATATACTCTGTTAGAAAATGTATATAGTTTAAAATACAATGTGTAATTCAGTAGAATCTTTAGTGTATTGTAGTATATTTCTAATTCTGTAGTATCAGTAAGAAAGTCATAGTTCTATCAACTTATATAGTATGAGAATTTAAAGGAACAATGTTGTCCCTTATTTATGTTCTACCAATCTATTTTACCATAGAAGTTTGTGCTGACTTTGTTTTTGGAATACAATAAGTAAGGTGTGTGTTTGTTTATTTATTTATTTTTTTTCCTCTTCCACTTCGTAGGTATTTCTGTAGAGTTACACTACACCCAAAAGCATGGGGAAGGATTATTACAAAATCCTTGGACTTTCAAAAGGAGCAACAGAAGATGAGATTAAAAAGGCTTACCGAAAACAAGCACTGAAGTATCACCCAGACAAGAACAAAGACCCAGGAGCTGAGGAACGCTTCAAAGAGATTGCTGAGGCATATGATGTACTCAGTGATCCCAAAAAGAAGGAAATATTTGACAAGTTTGGGGAAGAAGGTGTGTAGATGCATAGATTTGATTTTTGTTTTGGGCTTTTATAGCACTTCACTTTTTATAAGTAGATACTGTTTGGTGACTCTCTAAATTACTAAATGAATTGACAGACCTGCAAAAGCTAGGTCAACTTTAGTTTGGGGAGGGGCTAGTGCAAACCTTTCTGCTAGATGTGCCCATTCATCCTGATGTATTATTGCTTGACAATGTGCAAAGACTGGATCCAACTTGGCACCTGGTACATAAGTGTGTAGCTCTAATCTCTAAATACCAAAAAGATTGGATCCCTGTACCTGGGAAGGGTGTGTTTGTTTTATGCAGTGGGGAAGGGAATAGAAAATGCGTGGTGAGACTGTGTGTGTTTTTTAATAAGGAGCAGCACAGTATCGTGGCCTTTTTATTATGATTGTTTGGAGCAAATTGACAAAAGGCATCCTAGTGGTGTTGGAATAAAATTTACTCACATTTAAACTCTGCAAATCATCTGGCTTAATAAGGCTTACGGGCCAACAGTAGCTGTAGATCCAAGTTTCCCCTGCCCTGATTTTTAAAATGAATACTGTTGAGTACAGGAATATTTGATAAAGGGGAGTCCTGCTCTGAATTGGCTTAAAAAGTTAATTGGTTAAAACTGTATGTATGTTGCGTTTCTTGAGATGTTGTGATTCCTGATTAGCAACTGGTTGCTCTCCCATATCCTTTGAATTTTTGATGCATTGGACTAACCTAGTTGTCACTATATTTGGTAATCCAACAATTGTAATCTACTTTAGATCAGTCATGTGAAACTTAATCTTAAAACGCTGCAGTGGCAAAGGGACTGTCACTGAGTTAGTGTTAAAACTGTCAATTAAAGTGGAGAAGTTCTAGAATTAATGTGGAATTCTGCAGGTTGCATCCTGTCTGAGCGCTTTGTATTCCTACAAATCAAGACATGTCTTATTGCCCTGCCTTGTGCTTTCACTTACTAAGTCTCTGAACCTTGCTATTCATTGACTGTCCATTTATCTTGCACTTTGGACTATTACTTATCAACATAATTTGCAGCTATATTGACTGCGAACTAAACACTTTCCCCCCTGCAAAGCAGTAGGTCAAATAAAATATCTGTCACATTTCGGAATTACTTGAGGTTTGTGCATGTGATATATATCATTCATGTATTGCAAATACCGTTTAAAAATTGGCCCTACAGATTGACCTTATGATTGTTATCTTGTTATACCTACAGAAGACCATTCGTTTCTTTTTCCGACTTCCTTCACTGACTTTATGTAAAGCAAAATATCACAGAAGGTGCACTTAGTTATCCTCTAAGGGTGTGGCCTCTGCCTAAGGTGTCTCCATATCCCCCTTCATTTAAAAAAAAAAAAAAAAACCACAAGCTGTAACATGACTCTATCCTCATTATAGTGAGGGGCATCCATACTAAATGTTTGTTTTCTCTTCCCAGGTCTAAAGGGAACCCCAGGTGGTGGTGGTGGAGGAGGAGGAGGTGGTCCATCTTACAGCTACACATTCCATGGAGACCCTCATGCCATGTTTGCAGAATTCTTCGGAGGTCGCAATCCATTTGACAACTTCTTTGCCCGTAATGATGATGACATGGACACTGATGACCCCTTTGCTAGTTTTGGCATGGGAGGGTTTAGTCATTATCCTAGGGCTCCTGCGGGCCGACGAGAGCCAGTCACCAAGAAGCAAGACCCCCCAGTGGTGAGGGAACTACCCGTCTCTCTAGAAGATGTATACAATGGTTGCACTAAGAAAATGAAGATCTCACATAAGAGGCTGGGTCCAGATGGGAGGAGTGTGCATAATGAAGATAAAATCCTGACCATTCAGGTTAAGAGAGGTTGGAAGGAAGGCACCAAAATCACATTTCCCAAGGAAGGGGATGAGACCCCAAACAACATCCCTGCAGACATTGTCTTTGTTTTGAAAGATAAACCTCACAATTTGTACAAGAGAGACTCTTCAAATGTTATCTATACAGCCAAAATCAGCCTGCGGGAGGTAAGGGATACATTGGTTATATGTAAACCTAGTAGGAGGGTGTCTACAAATGCTGACCCTTGAGCTTTTACGTGAACTGTGTAATTTGTTGGGTTTACTTTTACACTTACTATTTTTATACCTCCTGGAAAATATTACTCCGTTAGATAAAACTGGTATGTAGAGATATAGGTGCTGCTAAGTCAATTAATGGTTTTGTCTTTTGTGCAAATACATCTCAGAACGCTGAAGATGTCTGCTTGTTGACAGGGTAATTGCTTACTGTTAAGGAGTGGGAGCTAAACATGTTATTAACTTTTCTTCATACACCTGTCAAATTGTGGTGTGTGTTGCGTTTTTTTTTTTTTTTTCTCTCTCTCATTCAGTGGCAGAGGGGTACTTCTGCTTGAGGTATTTTGTTAAATCCATTATCGCAAGTCAAAGTGCATGGTCTAGAACAAAATGGTGTTCTGTTTTTTGCATTATTATGTCCACACACTATGCTAACTACCTAATGTTGCAAAAATTTACCTAATTTAATTTTTTTATGTAGTTTAGCTTCGGACGCGGTCTTCAGTTTTAGTACAGGGTGAAGCAAAACTGCATGTAGGTCCCTAGGGTTTTGTAATCTGGGTAATGGTAGAGCAAAAAAAATACTTTTAAAGTGCTTACATGGACACTATAGTCCTCCAAAACAAATTTAGCTTACTGAAGCAGTTTTGGTGTATAGATTATGCCCCTGCAGCCTCACTGCTCAATTCTTTGTGATTTAGAAGTTAAAACACTTTGTTTATGCACCCTAGTCACACCTCCCTGCATGTAACTTGCATAGCCTTCCTAATCACTTCCTGTAAAGAGTCATCTAATGTTTACACTTCCTCTGTTGCAGATTCTGTTAAATTTAGAATTTCTTATCTCCTGCACTGTTAATAGCTTGCTAGACCCTGTAGGATCCTCCTGTATGTGATTACATTTTAATTTACAGAGCTGGAGATACATACTTTAAAAGTAAGTTACATCTTATTGTAAATTACACTACTTTTTTTTTTTTTTTTTTCTTCATGCAGGCTGTGTCAGTCCCAGCCAGAGGAGGTGTGGCAAGGGCTGCATAAACAAGTGATTTAACTCTTAAATAGCAGTGAATTGAGCAGTTAGACTACAGGGGCATGATCTATACACCAAAACTGATTAAACTAAAGTTGTTTTGGTGACTCTAGTGTCTCTTTAAGGTGTACTTCTGTCATTCACATATTTTGTGGATGATTTGCTCACTAAAGTAAAACATGATAGTTGCAGATCACAAGTATGTACTCCTAGATGTAAAATATAAATATTACATGTAGCTGTTATATAGTGCAGGGATTTTCCTGTAAGAAGTCCTGCAAGGATATAGAGGACTACAACTACAGTCTGTGAACAACTTAATGCCTTCCTGTCGTTGGGATGCATGCTCGTTTTCTCTCTCCCCTCTCTCCCTCACTCATTTTGAAAATATTTGTTTTTTTTATTGCTAGGCTCTCTGTGGCTGCTCCCTCAACATCCCCACCTTGGAAGGTCGCACCATTCCTCTAGTGGTCAAAGACATAGTCTCTCCTGGGACCAAGCGGCGAATCCCCGGTGAAGGACTCCCACTTCCAAAGTCTCCTGAACAACGAGGAGACTTAATTGTGGAGTTTGACATTCGGTTTCCAGAGCGACTTCCAGCTGCATCTCGTGAAGTATTGGAAAGGATCCTTCCTGCATAAGGACAACGCAGTGCCTAATCTTAGTGACAGACCAAAGTAGATCTGACGGGACCAGCTGTACACTCCTTAAGCTTCGGGATGGGTTCACTGTCCCAAATGATGGCATACATTGAGCTCAGAGGTGTATATATGAGTTTCCTTATATTTAATGTTTTTGTTTTAAACTAAATTTCTCACCACCGGAGAGCCATTAACGGAACATTTAATTTACTCCATTTCAGAAAGTCTTAGAAATTAGTTTAGAACCAGGAATTTGAATACGTAGGAGCCATAAACCTCTGAAATTCTCATGTGCCTACAAGTCTACATAATGGCTTTGTTCATTATCTGTTGGCAACAAAGGTCATCTGCATTAAATTGGAAGCTAGTGGAAAGAAACAGCAACGAGTGATGAGGGTGCAGCATTTGGGGAATAAATATTTCAGGTTTTGGACTGTTTCTAGAAATATTAAAACATGAAGCACAAGAGGGTGCCACAAATGTGTAGTAAATGTATCCCAACCAGGCTCAAAATGTACTTATTTTTATGTTCCTAGTAGACATAAACTTCGCTTTACCCTTATTTACCCTCCATCATACTCTAATCTGAATTAAGGCACTTTCAGAACTCTGTAAAACTGGCCGAACCAAAGGCCAGTACGTGTACGTGAAAGTATGAAACATTAGGTTGTGGCCTGCAAATTTCCTTTCGTTGGAAGGAAGAGAAATCTGGGAATATTCTTATATTGTTGCTTTTTAGTAGATCAAAAATGTTTGGATATTTGCCACCTTTCCTGCCCTTGTGATTTGTATGTGGTGATTTCGCAATTGTCGGCATGACTGCAGCTATTCTGAAATGTTGCTTTTTGATTCAGAAACATCTCATCTGTTTTCCCACAGTGTTCACACCTCAATTATGTGGTTTGTGGAAACGATGTATTTGGTTTTGAAACAATATATCTCCTTGCTGATCGAAGGCTCCAAATCTTGTTATTCCAAGTTCAGTACTTGTCTTTTCTGTAAGGTTAAACATTTACGTGTGTGTATTTGCTATACATGTTATTTTTTTATATGGGGTTTTTTTTATAATATAATATATATACAAGGCTCAAATCTTTATCTTGTGGATGTCCAGGAAAGTAGTTTAAGGAATGGTCTCATGTTGATTGAACATGTGTTTATCTATTGTAACTGGAACTGTTTATAACAGAAAACCTGCTGTGAGAATCTCCCCCTTTGATTCAAAAAAAAAAAAAAAAAATCATTGAACATAAAGATTACATCTATTATATTGTTATGAATACATATAATCAAATCCCTTCTTTTCAGTGCATTTTTTTTTTTTTTAGCTTGTGCTTTTTCCATGCACATATCAATCTTAAAGTCCTATGCGGTTGAAAGTTCACTAATCTGACACAAGACTTCAGGAGCATCCGTTCAATGATTAGACTAGATGGACATCAAACTGACAACTTGTGTGAAGAGAAGGATAAGCCAGGAGATATTGCTTATATGTATGTATGTATTCCAATATAAAATACAAACCGGCTATAATGCATGTACTTTTTTTTTTTTTTTTTTTGTAATAAAATCTGCCGGTCTTTTGCATGGAAAATAATGGGTAGGATAATTTAGATTATTACAGTGGCAAAGTAATATTGCTACATACATTTTATATTCTTGGACCCAAGAATATCTCCTGATTGTACATTAATGCGGACAAAAAGCCAATTTATATGCAATTGAGTCATTTTAGAATTTTTATATATATATATATATATGTTTTTTTTTTTTTCTTCTCCTTTTTTGTGTATACTGGCTTATTCAGTTCTCTACTACGTCATATCCGCATTGGCATTGTTGCTGTAAATGAAGATTGGGTACTAGATCAGCTTTTAAGTAATGCTTGGCATCACTTGCTGTACTGTACAGAGATAGGGGTGTGCTTATAAAGTGCGCAATAAATAGCTGGTACATTTTTTTTTTTTTTTTTTTTAAACTTCAAATATTCCATGCGCACTGTAGATGAATAGTGTGCTAACCCTGAAGCTTGTATGTGTGCTGAACTGTCTGTGGGAGTAAACATATGGATTCAAGGAATGGATTCCTGTTACGCTGAATGTGATGTTTAAATAAACATATTTTTCAGTCTGTATTATTGTCTTTATTTACTGAGCATTAATAGCATTCTATTCCATAACACCTTAACATTCAAGTTAAAATAAACTTGCAAAACGCCTTAAGCCAGGCAGCTCAAACTCCGCACCTCCCCCCATCATTCAATTAATCCTAAAGGTCGTAAACATTTAATGTCTGGGGGACCAGCATTTGAGATCCCTTCATTAAACTCTCTCTCCAGTGTCGGGGAGTCTCCATTGCACTAGGAAAGACAATGAAACTGCATTAATTAACGTATTCTGAGCAATTGCTTGCGTAATGAGTAATGTAATAAGGCGCTTTCAACTGTAGAGTAAGACCATTTATACACCTGTAGGTAACATACTCTTGTTTAACTGAAATGCCTAGCTTTAACCCTCCAGCTGTTATGGGCTTGTGTATTCTAAAATGGATTTACAAACCATAGATTTCTGGAAATTGTGCTCAAACAACAACTGAATGGTTGCAAGGATCAATAACAATGTTTTATAAAGCACCTGCTGATTGTCAAATCACCATATTGCATATGTTACACATGGTTTGTGCATGAAATTACTTTATTTTTCACTCTTACAGGATGTAACTGCTTAAAGGGAAAATGTAACCATTTAAGTATTTACAATGTAGTGGTGCCAGGACACTCCTGGCACTGTAACCACAAGACACTTCAGTGGTTATGGTGCATGACCTGCTTTCTGTTTTAAAAAAAAAACAAGCTTCCATGGGGATCTTATTGCTAATTTCCATTTGCATAGTATTTTTTTTCATAAACATTAACATTCTCTCCTATATTTACACTGCGTTCTTCAGTAGATTTACACTTACATCCCCTCGTTACACATCACCTTACCTGTGCCAGTCATATTGTACAGTATTTTGGGATCTAAATTACAAGAAACACATTACTTTGGAATAATTCCTATTTGGTTTTTATTATCCATTGATCCATAGGCTGACTGTAAATAATACTATAAATCGATAAATCTTTTTATAGTTCTGTTATTCTACAGTATTTGATAGTTTTACATTGGGATATATAGCAAAATGAAATTGATAAGCAGGCACAGGTTTCCCAGCACACACCTCGTAGTGGACATTGTGAAGCTGAATTGGTCAACCAGCTACCTTCAGGTACAGTGCACAGCTACCCAGATCCTCATGAAACTGCATGCAATCACTAGATGCCGCAATCTGGTGAAACTTCATTTGGTTAGCAATCAGTACCAAGATCAACAAACTGTGCTACTCGGGGGGAGGGAGGGGGAACTGAGGCAGTAACAAGGTATCTAAGGACATTAAGAACTGGAGGGCGCTCCCTGTCCTGGAGCTATAGCAAGCCAGCATCAATGACTGGGACTTCCCACCCAACAGCGCCAGATTGGAGAGTAGTTGCAGCCCGGTCAAACATCCCCTAATGATTGCTCAGGCTAGACTTCTCAGATCCGGGTGCTTTTGGACAGTTTACCCCCTCACGATGAGAGCTTTACAGGGTTATGCATTTGTTTTGGGATACTCTAGGGGAAATTTATTATTTTGGAGATACTGTTGTAAGGTGTCTAGTAGGTAACTGAATCACTACTAGATAGTTTAATTATGTCCCAGACACCAAGGCGGCGGAGTGGGGAATGTATTGTGTGCTGTGATGACCTCCTGTTGAGGACAGGCATATATTAACTTGACTGTTGCCAAATACAGTTGTTCTTGCTTTTCAGCTGACGATTGTGTACACTGCTATAATCACTCTTAACCTCCTCTACCAAGGAAGAATCCACATTTCTCTGAATAAATAGCTGTGTTGAGTACAATAAAGATCTTCTATCCACTACATTTAGTCTCAACTTGTGTGTGTAAAAACTTTAATCACTGCTTTATAGACTGGTCCAGTAAAAGAGGTCCTTGAAGACCCCAATCAAGCTACGGCGACTGGGTCTGAAGCGCTCCAGAGACTCCTGGAAGCAGCGAAGAAGCTGACCTGGCGGAGGTACTGAGTCGGAGTACAGGAGCTCCATCACATAAGCAAAGTAGTATGAACAGAACCTAGATGTGAAGGAAGACACTGTAGCCACTTCGATGAGCTGAAGCAGTCACAGTGCCTACACTGTTCTTTTAAGTTTGAAATCCTCTTTGAACCATCACGTTAGTAATTAACCCTATAAGTATTAGGGACACTAGGCTAACCAGAAAAAGAACCCTTGTATAAAAGCTGGGACACTTTCCAAAATCCTCAGGCTGCTAAGAAGGACTCCTAACATTGTTTAGTGATTAAACTCTAAGTGCAATAACCAACTTGAGGGCAACTTGGATCACTGTAGGAGAGTTTTGTTTTACCTAAAATAACAGATCAGTAAATTGAGCTTATTTGGATTGCAATAAATACAATATTAATGTATTACAGAGTCTCTAGACAGTTGTCTGATAGGCAGAGAAGTGTCCTTTTACATGGATTGCATTTAAATGCTCACATTTCAGCATTCTAACCCACTTATTTAAAAAAAATACATAAATGAGCCATGGTGTATTAGTAATTTCATAATTTAAATTAAACAGACGCGGTAGATTCCAAAATCATTACATCTTAATGAAGTGATTTAGGGGCAGCCTTGCAAAAGAAAACTGTGCTGTTTGCGAGAACTGTTTATATTTGGCAATGTTCACAACTACTAACGGCTATAGGACAGTCATTATGACGACTTCCAACACAATAAAGATTCAAAAACTGAATGTATTGGACAAAAGCAATGTTTTGATGACTTAACGGTGGGGGGATTGGGCTGCAGTATATTATGGCTTTTTAATAAATATATATATACACACCCCCACCCCACCCCACCCCACCCCATGAGCTCAACAAAGAACCACATTTTTGCCTCATAATTCCACTAAATATATATATATTCCAGTCCAGTAAAAGAGGTCCTTGAAGACCTCAGTTAAGCTACTGCGACTATATATAATTTTCATTTAAATAGTTTATTGGTTGCAAGCCATACAGTGGTGAGTGATGAGGGAACAGTGCCATCTGCTGTACAAATTTTGCACTACCTTTGCCCTTCCAGAGTTTGCAGCTCATTCACCGTGTGATTTTTGCAATGAATGCATGATACACAGAAATTGAATTTAAATGAGACAGGATAAAAATCTATGTATTATGGTAAGATAATTTCTATCAAATATATAGATTTCTTTAAAAGCTGTAAAAAAAAAAAAAAAAGTATAGTCCTTCCCCTCATCTGTCAATTTTCAATTGTGTGGTCTCTGCCTGTGCTCCACCAAGAACTGAGTGTCACAATGAACTCATAACAGTAACTGTATCTGGGGTTCCATGAGTTAATACTTGTAGGTGACCTCTGAAAATCCCATGAAATGTATAACAGTATAGACACCCTATTTCACAGTGTGTGACTGATGTATATAAAGGCATTTATTAGGCTTTTTACTAAAGGGACAATATCAGCTATCAACCGAAATGTCAGACATGCATTAAAGCTTATTGAATGTACATTTTAGCTCAATTAAAGGGACACTATAATCACCTGAACAACTTTAGCATAATGAAGCAGTTTTGGTGTATAGAACATGGCCCTGCAGCCTCACTGCTCAATCCTCTGCCATTTAGGAGTTAAATCCCTTTGTTTATGAACCCTAGTCACACCTCCCTGCATGTGACTTGCACAGCCTTCCATAAACACTTCCTGTAAAGAGAGCCCTCTTTGGGCTTTCTTTATTGCAAGTTCTGTTTAATTAAGATTTTCTTATCCCCTGCTATGTTAATAGATGCAAGAGCCTCCTGTATGTGATTAAAGTTCAATTTAGAGATTGAGATACAATTATTTAAGGTAAATTACATCTGTATGAAAGTGAAACCAGTTTTTTTTTCATGCTGGCTCTGTCAATCATAGCCAGGGGACGTGTGGCTAGGGCTGCATAAACAGAAACAAAGTGATTTAACTCCTAAATGACAGTGAATTGAGCAGTGAAATGATCTATACACTAAAACTGCTTTATTTAGCTAAAGTAATTTAGGTGACTATAGTGTTCCTTTATGGTCCACTACCATTTTGGAAGCAGTTATATTTCTAGGTTATTAGGTACCATGTTTCATATTAAAATAATACATTTATTGTGTGTTAAGTTTTGTAATCTCATCTGGCCACAATAACCTAGGATTCAATAATTTTAAATCATTCAAGTGGTGGTGTTCTAACAAATTTCCCTACCCGTGAAAATCCCCTACCCTCGTCACGAGGTAGGGGAATTTGATAGAATAGTGGCAGCTTTTATATCGAAAGCAATGTAGGTGATGTTAAACAGAGATTTTTCTTTCTTTTCAGTCTAGAGTAGATTATTATTATTATTAGTAGTAAATATATAGCGCCAGCATATTCCGTAGCACTTTACAATATTATCAGAGGGGGAGATTTAACAATAAATAAGACAATTACAAAAACTTAGGTTCAGGAACAATAGGTTGAAGAGGACCCTGCTCAAATGAGCTGACAGTCTAGACTCTAGATCGGCGTTTCAGAATTAGTGTTCCGCGGAACCCTAGGGTGTGTGTATCTGTGTACCAATATGTATCAGTGTGTGTGTGTATATCTATGTCAGATACATATACACACACACACACACACACACACACACAGAGATACACACTGACACACAGATACACACACTGGCACATACAAACACAGATACACACATCTTGACACACACCTGCACATAAAAACAGATACACACACAGATAGATAGATACATACACACAGAGATAGACTCTGTGTGTCAAGGTGTTTGTATCTGTGTGCCACTATGTGCCAGTGTGTGTGTGTGTATCTGTGTGTCAGATACATACACACACACACACAGATACACATTGACACACAGATATACACACCCTGACACACACCGGCACATAAAAAAAAAAGGTTTATGCAAAATTGTTAACTGTTTTTTTTTTTTTTCTACGGTGAGGGGGTTCACGATGTTAATACACTATGTGTTAATTGGGAACCCCTGCTCTAGATGAAAAGGGATTTTCACTCCTTGTATCCACTGAGCCAATCAAAGGGTGTGAGTGGAGTGGCCATGTGACACTGTGTGAACCAGGCAGTTCTCCTGCTGTCCCTCACAACAACTACCATGCTTTCCTAGTGGAATACAGAAGTGGACCAGATGTTCTGGCATTGAAGCCAATGTGGCAAGATAGGAAAGTGGGTGTTAAATTTGTGTAATACTCATGGACCAAGGATAGTTGTGGTTCTGGCAGCACTTGAAAGAATAATGCTCGTGTCATGGCACATCTGCTGGGTCAGGTCTAGATTGCTCTCTAGAGCAAATTATTTCCACGCAGGATAATGCACACTGGCTTTACTGGTTAGCTTAGCGCCCTTGGCTAGTGAGTGCAGTCCTGCATTGGCATTGCCTCACTCTACAGAGACATCTAGCTTCTCCTACTGGAGAAGACCAGATGCAGGTGTTGTGGTGCAGGCACCCAGCAAGACCCAGGTAAGTTGTGAAACACTTTGACATGCTGCTGTGGAATGGCGCCAAAGTACTTCTGGCACTATAACCTCTACTGCTGGCATTATTTGCTATGGTGCTTGAAATGTTCATTAAATCAGCATCCCTGGCAATTAGCTGAGAGAGCTAGATCGCTTAGAAAGGGCATTTGTCAGCCTGCCAAACTAGCATGCCAGGCAAACTGGCCACCATGCTGGCGAGACCTCCTCCAGGTTGTCTATGTTACACGTGTTGCTGAAGTGCTCTGTATGGATAGAAAGAGCTTTTAATGACACATTTACTCTGCACTTATCATGGAGTTTTATGTTGTCTCAATTATTAGCTGGGGACTAGAGAAGAAATCCAAGGAAGAGCCTTGAAATTGGAACTGTCAGCACTAACCTATGGGCAGAAATGTTCTTTCGCTTTGCCTATCACTAAAGTATTTATTGACTCATTTTCATGGGCTGTTTGGATATATTTCTTGTGTCCCTGAAAGCAGGACACCAGAGGAAACCCTAGGATGGCAGAACAGGGTCTCCCATTTGGACTTTCCTGTTGGATCTAGGCAATAGAGACACATGCTCTCAGTTGTCTAGGATTTGAGCATGACCCCACAATGAGCCCAAGGGAGCAATGTGAAAAATATGAACAATTGTAGCTCCTCTGCAACTGTCCTGTTGGAGCCTCCACCACCACTGACACAGGTGAATCCAGGACATTGTTATGTACTGATAGATTATGACGGCAGCACATGCCTTTGGACATATTTGTTTTCTGAGATCTGCTGTGCAGTACACCCTTTTCTTAACCCCTTAAGGACCAAACTTCTGGAATAAAAGGGAATCATGACATGTCACACATGTCATGTGTCCTTAAGGGGTTAATATCATACTAGAGGCTTTTGTTGTGTGTTTTAATTTGCTATTAAATTCCATTCCTTTTACAAGCCTACATTTTTATTCCCTCCCCCAGAATTAAAGAAAAATAAGTTTAAAAAAATAATAAAAATAACTATTTATACTTTTCTTTCCTTTCTGGAAATAGAACACTGAAAGCTAGCTTTATACTCTCTAACTGGGAAGAACTGCACATCATGTGAAGTCATTTGGCTGGCTAGGCATGATGTGAATTACAGTCCACAAATCACCTATAAGCCACCACTACTGGAGCACTAAGATGGATTCCAGGCCCCGCCCCTTTCCCCTCTGTACCATCACCATAGCGACAAACAAGCCAACAAAGAAAAACCTTCACTTTTTTTTTTCCCCTCTACATTCCAAACAAACTTTATTGATAAACCCGCCCACAATCCACAACAAGCGTCCATCCCTGGCCACGCCCCATTCCTCATCCAGCGCCTGTTTGCTATTGGTCAGTTTTTAACCCTGTCTCACTCGCAGCTCCACCTCCCCTGACTAATACAGGGAGAGACAACGAAACCGGAAGCGGTACCGGGGAGAGAGAGCCTGAAACCGGAAGCTTCAGGAGACACACCGGTGTGACGGGTCTGACAGCAAAGCTGCGCATCCTGATAGAGGTATGAGCATGTATTAGAGTATATAGAGTATATATAAACATGTTCTACTGACAGCAGCCCTAACACTGGGAATAGGGGCACACAAATCACTTATATATATATTTATTGTGTGTGCTTTAATTTGCTATTAAATTCCATTCCTTTTACAAGCCTATATTTTTATTCCCTCCCCCAGAATTAAAGAAAAATAAGTTAAAAACAAATTAACTATTTCTACTTTTTCTTTCCTTTCTGAAATAGAACACTGAAAGCTAGCTTTCACTCATTTTATATAAATAGTTTATTACTTAATTATTACTTTATGTTTTGCTAGAAGCTTGTGTATTTTATTTAATTTATTTTATTTTTTTTATTTTGCATGTGATGGCTCCAGTTATATTGTACTATTACAGTGTTGGTTAGACCAACTAATTTAATATTGTTACTCTCCAATGTGTGACCAGTAAGGGATTCACGTTGAATTTCTAAATGAATTAAACTGAAAACTTAGCAGACTTGGAGTCTTAGCTATTTTGGGTTTAATATTTTGAAATTAGAGTTTCTATTCCTTACAGTTCACACATTGGTGAAGTACACTGGGGAAAGTTTCCATTGCAGATTGGGGTGTGTGGGGGTAAGGGGGACTGGCTTTTAATGCTTAATGAAGATGTTTCACGACTTTTTGGATTCTGGGAGAGAAATCTCATTACCTGGAGTCGAGATTATTATTATTATTGTTGTTTTACTACCGTGAACAATGTGGAAAATGTTTTAAATATTGAAAGGGTTGAACTTGAAAGACTAGATTATTTTTATTTATTTTGTTACCTTTAAAAAGGGATTTTTCCCCCCATTTTCACTGTAGCCTGTTGTATTGATTATGGTGCCAGCAGGACCCAAATTAAATCTCAACCATAAAACCATTTTCAAACTAGTTGTGTGGTTTGTTTGTTTGTTTTGTTTTTTTAATGTTTTGGCAGTTACTTTGGGTTTGGCAATTACATTGGGAAATTGATATTTCCATTTAGAGATATTTTGTATGGAATACACTGGTTAAAGAATGTCCGCAAATGCATTCAGACAATTGACTACACTCTAAGTCAGGCAAAATTGATGTTGCTAAAGCAGAAGGGGAACTTTAGAGAGATCCATCTGTGAACAGAAGATGTGTTTCCAGATAAGTGTCAAACCATTTAAAATTAGTTTGACTCTTGTGACTAAGTTCGTATACTTCAGCAGTGAAGTTTTTTTTTTTTTTTTTTGTCACTATGGGACACAAAAAATATATCCAAAAAGCCCATGAAAATGAGTCCATAAATACTTTTGTGATAGGCAAAGCAAATTAACATTTCTGCTCATAGGTTAGTGCTGACAGTCCCAATTTCAAGGCCCTTCCTTGTATTTCTTCTCTAGCTCCCAGCTAATAATTGAGACAACAGAAAACTCCATGATAAGTGCAGAGTAAATGTGTCATTAAAAGCTCTTTCTATCCATACAGAGGTGGTGATATCGCTCTAAACCCTGGTCCCTCCTCTACTAAGTCACCTGCTACCAACACCAGAAACTACAACAATCTAATATCCATTCCATGTAACTCTCACTATAATTCCTCCTTTAAAGCTGCCCTCTGGAATGCATGCTCTGTGCGCAGCACCATTAAATCTACTTCCATCCATGACCTATTTATATCACACTCCCTAAACCTACTTGCACTAACAAAAACATGACTCTCTCCCTCTGATACTGCTACCCCTGCCTCACTATCCTTTGGTGGTCTTCACTTTACCCACAACCCAAGATAAACTGAGAGTAAAGGTGGCGGTGTAGGTTTTCTGCGTTCATCCCACTGCTCCTTTTAAACTCTGCCCATCTTCTTCCCTCTCTTTCCCATCATTTGAAATTCATTCAGTTCGCCTTTTCAGACCCTTCTCTGCTAACATTTCCATTATTTATCGTCCCCCTTCCTATTCCTTGACCACTTTGCTGCCTGGCTACCCTACTTCCTCTCTTCTAATATTCCATCCCTAATTCTTGGGGACTTAAATATTCCCATTAACCCACCTTTGACTTCAGCCTAACCCCTAAACTACTTTCAATTACTTCCTCCTTCGGACTATTGCAGTGGGCTAATTCTCCCACCCATGTAGCTGGCAATACCCTCAACCTCATTTTCTCTAATGCATGTACAGTATCTAATATCTGCAAAACGTCTTATCATTTGCTCTACAGTACCCCCTCACCCAACAACCTCAGCCTAACCCCCCTCAACTCAGGAGAAACCTTAATTCTATTGACCTCCGTCAGCTGATATTGATTCACAACTGCTATCCATCCCTTCCCTCTCCTGTCCCTCACTGGCCATCTCCACATATAACACTACCCTCACCTCTGCCTTGAACGCTGGAGCCCCACTCCAAACATGCACCTCGAGGAGGGCATGCCCCCAACCATGGCATACTAAATCAACACGCTATCTGCAAAGTTGGTCCTGTTGTGCTGAACGCTCCTGGAGGAAGTCTCGCACCCAGGCAGACTTTCTCCATTATAGATTAATATTGTGTTCATACAGCGCAGCCCTTGCCCCTTGCCAAACAGTCATACTTTTCCTCTCTCATTAGTTCATGCTACCGCAATCCCAGGGGTCTCTTTGACACCTTTAACTCTCTTCTTCGCCCTGCTGTGACCACCCCCCAAACTCCCCCCAAACTAACCTTACAGCTGATAGCTTTGCATGCTGCTTTACTGACAAGATTGAACAGCTAAGGAAAGAATTCTCTCCACCTTGCCATTCTCTTTCTCAATCACACGTAGATCATGCCTTTCCTACCCTTCAGACTTTCTCACTGGCTACTGAACAAGGGGTGGCTGCACTTCTCCTTTCCTCTCGCCCGCTCGATCCTGTCCCATCTCCCCTCATCAGATCTCTCTCCCCTTGTCTTGTGCCTTCCTTAACACACATCTTCAACTGCTCTCTCTCTCTTCTGGCATTGTCCCTTCAGATCTTAAACATGCCACTGTAGTACCTATTCTGGAAAAAACATCTCTTGACCCGTCCTATCCCTCTATCGTCCCATATCCCTGCTCCCTTTTTCCTCAAAGCTTCTGGAAAGACTAGTCTTTGCCTGTGTCTCACTTCCTCAATTCCAACTCTCCCCTTGACCCTCTTCAGTCTGGATTCCGCCCTCTCCACTTTACTGAGACTGCTCTTATCAAAGTTACTAATGACCTAATCGCAGCTAAATCCAAAGGCCACTACTCCATACTAATTCTTCTTGACCTCTTTGCTGCCTTTGACACCGTTGATCATGCTCTCCTTCTTCAATCACTCGATCTCTGTTCTCTCATGGTTTTCCTCTTTCCTCTCTCCCAACACTCATTCAGTGTCTCCTTTTCTAGGGATACCTCCTCCCCTCATTCTGCCTTGGTTGGAGTCCCCAAGGCTCTGTCCTTGGTCCCTTTCTATTTTCTTTTTGAACTGCCTCTCTTGGCAAACTTATTGCCTCTTTTGGATTTCACTAACACCTGTACGCTGATGACACCCAGTTATATCTCTCCTCCCCAGACCTCTCCCCTGCCATCCTGCAACGTGTCACTGCTTGCCTTTCTTCCATTTCTGACTGGATGTCCTCCCGCATTCTGAAACTCAATCTCTCTAAAACTGTACTCCTTGTCTTTCCTCCTCCTAATACTGATCCTCCTATATCGCTCTCCCTTCAAGTCAGTCGTATCCACATAAGTCCATCCTTGCAAGCGCGCTGTCTTGGTATCATATTTGACTTTGGCCTCACGTCTAGTATGTTGCCAAATCCTGTAGATTCCATCTTAGAAACATAGCCCACATCCGCCCCTTTCTTACAAAAGATGTTACCATGGAGTTTGTCCATGCTCTAGTAATTTCCCGCATGGATTGTAACCCTCTTCTGATTGTAGCAGGGCAATATGGCTATTGGGAAGACCAGTCTGTAATGAATGCCGCCACCAGACTGATTTTCCTCTCTAGTCGGTCCTCTCACACCTCACCCCTCTGTCAGTTCTTTCATTGGCTTCCTGTATCCTATAGGAGTCCATTCAAAGTGCTAACCCATATATATAAAGCACTGAACAATTCTAGCCCCTCTTATACCTCTTCACAGATCCATAGGTATGCTCCTTCTCGGTCCCTCCGCTCTGCCCGTGACCTTCTCTTGTCCATTTGCTCTCACCCGTACGGCCAACTCGCGCTTGCAGGACTTCTCGCGGGCGGCTCCCTTCCTATGGAATAGCCTGCCTACCCCCACCAGACTGTCCCCTAGTCTTCAGTCATTTAAGAAGTGCCTCAAAACCTATCTCTTTAGGAAAGCTTATGGCCTCCCAGAGTAACCTCTACCTTACATGCCTGCCTCTTGCTCTCTCATAAAGGGCAGCGCTCTACTCTCTCCTCCAGCTCTGCTTCACTCCCACCTTATTTGATTGATATTTCTGTCCCAATGTGTTTTATACCCCAACATCCTATAGACTGTAAGCTTGTTTGAGAAGGGTCCTCTTCAACCTATTGTTCCTGTAAGTTTTCTTGTAATTGTCCTATTTATAGTTAAATACCCCTTTCTTATTATTGTAAAGCGCTATGGAATCTGTTGGCGCTATATAAATGCTGATGATAATAATACCTCTGCCAGGTCATCATCTTCTCTGCTACAAGGGACTTTGGAGTGCTTCAGACCCAGTCGCTGAAGCTTGACTGGGGTTGCTGAAGACCTCTTCCACTGGACCAGGCTGCAGTGAAAAATACTTCCTGGACTGAGCCCCTCACACAATGTATATCCTTAGAAAGCTTGTCACCAAGCGCCTTTGCTATCCAAATAGCACCCTGATTGGAGAGTCCGTGCCTGAGTTACATTGTGTTTAACGTTTTATGATCTGGTGAGGAGTTGAGGGTGTGTGGTGGCTAAGTTCCGGTCTCCAAAAAGGTTCCCGTATCTCTGAGGAGGAGTGCACTCTCATGTCTAAGTTATCCTTGTATACCACCCCTACATATAGTGCTTTATGGACCCAGTCCATAGTCTGTGGGCAGAAGCCTGGCCTTCAAGTCTAACCTAAAGTCTGTGGCAATGGAGCTTCCGTCACAACTCTTAAAAGTGTAATGGCGCCAGGGAATTATATGTAAAATATAATATTACATTTTAGTCTGATACAGTTAATGTTTACATTTGTTTTTTGTTTTTCTTTATTTTCCTTTAATAATCTGATTCCATGCAATATGTCATATCAGCTCGTGTGTACACTGTGCAACGTAGTTGTCTTAGAAACGTATAGATTAGCATTTGTTTTATAAATAATTTTTATACATCTTTTGCTAGCATTGGCAGTGTGAAATTGAATCTAAATATGTAAGTTAGCAACATTTTTAGTCTTGCCATTTGGCTGGCACAATGTAGATATAAAATAACGAGTTAAAAGTGGCCCATTGTAATGCCATGCTATGGGAAACGGAAATGTCTCTATTGAATTACAGTGTAATGCAGTGCCAGTTCACAAATTCATGCTCCTATTAAAAAAAAATAAAAAAATACAAAACCGCACAAATAAATACTTTATCTAAAAGGGGAAGCTTTCTGAGATAAGACAAGCTGGTCCTAACATTTTTAATGAATAATAGCATTGTCCAAACTCACAGTGAATATATTATTAAAATAACATTACCCACCAATTCATATGTAGTATCTATGCCTATGTACAAGGTTTATAATTTGCAAAACAAATGCCTGGTTTAGATCAGAATGTTCCCTTTATTTTATCTGGTGCTAAATGTTACATTTATTTCCGTGCTGAACACAGTGAACAATCAGTTGCAGAAGATATTTTGTAATGTAGTGTAATTCTTTATATTTATTCCTATTTTCTCTCCTTAGCTTGTGGTTTTGTCGTGTATCTCAGAAACTGTCAGATTGGGGTGCCCCAATGCCGCTGGGACTTGGCCGTAAAAAGAAGGCTACTCCTCTTATGGAGGAGGAAGATGTTGGGGAACGCAGCTCATTGGCAGTGTCGCAAACCGGTGGTGTGCCTGGTGGGACTCTCTCACCGGTTGCTCCCGGTTTGCCGCCTCCTGCCCTTGCCCTGCGCCCTCGGTTGGTTTTCCACGCTCAGCTTGCACATGGCAGCCCCACAGGCAGAATTGAGGGATTCAGCAATGTGAAGGAGCTGTATGCAAAGATAGCAGAGGCATTCAATTTGTCTCCAGGAGAGGTAAGTAGTGCAAGGAAAAATAGCTACATGAGATACAAAACTGTAATAAATGTCTTTTTAAAATAATAATGTATATAAAATGAAATAATCAGTCTAGCTTTCACTACTCTATTCAACTGAATAGAATATTATTATTTCTATTATATATATTAACAAAGTCTTTAATGTATTCTAGAGAAATCTTGTGAAGTACTTTACTCTATCCTGTTTCATGAGACAACTCTTGAGTTTGTCTAAACGTTTTCTGTGCTGTAGGCATTTGATAGTGTTCCTTTGGGATCCAGAGCTGAATCCATCCATAATGTGAAATGTGTTATAAGTGCACACTCCAATTATGTGAAACTGCTAATATTGGCCCATATTTTCTCTCACAATTTTCTCTGGATGACTCCATAATATTACAGGAAGCTGGACAGCAAGTGGTCCTTGATCGTTTCAATGAAAAACCACTTGGTTTTTTAAATGTATGTAAACTGTATAAAAGTATATTTTTTGCTTCTTGGATCACATGACTAGTAGAATGTTGCCCCTGTTATTTGGGACTATCCAAGCAAATGCACAGTCTAAAGCATATGTGGCATTGATGGAGCAGTAATACAAGTACAGTGACCATGTAGAGGAGCAATAACAATGTACCGTATATTTAATTTTTTTTTAATTTTCCACTAGGCGTAGCACTGTAGGATCAAAGTGAGTTATTTAAAGGATTATGCTTGTTGACACACCTTATAGACTATACATGTAACAATGGAAATGAAAGTGCATGTTTTAGATGTTGTTATTTAGGGGTAGCCCAAAGGTAGATCCTCAGCTGTTGGGAAATCTACAGCATCCATGATTCTTTGTCAGCATTAATGCATTTACTTTGTAGAATTAAGTAGAAACATACCTTTGCTATTCTTCCAGATTAGTCGTATTTTAATTTTCATCTATGTTGACCCAAATTTAGCAGTTTTCTTGTTTGTACTACAAACCGAAACAGTGCTTTAATAAAGCATGTTATGCTATGTATGCTGGAGACAGATGCCCAGTATGCACAGAATTAACAATAGCCAGCAGCAAATGCATATTCTCTATGTGCAGCATTTCATAGTGAAACAGTGCACGTTCAGACTCCAAGCACTAACTCTTGACGTTTTTTACTGTTGCCAAGCTTAAGGAGTACTATTGATGACCAACTTTGGCATTGTAGAACGATATACCCTAGTATGCTTATCCAGCCTGTACGGAAACTGTAATTCTCCACCTCTATTGCCAAAGTTCACTATCACTGCTACATGAGTTGCGAGGTGAGCATCAACAATGAGGATGTGACTTTATCCTGACTGACTGCATGCTAAGGAAATCAGCTGAATAGTGTGCAGGAAGTGTCTCTGCACCCGCAGTTTTCATAGAAACTGTTTATATATTAAAAATAAATAAATATAGTTTTCTCTTAAAATTCTCACTAAAGCAAGCTTGTCCTCCCTACATGGAATTGCCCTCTGTCTTGGGAGAGTAAAAGTGATCTAGAAAATCATAATTTATTCCCAGATCACATGAAGGGAAATTATTCTTTAATTAAAAGCATGATTTCCATAGCATTTACACTCTGCTGCTGCAATCTGTTTGTCCCTGTTGGCAAGTGTGTGTTTTTTTTTTTTTTTTTAATGTCATATTTCATCAGGTCTAGTATTATAACGGTTTCTGCAGAATTGTGTTTCAGTGACAAATAACAGATGACAGCTGAACATGTACAGTCTAATACAGGAAATGTTTAATTAAGGCTTGTGGAGGCCATAAAGCCTGTGCATTTATATCAGAAACTGGCAAACCAGATGGGAAACCTCCTTCCATAGTATGGAAATCAACCTTTCTATGCAATTGAAAATCCATAAAAAGCCTATCTTCCTGCAATAATAATCACTTAAGCAAATGTAAAAGTATTTCCTTTTAATGCAACGTGCATAAAGAGGATCAGTCGCCAAAAACAGTGCTTGAAAAAGTTTTCCAATACATTTTTTTCGCCAAGGACAAAACATTTCATGAGAACTATGACTAGAGTTAACAAATATTTTCAAACACGTATATTATTAGTTATTTCTACTCGAACTCTCATTCTGCATCCCATTGCCTCCTTCCCTGTAACTGTGTCTCAGACCCTCCTAGGACATATTGAACACTTGGCCCCTTTCTTTCTCAGCCTTTATATGAGGCCCACAGCCTCTCTATTTTTCCCTGACCACTACTGCCCTAATCTCAATGATTTAAATCCCTCCCCAGTATTTCCAAGCTTCCTCTGCACATATTTCTCTCCTCCCTGGTGTGTCATGCCATCCCCCAGTGTCTCACTACCACATTTACTTTCCCTCTCCCAGCATTCTAACCCTCCTGATCTTTATACACTCCATTGTGCCACATCTTTGAAGTATGCCAAATATCAGTGGTTAAATCCCTTCACCATGTGTCATTCCACTCAGTCCCAAACCCCTCTGTCACCCTCCTGTCCCAAATACCCATTGCCTCATAATCACTCTTGTGTCAAACCGCCTCCCATCTCTGTATCATTCCCAGAGTTATTACATCTTTCCCCTTCAATTGCATTATTATTATTATTAGAATTTATGTAGCACCAATATTTTCAGCTGCTGTTTACAATTCTAGAATGGGAATACTTGGCATACTTTGGCCTCTGCCCAAACAAACTTAGTCTATGAATTGCTGATATTCACATAGTGTACGCCTTTACATATATATATATATATATATATATATATATATATATATATATATATATATATATATATATATATATATATATATATATATATATATATATATAATTTTCTTTTTATTATTTAAAAGGGTTTTTTGGTTTACAGAAAGAAGTCATACATCACATGACAATACATAGATACAGGTACACAGGAGGTCTATTGTGGTTTACATTCTGGACCTTAGGTAACGTTCCCAGCATCAGATTTAATTGAGCTAGGGTGTTGTGAGTAACCGTGTCCCCAGTAGGCAGAGTTGCGGTGCATAGTGTGTTGAACAGCTCCTGTTGGGAGGCAGGTGTAGGATCCCGAAGGCAGTGTGTTGTTTTGGGTGCCCTGCCATGAGTGTTGGCTTTAGAAGGGGAGAGAGGTTGAGAGTAGTGGGGACCTCGAGCCCCCACGCAAGGGGCGCAATCGGGTTCTGTTTGTTGGGACAGTGTATGGTGGGGAGGGGGTGTGCTATGGGTGCAGTCTGGAACCTTTTTCAGTAGGTGTGCTTGGGGTCTCTGTGTGCTGTATTTCCCCTGCAGGGTTGCACTGTGTTTCTGGTTGGGTGGGTTTTTGTGTTGTCCAGTTGGAGTAAAATTTTGCTATTATGTCCCGTTGTGGGTATTGTTTCATTCCAATCATCATTTTCTATATCTGTTTTACAAATCCTCTGTCACGTTCCTGTTTATCATCAGCTGTATTTTATTTTTGGGGCACTTAGCGTCCATGGATGTGTGAATGCAGTGCTGATCAGTAACACAAGAAGTCCAGGTTCTTGCAGTTATCATTCATACCACAGATAAGAACTTGGATCATTGAGCCTCCAATAATAAGAAAGTGATGATGATATCCCTTGCACCTTGTGACTGCATACATTACATAATCCTAAATTTGCTTGCTGTGGCTTAATTTCCTCTCTCCAGTGGCATATTTTGTAAATATAAAAATATATTTTATTTTTTTATTCACAGTGAAATCTTTGTGGTCCCCTCTGTATCAAGCTTATTATTTAACAACTAAGCTTGACTGCAATTGTTTCATCTATATGCTATTAATATCTGATATTAAACAGTACTAATTTATCTCGTAACCAATAAAATAAATACAAAAGAAATGGTGTGGTGTACTACAAATACATGTGTGAGGATCACCAATGAGATACTATACATACACTGGTTATCGGCCTCCCAAAATATACTGGTAGTACTCCAGTTAGGAAATGCTATTCCAGCTTTTAATCACTTAAAAACATAAAACAAAACCGTGTAAAACTGTTAGATGCAATGATAAGGTGATTAATGCACTCACAAGTGGTCCGCCACTAACAGTGTCCAGAAAGGCACAAAGGGACTCCAAGATGTTCTCAGTTAGCTCCTGAATGCACCAAGGTCCTGGATCCCAATAGGTAATAAAGGAGTGAGTTATAGATAAGGATGTCCCAAATAGAGTGGAGAAAGAGTTAAAGAGGCTCTGTATGCGTCCGACCAGTTTCATCCTCAGGACTTTTTCAAGGAAGATCTTAGATGTAGTCCACACAATTCAGACTTATAAACCCCAACGATTTTTGTGTTGGTGACAACTAGGAGACTCACTATATCTTTTATTTTTTTTTATTTTTTTTTGTGCTTTTGTATCAATAAAATAAATAGTCTGTCTTATTTTGAACAACAAAATCTAGTAAGTTTTACTACACAAGGTATTTATAGCGTGTTACGGAGCAGCGTCTCTCCATCACTTTACCTACCTTTATTGGTTTAGCTGCTTCAGCATCAGTATAACCATATATTTTTTTTTTTTTTTTAAAATAGCAGTGAATTTAGCCCATTTCCCCATACACTAGGGGAAGCTTCTCTTTAAAATGCTGCACATACAGATATTACATACATACAGATAAGGAAAGCATTCGATTGGCTGAGAACACCATAGGTGGGGTGGGGGCGGGGCCAGCCAATCAGCTTCTCCTCATAGAGATGCATTGAATCAATGCATCTCTTTGAGAAACGTTCAGCGTCTCCTTGCAGAGAGTAGACGCTGAATGGCAGTGCTGCTGCCCCATAAACCACCTCCAGTGGCCACTGCAGGTGTCCCTATGCTTTAATGTACAGAAAAGACTGTATTTGCAACAAAAAACCTGCAGCAACTGTCTATAGTCACCACAACAACTACAATGCCCTGTAGTTGTTCTGGTGATTTATAGTGTCCCTTTTAACACTTCTTACTAGAGGTGTACATAGGACTATAGTGATTATGATGCTTGGAGTAACCCTTTGTTTGAATTACATCAAAGCAGATTTTTGAGAATCTGTCATTTGAGGCAACTTAAAACTCCCTGATCACAGTGAATCTCCTCTTCCAATTCTCTGTGGTATTTCTATATGTACAAGGTGGCCTAACCGTTTATGGCATTGTTTTAAAATGGTTTGGTTTGTTAAAGCTACCTCACCTCTTTCTCACTTGTCTTACTTCAGGTTATGTTCTGTACTCTAAATACTCACAAACTGGACATGGATAAGCTTCTTGGAGGCCAAATTGGCTTGGAGGATTTCATCTTTGCTCATGTACGAGGACAGAAAAAGGAGCTAGAAGTCTATAAATTTGAGGACTCCCTTGGACTCACAATCACTGATAATGGAGCTGGCTATGCTTTTATTAAGGTACATTTTATTGAGTTACTGTTCTAGCACCTTCTTTTTAGGGGCCTATTCTACTACTTGAACTCTAGTTCAGTTTGTTTTCTCATGATTACATCCCCATTTTATTTAATATTCTTAATGGTCCGTCTTCTGCAGCGTATCAAGGAGGGCAGTACTATCGACCGCATGCAGCTAATTAATGTTGGAGACCTTATCGAATCCATCAATGGAAAAAATCTGATAGGTTGTCGTCATTTTGAGGTGGCCAGGACTCTGAAAGAACTTCCTCGAGGGAAAACCTTCACTCTGAAACTGTGTGAACCAAGGAAGGCATTTGGTATGTATGTCAGCTGTGTGTATTTCTACTGCAGACAGGCCAAGATATTAAAGGCATACTCTCTGACTCAGGTGTGTGTATTCTACACTCCTCAAATCACAGGAACATTAAAACTAGCAATAACACCAAAATCAACCCTTAAAATCACATATCAATAAAAGGTACATAATGGCAAAACATATATTGCAGGGAAATGCCTTTTGAGGTGTTTTGGGCACATTCATTATCCAACTGACCTATTGGTTTTATTATGATGTCTGCAGAACTCCTCAATTGAATTATTGTATTCCTGAGTAGCAGAATTCACAGTAATTGCAGTACCAGGTGCTCAAAGTTTCATATATTAGAAATGTATTGGTCCTTTCTTATACTTGCTTACTGCTGAAAGTGTGTCCTTCTGGGGCTTTGAACACCATGTTCAAGGGTTTGTTGGTGTGTGTAATCTCTACCCACAATCATTCAAACATTGGTTCCATCAAATGCAAGGCTCCAAAACCGTGTGTTAAGATGGGGCAAAGAGCTGAGTACTGCGTTGGGAAATGCTCAGTTTTTGCAAATAAAACCCACATGTCAGAAACCTGGTTGTAGCAGGATTTATGGTTTTTAAACCCCAGAGTATTTTTCTAAATCTAAAATAACTCTTTTGAACTTTCCTAGCATAATGTAAAGATGCCCAGTTGGATTATTTATGTATTTTGTATGATCTTTATGCTTCCAGAAGCTACATTCCTGAAGTCTCTACACCCTTAAGTACTTCCAGAGTCCCTTTTCCCTTTTTGTTGTGTTGGTTAAAAGTAGTGCTCAGTACTCTGAAATTCAAACAATTAAATTAGTGTGTGGGGTTGGTTTTTGTTTTGTTTGTTTTTTTACAATCTAGTCTATTGTTTTAAAGTTCTCTATTATCCAAAAGCACATTGCTTGTTTTAGGACTGTAACGGGATTTGTGTAACCCCTTGTCACGAAGGGATTAAGAAAATCTGCCTTACTCTGTGATGCAATGTAAATACCAGCAGTAACGGATTAATTTTGTGTGTGTTTAATAACCCTTCTTAGACATGATTGGTCAACGTTCAGGATCCACCGCTGTTAATTCTGGTGTATCACACTCTGGGAGAGGAACCTTGCGTCTCAGAGCCAAGGGGCCACCCACAGTGGAAGAACTGGTGAGCGAAATTGCTGTATTATTGTGAGAACAGAAGAGCAAAAGAAAATAACCTTTGTCTCAGGTTATGTTCTTATAATGAAATGTACTGGTTATGTTAAGGTATGGGCAAGAAGCAAAGTGAAATAATATTTCAATTAAAAAAAGTGATTGCAGGCACAGCATTAGATCTCTTTCCCTCCCCCCCTTTTAGAGTTGGCAAAATGTATGTGTGATTGCTACTTCCTTATGACAACACTGAGTTGCAAACATTTGTAAGAAATGCACATAGAGTAAATCAGTGAATGAACCAAATCTCAGCTGAGGCATCTCTATGCATTTCATTGGAAAATACAATCTAAACAAATCTTTAAAATGCAGATCAATATTCCAAAATATAGACCGTCCAGATTGATCCGCCTCAATATTTGCACCACAGTTCTGGACCTGTATAAAGAATCACCCAGCATTTTCCCCTGTAATCAGTCTTGGTTTACATTTACAATATCTGGATATTTTGAATTTTCGTCTTATCCTCGCCCACTTGTGTCTCATCCAACTGGATTACACATCATATCGTTTTTATGAGTGCCAGTGATTGCATGAACACCATTCTAAAGGCATGGCCAGCAGACAAATACTCTTTGAGTACTTCTAAGTTGTTGTTCGTTTATTTTTATTTTTTTCTCAAATTAAATCTCTTTAAAAAAATGATTTTTTTTAGCTCTCCTGGAGTACTTTTATTTGAAGATTAGAAGTCTCATAAATGTAGATATATTTCAGTACGTTCTCTGTAGCTTTTTTTTTTTCTTTTTCTTTCATTGGGTGTCAGGCTACATTCTCTAAGACCTACTATTTTGTTGATTATGAAGACTGAAATTTAGTCTGCTGCCCATAAAACAAAATAAATAGAAATGACTGTTTAGTAGAGAATACACTAAGGAAAACATGCATGCATTTAATTATGCAAAAGCTGCAGTTCTCTTGTCTGAAGCCTTTGCAAGCCCTCCCTTTCTAATCCAGCCCAGACTTTCTATGGCCAATCACAGACTCCCCAATGTAGCTCAATGAGAAGTATTTAAGGCAAGCGCTCTGGGCAATTGCCTGTCTTTTTTTGAGTTTCGCTCTACTGAGCTAAACAACCAGGAAGTAACCGCACCGGTTGTCTGGTTTACAGCCAGGGGGTGTAAAAAGGTTAAATTATAAATGTTCCAATTTCTGTTGAAATATGCTTATCCAAAATGAAAAAAAATGGGATGCACTCTTCACACATGTAGCACCTCAGCAAAATGAAGTGCTTTAGGGGTGTGGAGTGACCCTTATAAGGATGGTTTTTAGTGTCCATGCGTGCAAGGTGAAGTTACAAAAAGTATGGTGTTGGGAGACCTGTAGATGAAGAGCACAGACTAGGCAGTGCAGCAAAGGAGTTTAAATCTGAGGAGCAGTTTTTTTTTGTTTGTTTTTTTTTTGAGTTTGTGTGCAAACATATTTGATACTTACTTTTTACCTTCTCTTTTGAGATGTCCGTTATTGAAGAGAAAGCGGTGCAGAAGGTGGATGATCTTCTAGAGAGTTACATGGGGATTCGAGACAGCGAGTTGGGTGAGTTACATGTCTTAGTAGAATTGTCCAACCTATCAGCTCTTTCTCCTCTACTCATTGACACCTTCGTACACCATATCAGATCAAGACATGAAAAACATTGTCTGATGATCTATTGCATACCTTATGCAAAGTCCAAAGTGCTGCATATTCAATACAAAATATAAAAAGGTGAAATACAGACTTGTTTTTTTTTTTTTTTTTATATAAAGCCTTATTTTAGGTTCTGTGTAAAATGCTGTGCAAACACTTTAATTCACATAACATTAGGCAGAAAGAGGCTAAGCAAGTTATAAGAGCCTCTAAATCACACACACACGAGAAAATAACAAAGTCCGTAAAAAAAGGGGATAAAACATTTTTTTTAGATACATAAATGAAAAAAGGAAAGTTAAAATAAGGATTAGTTAGATTAAAAATAAAAAGATATGTAGAAGAGGGTAAAGGTCTAGCTGATTGCCTCAATTAATATTTTTGTTCAGTATTTACAGATGAAAATGAAGGAAAGGGACCTCCATTAATAAAAAGGACAAATGAGTCATTTATTACATGTGAGTTTACAGAGGAAGAGGTTCTATTTCAACTGTCAAAAGTAAAGACAAATAAGTCAATGGGACCTGATGGAATACACCCAAAGCTATTCAAAGAGCTTAGTGGTGTACTAGCAAAACCATTAATGGGTTTATTTGACCAATCATTGTTAACAGAGTAGTCCCAGAAGATTGGAAATTAGCGAATGTTGTACCCATTCACAGGAAAGGTAATAGGGAGGAGTCGGGCAACTATAGGCCAGTAAGCCTTACTTCAGTAGTGGGGAAAGTGATGGAAACCCATGTTAAAAGATAGGATTGTTGAACATCTAAAAACACATGGATTTACTTCAGGGAGATCATGCCAAACTAATGTTGATTTTTGTTTTTGATTGGATAACTAAAATAATAGATCAGAACGGTGCAGTAGACATTGCTTACTTAGATTTCAAATAGCGAATATACGTGATAATACAATTACCACATCAATACAACACCCAATGTGACATTTATGTGGGTATACTTCCCAATAGTAGCATCTAATGATAACAGCAAGATTCTTTCTTTGAAAATCTACAAGAGACAAATATTGCCACACATAGTGAAATCTGTATAATAATATTGTAAGAAGAAATATGAGATACCAACTCACAAATGTAGAGCCGTGCCAGGCTCTGTATGGTCAGCGTTTGGGTGCCAATAACTGGCTTTGAAACTACTCCAGAAGCAGGATCTCAGTAGCAGTAGAAAATTTATTAAAATAATAACAGTAAAATAAAATAAAATAGGACATATATAAGCAGTGTGTAAGAAGATAATAATAGACACTACCGCAGGATATATAATAAGTCCTAATAAAAGTCCAAACAGCAAATGCGTTTCGACTAAAAATAGTCTTCCTCTGTGCAGGCTAAATCAAAGCTAGCATCATGTTCCCTATTATATCCTTATGGAGTTGAATTTTCGCGGCAAAGTACCGTTTATTTCCGGGTCACGTGGTTGTTGGCGTCAACTTCCGGTTGCGTGCGTGCGTCACAGCGCCCGTGTTGCAATCATTTTCTGTTGATATAGGAAGTGCTGTATCGTCCATATAGAGTATGGGCAGTGTTGCCCTACATGCAGGAAACATATCCATATAGCCATCATAAACAGACCTTAGTTATATAGTGGTTATATCTACCTTTTAGTCCTATTTTTATTCTTTAGTAAGTGGGGAATGTATTTACTCAATGTAATACATACATGTATATAATGTACCATTAAGATTATCCATTCATTTGTTGAACATCTAAAATCACATTGATTTCAAGATCAGAGAATTAATAAAAAAAAATATTTATTATATATCTCTCAAAATACGAGAACGAAATAATATATATCTTTATACATAAGTATATATAAATAAAAATTAGATATCTATCTCTCTATCTCATGGCCTGAAGTTGTGGGAGGGGCTATAGACCTATAAAAGGGACTCCCCCCTTTCCCTACTTACCTTTGTTGGTCAGATGAATAGACTGTTCAAGGTCAGCATTTGCATGAGATCCACCTCCAGGTCATACAAGACTCCATTTTGGTTTCACCTTTGCTCCATGAGGTCTCCTGCAGCAGGGATTTCCGTTAATCCAGTGGCTTTCTCTCCGGTCAGCATCGCATTTGGTGTCTCAGGGACTCTCAAACCGTAAGTTGACCCACCTGTCGCGCCAGGATTAGTTCCCACGGCGTTCAGCACAGCACGGGTCCTCACTTTACGGTTTCCTTTCGTTTTGCACGGTTAGTTCGTTACATTATACTCACCTAACTGTTCATGTAAAATCTGTTGGTAAAAATCTGTTTTGGTTAAAATCTGTTGGGTTAAAACTACAAACGAAATACAATTTTTCGCCTACACACTGACCCCTATCGGTCATTCGGTGTACTACAGGCTTCTCAGACATTATTGCATTTCATGTACAAACCAACGAACCACTGCATTTTCGCCTACATGCTGACCCCTACCGGTCAATCGGTATACTACAGGCTTCTCAGACTTTATTTCACTTCATAAGCAAACAAATTAACTACAGCATTTTCGCTTTTATACTGACTCCTATCTGTCAAACGGTATACTACAGGCTTTTCAGACATATAGTTATTCCCCTCATAACATTCCCATTATAATTACACAATAACACTTCCTTACAAATCATGCTTGCTATGATATAAGCATTCCTGCATACCTGCCTATATAGGCATTTAGTTACATTTACGGACAATACACATACATTTACCCAAGAATGCACATACTATTTAAAGCACTATGCAGGATTCCAGAGTGTAATACGGAATATTTGCATGTTTGCACGCTTAAAATATAAGTCCTTCCAATTATGTATTTTCACTTATTAGGTTATTCAGCTGCCAGTCATGGTTCACTACACTCATGTTTCGGGGTACAGTTGTATTCCATATCACACATGATATAACACTCCCGACAAGTTAATTTCCTTCAAACAGGGGCATTACAAGCATACAATAAACATTGGGACGGAGCACTTTGCTCTATTAAACTTGCATAACACACATATGGGTATACGCTTTTAAATGTCTATATTCAATTTTCATACATTGTTTTACCCGTCCGGGTTACAGGTATTAATAACCCTTACGACCAGTAAGGGTATCTAATCATACTACCAGGTACATACACCTGCTCTTGTGGTATATACATAAATTTTCTGTTTCCCCCTGGGTATATCCTTAGCGTACTGGCAATTAGGGACTATAGGTTTCCAATAGGTATTTTCCTTTCTTGGCATCTACGCCTGTCGTATAGTGGTCCCGCAAGGCCAACACCCTGCCTCAACGCTCGGAGGCAAACACCCATCGGGCCACTCGTGAGCTGGCCGCCTCACATGGTATATAGAGAGGGCCTCACCGGTCACTCCCTTCCCCTTTTTTATGGTTACAGTTACCGAGAGGTCAACATCCTGCCACTACGTTTGGTGGCCACAAAAATCCCCTGGCGCCATTGCATAGATAGAGCCTCTCAAGCCACTTGGCAACTAGCAGGGCCTCACCTGTCACCAAACAAAGGATTAATTGTTTCGCCATGTGGCTTTAGCTAGCAAGCCAGTACTAGCACACTGTGGGTTCATATAATAATGGCTATCTTCATGTGTTTTTAGTATGTATCAAGCAGGTGGTAAGGATTTCTCTCTACCTAACACTCCAGCTAGAGTCAACACACTTTCACTTGGAGATGTTGCTAGTCCCACAGGACAATTTTGTCCCAACACAGCGGACGATCACGTTTCAGGCTCCAGGTTCTAGCACCTCTGGTAGTACGTAGAGAACTACCAGAGACAAATTGGGTCGTCTCATTCTCTTTGGCAAATCCCAGATTTGCAACAATTTCCATGTTGGCACATGTAGTTTCAGTGCATGCAGACTGTTGCAGATATGTTCTCAATATGTCAGGGCACATGCAAAAACCATGTGTCCCAGTAAATGTACCCTGAACCTTACTTCACGTCTGTAAACATTATGCATTTCCAGTACTTTCTAACTCTTCACCCTTCCAGACATTTAGTTTATTTCCTAATCTCCGATTTTTAAAGGCCTTCTGTTCAGGTATTGCCATATACTTTTGGGGGAATCTAGAATGCCCTAACTTGCAGTCATCACAGCAGCATCCAACAGCTGGCATTACACTCATGGCCCAAGAAATGGCAGAAAGATTTCTACCTGGGCCTCTCCGATCTACACATTTACAGTGTGGTGCAATCCCATTGGGAGTGTCACAGGGAATCTTCCCTCACACTGTAACTGATCATAGACTTATCTGCACCTCACGGCTACCCCATAGTCTCAACTACCTCATACCCTCCGAGGAGTTTTCATTACAGTATGCCACCATTGTTCATACCATTACAACTATCACTCAAGCGGGGAAGCCTGGTTAAGTAAAACTGATATCTCAAATGCATTTCAGACTGCCACCATCCACCCTGCACTGGCACTTACAGGGCATTTATGGGCAGCAGTTATATATTTCTTCTCCGCTTAACTTTCGGGTCAAGAGCAGCCCACAATCTTCAATATATTCGTCGAACTCTTTACTGGTTGTGGTTAAACATATCCAGATGCCCCACAGTCATACACTCCCGAGATGATTTCTTGTTGGTCAAAGGGAATGTCGAATTCCCCCTCTAGAAGCTTCAAGGAAGCCATTAGTATGTCTGAACACTTGGGTGTCCCAGTATTCCCTAAGGTCACAGAAGACCCAGACACTATCTTTACATTCCTGGGCATACAACTTGACTCTGCATCCATGCCAACAAGTTACCACGTGAGAAATAGGAACAGTCGCAACAACAACAATTACCACCTCCTGCTTGGTACTTGCAACCACATGGAACTACAATCCCTACCAGGTTCCTTAAATTTTGCCATGCGCATCATACCGCAGGCCGCGCTTTCATCTCCGACCACTTTGCTTTTTCCTCCCTCCCGAATGATCAGGGGCTGTCCCTAGACAACCAAGCCATGGCCTGCCTACACATATGGTGGACTTAAATCACACGTAATGGTAAACTATTGTGACAGCCGCCATGGCAGGGGGTCATTTATGGTCAAGGTCATGGATTACATGAACCTCGCCAACATAGCCGGGCCCTGACTAAACTGGCCTTGTCCACAAGCACTCAACACGCTTGCTACAGGGTTTTCCACTTATACAATACGTTTCATGTCGGACAATCACTTAGCTGGTTTGAGGTTTCACCATGTATGGCATTCGCCTCTTTTTGCCACCTTAAGTTAATAATTCTCGCACAACATGGTTAAACTTTATCTCACGGGCATTCAACACTATACGTATTTCTCCTTCCCAAACAACAAGGGTTCCTATCCTCCTACCCCATCCATACCTAAGAGACACAGCCAAGCGGACGTTCCCGCTAAAACTAAATACTGGCCATAGACCTACAATGTTCAAACCATGTCAGAACCACTCAGCCATGCACTTCCGAGCCACGCACCAATGCAGTTATCAAAACTGCTACCTATCTAGCCTTTAACGGCTTTCTCAGGCCAAAACAATATCTCACTATCAGCGGCCAACATCATAAACAAGAGTGCCTGTTGACCTCTTATCTTCTAAAACACACAGACCACTATGTCCGGTCCCTTCCTAAAACTAAGACTAGTCAGATGGGCGAGCCAGTGCATATAACCTACTACCTTACAAGCAATGCTGGGTGCCCGGTTAAGGTACTGATTATGTTCTAGGGCACGCCACCATACGCACCACTGAACTATTACTGTCGCTGTACGATACTGTCCTTACCACAGGTAAGTTCATGCACTATGTCCACCTACTCATTCACCGGGCTCGAACTAAACCCTAGCACCTACTCAGGGCACTCCTTTAGGATAGGAGCAGCTTACACAGCCTATAGCCAAGACATCCCCGCACACGTTAAGACACGGGGCCGCTGGGAATCATAGGCTTATGCGACTTACATACCATAGCCGATTCAGGAATTAGGAAGCTTTCATTAAAATGTCTAACTGATGGTTAACAAATGCACTATGATCCTGTATAATGTTTTGCATTAATATATCTCCTTTTGCCCACTTTTTACCGGCCTACAACATATGTCGGTTTCGGCACACCTCAACCGATTATTCCTAAAGCTACATCTCTACAACCCATCTTATTCTAGATCATATGAGAATGCCCCGAACACAAATTGGAAGGCATAGCCTGAAGTTGTGGGAGGGGCTATAGACCTATAAAAGGGACTCTCCCCTTTCCCTACTTACCTTTGTTGGTCAGACGAATAGCCCCACCCTCCACTCCCATTGTTCATATTTCCTCTATGTAAGCTCACTTTTTACCGGCCTACACACACACACACACACACACTTCAGTCCCCGCTCGGGACTTTCTTCAGGGTCAAAAAGAACAAGACAACAAATGATATACATGCCAACAATCATTAGATACCCATATAATAACAGAAAAACTCACCCAGGTGTATTACTGCCACCTCCTATCGGAACCTGAGGGACTTCCAGGTGTGCGCACTCACCCGCACGCATACTCACCCCGCCCCAATCAATATATTATTTTGTTCTACGTGTATTTTGATATATATATATATTAATTTCACAATACAGTTAGAACGAAATAACACATCTATATAGTTTTTAATTATTTATTTTTAATTTTTTTCATTTTATTTTTTAACGTATTAAAATTTTTATTATATATATATATATATATATATATATATATACACACAATATATTAATCAGTATCAGTCTACGTGTAATTTGATATAGAGATATAGATATATATCTATCTATATCTATATATCTCTCTCTCTATATATATATATATATATATATATATATATATATATATATATATATATATATATATATATATATATATATATATATATATAAAATAAAAATGTAAATACGTTAAAAAATAAAATTAAACATAAATAATTAAATATATAGATGTGTGTTATTTCGTTCTAACTGTATTGTGAAATTAATATATATCAAAATACACGTAGAACAAAATAATATCTATATGTGTGTGTGTGTATGTATATGTATATATATGTGTGTGTGTATATATATATATATATATATATATATATATATATATATATATATATATATATATATATAATATTTAAAAAAATATATATATTAATTCTACATATATATTTATGTAATATTTTTACATAATTAGGTATCTTAATTAATTACAATTAGCGGGACCTGCCTGACAACCCATGCCGAAAGTAAAGGGAATTTAATTTGCTAGCACTATATTTAACACTATAACTTTCCGAGACACCATAAAACCTGTACATGGGGGGCACTGTTCTACTCGGGAGACTTCGCTGAACACAAATATTAGTGTTTCAAAACAGTAAAATGTATTACAACGATATCGCCAGTAAAAGTGATGTATTTTGCATTTTTCACGCACAAACAGCACTTACACGGACGATATTATTGCTGCAATACTTTTTACTGTTTTGAAACACATATTTGTGTTCAGCGAAGTCTCCCGAGTACAACAGTACCCCTCATGTACAGGTTTTATGGTGTTTTCAAAAGTTACAGTTTCAAATATAAGGCTTGCGTTTCATTTTTTTTCACATTAAAATTCGCCAGATTGGTTACATTGCCTTTGAGACCCTATGGTAGCCCAAGAATGAAAACTACCCCTATGATGGCATACCATTTGCAATAGTAGACAACCCAAGGTATTGCAAACAGGGTATGTCCAGTCTTTTTTAGTAGCCACTTAGTCACAAACACTGGCCAAAATTGGCGTTTTTTGCATTTTTCACACACAAACAAATACTAACGCTAACTTTGGCCAGTGTTTGGGACCAAATGGCTACTAAAAAAGACTGGACATACCCCATTTGCAATACCTTGGGTTGTCTACTATTGCAAATGGTATGCCATTATGGGTGTAAATTTCATTCCCGGGCTACTATACAGTCTCAAAGGCAACGTAACCAATCTGGCGAATTTCAATTTCAAATGTAACGTGCTATATTTGACCCTGTAACTTCCCAAAACGCCATAAAACCTGTACATAGGGGGTACTGTCTTACACGTGAGACTTTACTGAATACAAATATGTGTATTTTATTGCAGTAAAAGCAAACAGTATTATGACATTGACCGTTAAAATGTCATGTAGAACTAAAAAAATAAAAAAATCGTATTTTCTCCCATTTTTTTCATATTAAATTATGTTTCATAGCTAAATATTTGATATTAAATGAAAGCCCTGTTTCCCCTGAATAAAATGATATATAATAAGGGTGGGTGCATTTACTATGAAAGAGGTGTATTACGGTTGGACAGACATGTAGCGCAAATGCCAGGTTTTGTTTACATTTTGTTTTGTTCACAACGTGTACATTTGGCCCCGTCCTTAAGGGGTTAAGGTGATTGGGAACACCTGTATTTACACACACCCTATATATACACACACCACTTGAAGCGCCTAGACACCTCTTAACTCTTTGAGTTTCTGTTTTTTACTTAGATTTCAGTAAGGCTTTTTACACTGTTCCACATAGAAGGCTCATCAATAAACTGCAATCTTTAAGTTTGGATTCCAATATTGTTGAATGGGTAAGGCAGTGGCAAAATGACAGGCAACAGAGAGTTGTAGTCAATGGAGTATATTTGATGCATGGGCTTGTCACCAGTGGGGTACCTCAGGGATCTGTACTTGGACCCATTCTCTTTAATATTTTTATTAGTTATATTGCAGAAGGTCTTGATGGTAAGGTATGTCTTTTTGCTGATGATACTAAGATATGTAACAGGGTTGATGTTCCAGGAGGGATAAGCCAAATGGCAAATGATTTAGGTAAACTAGAAAAATGGTCAGAGCTGTGGCAACTGACATTTAATGTGGATAAGTGCAAGATAATGCACCTTGGACGTAAAAACCCAAGGGCAGAGTACAGAATATTTGATAGAGTCCTAACCTCAACATCTGAGGAAAGGGATTTAGGAGTAATTATTTCGGATGACTTAAAGGACTGGTAGGAAGACAATGTAATGGAGCAGCTGGAAATGCTAGCAGAATGCTTGGTTGTATAGGGAGAGGTATAAGCAGTAGAAAGAGGGAAGTGCTCATGCCACTGTACAGAACACTGGTGAGACCTCACTTGGAGTATTGTACGCAGTACTGGAGAACGTATCTTCAGAAGGATATTGATACTTTAGAGAGAGTTCAGAGAAGGGCTACTAAACTGGTTCATGGATTGCAGGATAAAACTTACCAGGAAAGGTTAAATGATCTTAACATGTATAGCTTGGAGGAAAGACGAGACAGGGGGGATATGATAGAAACATTTAAATACATAAAGGGAATCAACAACGTAAAGGAGGAGACTATATTTAAAAGAAGAAAAAGTACCACAACAAGAGGACTGTAACGGCTTACCTGAATGGGAGTCTGTAGCGCAGATATATGTGCTCACCATTGCAAGTAAACACAGGCCAAGGTGCTCAGGGAAGAACTCACCTGGCCTGTGAGTCTGTGCACGGGGGCTTTCCAGGAATAGTGCTCCAAGTAGCAGTACAGCAGGGATTAGCAGAAGCGTAGTCAAGGAAAGCCAATGTCAGGGGAAGCCAGAGATCAGAGTAGTCCAGGAGGAAAGCCAAGGTCAGAAGCCGGAATCAGACAGGAAACACTGGAACGCTGATACGAAGAGACAGGAACCAAACAAGGGAACCAGAGTCAATGAACTGACACTGCCCTCAGGGAGAGGCAGTGTCTTATACCTGGCTAATTGGTGATCAGCCACAGGTGTGCTGAGATTGTTGGAGCAGCCACAGAATAACTTCCAGCCCCCAGTGCTGGGTACAAGGCAAGATAGACTTCTGGCTATAGCATGAGCTGATATGGTGGCTCAGAGGCAAAATAGCAGCCCGAGGACTGCAAAGTACCCTGGTTCAAATCCCCTGCTGGTCACTCCTGGGGCGACCTTGTCTGACAAGGACATAGTGTTAAATTAGAGGGGCAAAGGTTTAAAATAATATCAGTATTACTTTACTGAGAGGTTAGTGGATGCATGGAATTAACGTGGTAGATGTTAACACCGTGAAGGCGTTTAAGCATGCGTTGAATAGGCTTGAGGCTATCCTAGACTTAAGATAAGATAAGGCCAGGGATTAATAAAAAGTATTTCGAAATATTGGGCAGACTAGATGGGCCGAATGGTTCTTATCTGCCGTCACATTCTATGTTTCATACATGTACACGACAAGATAGTATGCTTCTGGGCTTATTCGTGAATTCAACCTTCTGGGTGCATTTGCTGTCTAAATGGGTTTATAAACTGACACCTACCCCACCCTTCCTCTTCATTCTGTACCCTTCAATTCAAGTTGATAAAAATCTAAAAATAAAGAATTGGGTGAGTCCTCCACCAATTGTACAAGAGATTTAAAAAACTAGTAAGCTACCAGTTTAGAACAGTACATGAGGGACATGCTGGAAAAATGATATTCGAAGTGACCAGTTTTAAAATAAATATAAATGTTTAATTTCTCGACTCTTGTTCCCTTTACAGCTGGCACAATGGTGGAGCTGGGCCTGGATAAACACAACCCTGATGATTTCTCTCAAGCCTTAGACCGCACTCTGGGGGACTTTGCCTTTCCAGATGAGTTTGTATTTGACGTGTGGGGGGCAATAGGAGATGCCAAGGCTGGACGATACTAACTTTACACCAGCCATCCTAAAGATCTTCCCTGATGGGGCTACTGAATCCATCCTCGTCTTCAACACTAAGAAATGCTTTGTTCACAGCTGGGGTTTGGTGGTTGTATGAGGGTTGCACAAACTTAAATGGCCAATGTATGGCCTGAATCTAGCAATAAAATGGACATGCCTGCAGTTGGACCCATACTGTTATACCAGCAGCAGAAATGGATTCTCTTGTGTTAACTGCACAGGCACAGTCCTGCTATCTGAAGGGACCGTGAAGAGTTAACTGGTTCTAAATGTGTCCAAGTGAAAGACTAAACATCTTAAATAATGGGTTATTTTACCACTGTAAGAATCATTAAATAGTGTACTAGTTGCTAATCCCTTTTCCCGTACAAAGTAAGTGGATGCTATGAAGATTCTTTTAGAAACTCAAGTGTGTTTTCAATTAGGTCATCCTTTTCCTCATAGTGAGGATTTACACAACAACTATCTGTTTGTAACATGACATGCCGACTGCAAACCTTTCAGTATTTCCATAGAGTCCCTGACACTGGCTGTTTTGAGTTACTCATATGGACAAGGTTTAAAAACTGGTTTTATAAAGTCTGAAGATAATGTTTTAAAGGAGGTTCCTAAGGCCTTTGGAATCTCCCTCCTATGGGAGAAGATGTCAAGGACCCGAATATTAAGTGCCAGTGGAATAACGTATATGATGTCATGGAGTCTCGTGTAGGTTAAAAGATTTAATTATATAACACTTAAGGCAAAGTGTATCTTTTGGGCATCTTTCTGTTGCATAACAATAGGTTGCCACAAATGGGAGACGTTGTTACTAAATGTTAAAGGGACACGATCTTGATTTTTTTAAATTTTTTTTTTGTTTAAAAAGAATGTAGCATAGATTAGTGGTGAAAAAAATAAACTATACTTTATATGTGGGAGTTAAGGTTTCACTACACCCCATTTATTGCTTTGGGGGAGGTTTTGTTACAATTTTATACTGTCCATAGTGGTTTTAAAATAGAGCTGGTACTAGCAAGTATTAAGACAAAAGTAGGCTGAAAAAAATAAATTAAAATAAACATGTGTCTTTGTTCTCTATTACATTTGATTGATTGCTAGTCCTGTGGCCAATATTCTGTGTTGTATTTTCATTTTATATTTAAAAAAAAAAAAAAATTACAGTGATCAGCATTGTATGGGAAGTTTTCTGTTAGTACCGCGCACACATAGCTGAGAGGGATGACTTGAAGATACTATATAGTAGAGTATAACTGATTTAGATTTCTAAGCAAAAATTATTTGTAATGAATACATAGTCTGGGGAAAAAAAAAACTCTTTCAGCAATCCCTAATCTAGATTCATTACAGTGTTTTTGTTCTGCGCCAGGCCAGATCTGATGCATTTTTTTTTTTTATTTTTTTTTTAGTGCGCATTTAAATACTAAGATTCTTCTTTTTAAAAAAAATCATTTTTTTTTTTTTTTTTTTATTCTCACCGAACCATGTACTTCAGTCTGCATTTTTTCAATTGGTTAAAAAAAAACATGAGTAAAACTATTCGGTTGAGCTAATCCAAACCAGTAGCAAGCTGTTTCATTCATGAAAACCATGAATGAAGTGGTTTGCTCAAAATAATATATGCCATATGTTATCAGTCTGTCTGTAGTTGGATATGCAAGATAGTACATCTGTATATGTTGAACAGAGGAGTTAGGTGAATGGGGAAACATTTTCATACTTTTATTTATTTATATAAAATACAAAATCACACTCAAAGTTCACCTATTTGGTGTCCTTAATGGACAACAGCAAGCTGCTGTTATGGTGCCAGGAGGGCCCTGGTGGTCCATATAAGTCGGTAGTCAAACCGTTTTTAGAATGATTAAAATTCTTACCTGTGGTTTTCCATGCACCTTTCCCTTACTCCACTCCATCTGATATCCTATTTAGGAGCTTCCATCACTGCTTATAATGGGAGGGTGCGAGGGCACTCCTGGAACCATAACCACTACAGCACACTGTACTAATTATGATTCTTAAAATATTCCTTTAATTGCAGCTGGTGTGTGTGTGTGTGTGTGTGTGTGTGTGTATATGTGTGGCATATATACTATGCCATTATTTGTTGGAACTACCTAGAAGAGATACTACTTTAACAGAGTGTGTTATGTAAACAAAGTCCTGCTGAAATGTAATGAAGGTTTGTGCTAAAACACTTCTAATATAGTATGAGTTTGTTGCACCTCCTAATGTTGGGTTATGGTGCTGCATTAAGTTAAGTACTGTGTTAATGTAATTTTATAATCTGTGTTGGGGAAAAAAACATCTTTTGTAACCTTGAAATCTTCTCGTTTACTGCTTGAAGGTGAGATTTTCCTACAACTATATTAATATAAGGCAAATTTCTGCCTGTGGTTTTTTTTCTTCCCTGAAATCTACATTAGAATTGTATGTTTTGTCACAATACCAGTTACAAATGTTCTTTGAATAAAATGTCTTTTTTTGTTTTGTTTTTTTCAGCTTGTTTTGTATAGTGTCTGCTTTGGTTAAGATGTATCTACAGATGTGGTTTACTGCGCTAAAAACAGATTAGATGACAGTGATGTCACTAATTTGGGCCTGTTAGTGCCCTATTAGTTAATTAAGCCATGCCTGTAGAGGAAATTGTACTAAGGTATGATATGGTGAGTACAATTGTGGCTGTAAGGCAAACTCTGCAGTTCTGTTCTCTGTATGAAAATGTATAAAGTAGAACTGGCCAACCTGATGGACTTATAAAGTATCATGAGAATTGTAGTTCAACGGCTGAGGATTGAGAATTGTAGTTCAACGACTGTCGCTCTAAAAAATGACTTTTTTTTTTAAAATCTCATTTATTTTTTTCATCCATCCTCTGTAGATCTCAGTTATGTAGAATAAGCTTCTCTCTAAATCCATTCTCACTCTTCCCTCCATTATTGTTTTTATTTTATTTTTTTTTCTCCCCTGCACATTTTTCTCTACACCATTCCCTCCTCCCGGTCGGATTCTGTCTATTTTATACACAGACTCTAGGAACTGGTTTATCTCAACTGCAGAAAACAATGTGCTGCTAATCACACCTCATTCTGTCTAATAAACTCCTACAACTTGGTATGTCTGTTTCCAAGAATTATTCAAACATCTGACACGCATGCTGTAAGACTGGATTATTAGTCGCAAATGTACATTTAAAGCTACTTAATGCAAGTCCTACATTTTCACCAGAAAGCTCTTTTCAAGCCTTAGAATTCTAAATGTTAAAAAAAAACAAAAACAAAAAAAGTTATTTCCTTACATGTCATTTTACTTTTCTTTTGCACAATAAAAATGTAACTAGTACATTTACTCCCTTAAGGACACGGGACAGTCTGTGGCAATGCAGCAGTTTATAGTAGTTATTCTACTACAAAATGGAATATGCCATGTATTTAACATCATTGGGGGTCTTCTAGAGCTGCCAGTGCTAAATTAGGAGGATATATGTGCTGACAGAAGGCCTTTTAGGAAACAAAGTGTGATTACAGCAAACAATATAAGAGGTTGGGAATTACTTGCTCCTTATTTAGGAGACTCTATACTCCGTTATTTATTGGTATGTGCTCATAGTTATATCAGTCTATTTATCACAGCTATCTCTTTCCCTTCCACACCAATGGTTGGTTGTTATTTCTGTAAAGTGGGAGTAATGCTATTGTTTGTTTAAGTTTTATATATTTATATATATATATATATATATATATATATATATATATATAATTTGTTTTGTTTCCTTACAAAGGACATACAGTTTTATGGGTACTTTCCTGATGACTCTTTGTATTGTGGTTTGGAGAAAGGCCTCTTTTTTTTTTATTATTTTTTTAAATTTTATTTATTTCTTTTGCACGTGGAACTTTTGAGATATTGCTGTCTTTTGGTGAGGCTGTTTCATGACAGCAGACTTTGAATCACGTGCCTTGGGGTAAATGTAAAACTCAGGGCAGCTCACAGTTCCCTTAAGGTGGAAGTACTTTGTAAAAGCCCTTTAACTAGGCTTCCAGAGTTCTCTTATATATTGGAAATCCGATAAGAAACCCAACTCAGTGTTTCCTTTCTCTAATTAGTGGTTTTCAGAATTTTAGACTCCTTCGGCACTGCTCACTTTCCTTGAGCATTGGGGACCTGATGAGCTGCAATGTCACATGATTATGTTTTGTGCAGTGGAAGAGCCTTTAGTGGCTGTCTGGAAGCCATTAACTCTGTAATGAAAACATTGCAGTTTCTATTAAAAAAAATAAAATTAAAACAGAACTATTGTAGCGAGATCACTTTGTGGGATATGAAGTGGTCTGCATGACTTTAATGGTACTTTAAATTTGTCCTTTATTGAGTATGCCTGTGGTGGACGGCCTGGCACCCCAACTGGGTACCTCCGCCAAACACGCTTCCTAGTAATCATCGAGTTACCTTAAGCACTTTAGCTGCCGCAGCTTGGCTGGGGTCTCGCCACCTCTTCCCACCCTAGACCAACCACCTGGCTCCAGCTCCCAGTGGTACAGCTATACTCCTGAGAATATAGCAAGTGGTTATAGCAAGTATAGCATTCCCCCCCACACATTACCTGAGACTTAATGCTGGGAGTAGACTGTCTTTATTCAGGGCCACACATGGCCTTCTTATGCAAAAGCCCAATGCAAGGGGTCTCCAACACAACATTACAGGGTCATCCCTCCCATGATCCTCTGTGCCTGAGAGGCAATCCAGTCCCCCTCTCAGGTACAGAGAAATCCTTTTACTTTGTCACATATGGTTTGGTAGGCACAGACCCCTACATGGGGGTCTCTAACACAATGCATTGAGAAAGGGGAGGGAGAGAGGCACAGACAAGCAATACATTGTTAAATAGCCCTGATCTGAACCTGATACACAGGCAAGCATATAGGCATGGTATGCAGTGACGGCGTTCTGTCACAATGCCCCTTAAACATTCGTAATTGCTCATTGATGCCAACTGTGTGTGTGTGTGGGTTTTTTTTTTTTTTTTTTTAATGGTTGGAAATAGCTTGGTACTTTTTACAGCTGCATAATTTCCACGATTTGTATGGTGCAAGAAAAGAATTGCACCAGATACTGTTTAATAATTTATTAATCCGTTTAATCAATAATGAGCAGAAAAAGTAAATGCATGTCAAATTAAATGGATTTTATTTAGGAAGGGCAGACAAGAACTTTGTCTTTTAAAGTATGTAGAGTCAACAAATGAATCATTTTCTCCACTGAATCTTTTTATTGTTTAATAAAACCCTTCCTGACTTGAGCAAAAGTTAAATGGAGTTTATTAAAAATATTGTATAAAGATATTTGGTACTGTCAAACAAAAAACAGAGAAAAAAGGTGGCGTTAAAAAAAAAGTGAAATATCACAGGTAAACCCGGTGCAGCATACAGAAAAATCACCAAAGTGTATAGTCACTAAATAACACTTACATACAAGAGTTTAAAAATGGGGTTATGGTGATTGTCCACACGTTGGATGATATTCTTGCATTAAGTAAATTATCCCTAGGTTCTGTGGGTATAAAAAAAACCACCAACATAGCGTAATATATACTATTTGATTTGTGTTAAGAGATAACTTGGGAAAACTAACAATATTTAGAGCCTTCATGAGTTGGCTCTAAACTATTTCAGCAGATACATCAATTAGATGTGGATATGTGGGTTCAGGTCCCTCAGAAGGTATCAGAAGTCCTCTATTTGGAAAATCAGGAACCAGGTAACCAAATAAATATAAGGTAAGTGCTTTTATTTAGACAAATATAAAATAAATTGATAAAGGCACAACACGTTTCGACCTAGTGCAATAGGTCTTCCTCAGGTGAATATCTAGTGACAAATGTGCAAACTTTCTTATATATAAAACATACATAATGAATAACATTCAATTACAAACATTAACAGCTGTGTGTCAGTTGGCCGTCCTCTTCTCCACATATGGAGTGTTTCTGGACGGTTTTTAGGTGCTTCCGTCTCCTCTAGCATGTTCGCCGTCCTTGTACTCACTATGGAGGTAGATTTGTCCTTCCAAAGATGGCCGCGCATTCATGCTGTATCGTGGCTAATTAAAAAGAATCGTCACTTCTGGTTACGTCCGGCGCTGATCACGTGGTTTCGGTGGGTGTGGACAAGTATATTTCCAAATGTCCATCATCCGTTCTCAACAAAGGAGGGGTAGAGTCAAAAGGTTACACATGGGAACAATGTTCATTTGATCGCCATTTTAAAAGAGGAAAAGAATAAGGGCAATAATATAAGCAAAATCAATGGATAACATTTTTAAATGTAATAAATAAACATATCATGGAATACAATAACACAATAATATATCATAGAAATGAATAAATAGCAAATATAATGTAATTTATTAAAGGGACTCTTCAGCTCAACGAAGTGGTCTGGGTGCCAGGTCCCTCTAGGGTTAACCCTGCCTGCTGTAAACATAGCAGTTTCAGAGAAACTGCTATGTTTACATTTTTTCTTACGGCCAGCCACTAGAGGTGAAAAATGCTTTCCTATGAACACTTTGAATGTACCCTCAGGGTACTATAGTGTCAGGAAAACCTATTTTGTTTTCCTGACACTAGAGTGATCCTTTAATATAAGGGTGTAACGGAACGCCTGTATTCCGACCGAGTACCTTCCGTTGATGGATGCTCCTAGTGCTTCCCGAGGGCTCCAAGCACTCCACTAGACACCATAACCACTGCAGCCCCCACGAACCGCGGCAGCTTGGTAGGGGTCTCGCCGTCTTCCTCTTACTCTGGGCCTAAGACCAGCTTCCAGTAGGCAGACCTGTCCTAATTCCAGAGAGCAGGAACAAGAACAAGCTCTTACAAGAGCTTACTCTGGGGAGTATTGTGATATAGCAATCCCCAGAGTGTAGGCAATCCTCCAGACATGAGCTGAAACTTCATGAAGGTACAAGATTATCTGTTTAATCAGCACCAAAGGGCTTTCTTTTATGCAAGTTTTTAGGCCAGAGGCACACCCCCTGGACCTGGTGGTAAATTGTGACAAAAGGGACACAAACCAATGGGAACACTAACAAAATAACACTCCCACATACACAGTAAAATCCCTCCCCTCTATACTGGAGATAATTGGCTTAAGGAACTGCAGTAAACTCAATTATCTCCAGGTACAGAAAATATCTCCATTTTACACTAACCGTAAAATACATACAGTCAGGTCCATAAATATTGGGACATCGACACAATTCTAATATTTTTGGCTCTATACACCAACAGAATGGGTTTGAAATGAAACAAACAGGATGTGCTTTAACTGCAGACGTTCAGCTTTAAGTTGAGGGTATTTACATCCAAATCAGGTGAACAGTGTAGGAATTACAACAGTTTGTATATGTGACTCCCACTTTTTAAGGGACCAAAAGTAATGGGACAGATTAACAGTCGTAAATCAAACTTTCACTTTTTAATACTTGGTTGCATATCCTTTGCAGTCAATTACAGCCTGAAGTCTGGAACGCATAGACATCACCAGACGCTGGGTTTCATCCCTGGTGATGCTCTGCCAGGCCTCTACTGCAACTGTCTTCAGTTCCTTCTTGTTCTTGGGACATTTTCCCTTCAGTTTTGTCTTCATCAAGTGAAATGCATGCTCAATCGAATTCAGGTCAGGTGATTGACTTGGCCATTGCATAACATTCCACTTCTTTCCCTTAAAAAACTCTTTAGTTGCTTTTGCAGTATGCTTCGGGTCATTGTCCATCTGCACTGTGAAGCGCCGTCCAATGAGTTCTGAAGCATTTGGCTGAATATGAGCAGATAATATTGCCCGAAACACAGAATTCATCCTGCTGCTTTTGTCAGCAGTCACATCATCAATAAATACAAGAGAACCAGTTCCATTGGCAGCCATACATGCCCACACCATGACACTACCACCACCATGCTTCACTGATGAGGTGGTATGCTTTGGATCATGAGCAGTTCCTTTCCTTCTCCATACTCTTCCCTTCACTCTGGTACAAGTTGATCTTGGTCTCATCTGTCCATAGGATCTTGTTCCAGAACTGTGAAGGCTTTTTTTACATGTTGTTTGGCAAACTCTAATCTGGCCTTCCTGTTTTTG